AAATCAATAAATCAATGATTACACAGAAATGGCCAATATCAAAAACCTGATAAATTGATAAATAATGTTTACAATTTGTCCTTTTATTATTCTACTGTCTTACTTTTACTTTAAACTACTGTGAGTAACTTTCATCCTGGGTTGATTTTTAGGTCCTTTAGTAGAAGTAGTGATACCTTTTCCCTTTTTGCTGATCAGTCCTGACCTTGCAAAAGTAACATACCAAGAAAATCCTCCTGCTGCCCTTTAACTACCTGAGATGTGTGAATAATGTAAACAATTACATCTCTTGCATTGACTGTGCAGAAGCACTTACAGCCTTTAAAAGTAACAGAAATAGCCTATCGTCTAGTTAATGGTCTCATTTACCCTTTAATGTCGTAAAGTGGAGTCAGTTTTATTTTCAGTCTAAGCTAGAAACTCCCAACCAGAGCTCTGACTTACTTTAAATTAAAAAAAGAAAAAAAAAAGAAACTTTTTCTTTCACTTCATAAGCCTTACTGTACTCTCTGTGGATGTTGGTATTATGTAGGCTCCATAAGCTTTGCACTGAATCGTAAATAATCAGCTGATGATATGAATGAGCTCCAATCAATGGCAATGTCTGCGTCTGTCACTATCTCCACATAAATTCATCAGCAGAAACAATCACGCTCTCCAGCACAAAAGCGCATTTATGTACGTACAGATGTGGACACATGGATCGAGGGGGAATCAGCAGGGAGCACTGGCAGTCTATTGACAGAGCAGTGCCCCCTGCTGTTTGTGTAAGAGTGACAGGATGAGCACAAATAGAGGAGAGGAGAGGAGACTGATGTGATACAGTATGACTTAGGGCTGTGAAGTCAGAGTAGGTTTATGCAGAGATTAAAGGATTGAAGAACAAGGGAGTGATAGTGTGGGCAGACAGAGTCCACTAAGTCCTGCAGAGAGACTAGAGAGTTACACATCACTTTCACTCATGAAAATAAACTGTAATCAACATCACAACACCATGTAGAGTGATCATACTGTCACTTCTTAGCATGTGAGGACTAAGAAAGGCAGATGTGTATGTCCTGGATGAGGCTGTCCAGTACGTAGACAGTGCCAGATTACACCTCAAACCACAGCTCCTCTGTCCATCAATAACACACAGCCCCATCCAAGTGTCCTTGAGCAAAACTAAACCTCTCCTGTTTACTTCAGTCACTTGGGATGCAAGTGACTGAAGCAAATTGACCTTCAATTCAATCGCACAAAAAAAGCAATATGACCTGTAGGTTGTTTGGCAACTTTTCATTTCATTTCATTTTCATACTCATCTCCCACAAGGCACTTCTGCAAGGCCCAGGAGGCGTCTGGGGAGACTGTGCAAAAAAAAGAAACAAATAGGAAGTTGTATTTAAATGTAAAAGACAACCGTATCCATCCATGTGCTCGTGTTCAATATCTTCAGTTGGACGCAAATCTACTCGCCTGGATGTAATTAAAAGTAATTAAGTAACTTTTAAAATTCACATCCCATGCAGTGTGTACAGATAAGGAAGCAAGCCTATTCACAGATTTACTTACAACAACAACTATAACTGGAAACATGAATTCTCTTTAGGCCTCACTTTAGGCCTTTCAGTTGGGCGATTGATGGCCACATAAGAAGATTTAAGTATCACCTACATGACTTTTAATTACTTGTTTAAAGTAAACTCTCATTTTCTCTAAACCTACATTGCAGTGCTGATGCCATTAACTGATCCAACTGTGATCATTTTACCATCTTAATCACAGAGGCTTACATCTCCCACAGGCACTTTGTTTTGGCACCGTTTCTGTTGTGTTGGTATTAAGAGCCACCAAAATATGCCGCTTTTTCTCAAATGTTTCTTCATGATTACATTGGCTCTGGTACCGTGTAACAGCCTCATGTTGCTGAAAGCCATATTGGGCTGCTGTAAAAAAAAAAAAACACCTGTCCAGCGCCTAACAGGAGAAAATTATAATGAGAGGCGAATTTAGCAGCGAGAGAACAAGATTATGTTCGAGGAAGCCGACCTCTGAACTAACATACAGCAGCTGAACAGAAATACAAGTCCAAATGGCTGTGCAAAAATTTTAACTGCTCACTATCAAGTTTGTTATATCAGCATAAGGGGTTCATTAAATGGCATCTTTGCTGTCTGTCTGCAGCCACTAAGTTGCCAGTAAAACAAGGCTGACTGCACATCATGTCCCATCAGCCTGAATCAGCTGTAACCCTTTTTAGTGAATGATGTGACTGTGGTGAATGAGTGATCAGAGTAACCTAAGTGTTACTCCATGAACTAAGTATTAACAAAAACTCAAAATAAGTCTTGTACACATCCACACTTCTGTAACGTTCATGGCCCCTGAAGGAGTGACGACATACAATAACCATATGAATTATAGGAGACATACATTAATAGAGAACACTTTTATAGTCTACTACATTAGAGCTCCCCTCTTTGTATGGTCTGGCTTGGTTGATTGGGGTCAAGAGATCCCATGACACATACACACACACACACACACACACACACTCGCAGATGTACGCTCAAGCAAATGCGTCCCCTCCTGGTTGTGATGGTGTTAATTAGAGCTGTGCATAAATGAAGGCAGATGTACTCCACCTCATTCTTGGGGTCAATTAGCTGTGACAGCAAGTGCAACACAATCCTAAGACCCAATTAATGAGAGGATTTACCTATTATCACACCCACTGGATATAATTACACTGAAACATTTAGCGGTATGGTTAAGTGCTGGATGGCAGAAGTTACAGCTAACATCAGCTCTCAGAAAGGATAGTTGTTCATCCTGTAGTTTTTTTTTCTGTTGTACATTACATTTTACTCATACTGTCTCATTCCTTTACTGTTTTTCAAGACAACATACTGATCTGTGTTTCAATGCAGTGATGATGTAGACTGACAATTAAATACTGAGTTGATAGTCTTATACATACAGTTGATTGACTCCCTGCAGCAGGAGTGTGACAGACTTTTTGACTGAGTTGGCTCAAATGGGGCACTGACACATGCAGGAGTAGTATATGACCTACCATTTCTGTCGCTATAACTTTAATGGAAAACCTAATAGTATCACACGAATGTTATTCATCTTATATTTTCCTTAAAAAGTACGTCAACAAAGTGTAAACATGTAATCTTTAAAGCTGAATTCTTTCAGGGCTTAAAAAGGAGATGTACAAGTGTTCAGAATAAGATATCAAGTTAAAGAAAACTTGTGCATTGTGTGCTGATAGCTAATCTGAATATGTTTGATTTTTCTAAATCATATCAAGATATTACAAAACACCTGTCAGCTCACTGTAGTAAATTTAGGGGTGCTGGGACTAATTAAAGAGAAGCTTCAGCAACCTTAAGAAAGGGACTAACCACACCTACGGTCATCACGTCAGGACTATTTAACGTCACAGCAAACATACACCCATTTGCCCTTTACAATGGGATGGATAATAAACCCACTAGAGGGCGCTGCACAGAATCATATCAGAAGAAAAGACAAGGTCTTCTGACAACAACAGTGGTCATGATGGAGGAAGTATTGATTATCTTTAAAGACAGAGGTGAATCAGAGAGAGTGTTGTCAACAGCAGTAGACTGAGAGGCCATTAGGTACATCACAACATGTGGCTGGAGACTTGTTTTCTCTAATACCAGTAATACCATCGTGAAAGGGATCATCATATCTTTGTTGATAGTCGCTAACCAACTCAAACTATCTTTAAAGAAGATAAACTCTGCTGCTCTCTGAAGTATTATTCTTCGTTGGGTTTTGCTGCTCTGGCTTAAACTGTCAGCACCACTGCTTGTAACTGCCCTCGTGTTTTCTGGTGGTACTGCAATGTGAGCGTCCAGAAAACATGACTAAATGAATACAGAGTACAGCAAAAGGGTGAGTCCAAATCCTAATGAGTTCACATGTTGGTGTTGAAAAGGTTGGAGTACAGATTTAAAAAGAAAAATGACAAAGTAAACCCGACACAGCTCACCATCATCACACATATCAAGAGACTAATTTACTCACAGTCTCATGCAATCATGAAGTGAGTCATTCTCTCACTAGAAATTATGAATTTCGACCTTTGGGATTTGAATTTGCCACGCTGAATAGATGTAGCCAAAGATTCAGTATAAAAACCAATTTCCAAAATCAGACATGTGAAATAGTTTCATCTCAGGGGAAGGGAAATCTGCTTTCATCAAAACATGAAAGAAAATACAATCAGCTTCTTGTGTTGTTTTTTTTAAAGAAACTCTTCACTATCACAAAATAATACTCCAAGTCCCCCATGGTTGTGTTTTCATGAGGGTCACGTGGTTTCTCAAACATGCTCATATTTGTCTTCAGGGAAAAGAGGTGAGCTGTGATCTAGACAGGAACAGAGCTATGCTAATTAAAGCTAAAAACACTTGTCAGCAGCACACTTCTCTTTTAGCTCCAACACCCTGCTTCACACAAACACACACACACACGCATGCGCTCACATACAAACACACTCAGACATGCGTGCACACACTGCAGACGCCACAGTCAAGTTCGATTCAGCTCCAGACATGCATGATACAGCCATGATATGCCACTCCTTCTAAGCCATGTTCAGGTTGCATAGGGATGCTGCTAATAATAGAGATATCTAATCAATACACACACACACACACACACACACGAATAATACACATGGGCTAACCTTGGCTTGATTTTAGAGTTTGCTGTGCAATTTCCCTGCAATGCTGTTCAAAAAACAATAAGTGTTTCCCTGCAGGGGGCAGATTGTTCTGCAAGTGTGTGTGTGTGATAGAGAAAGAGAGAGAGAGAGAGACAGAGTGTTGTCCTTCATTCATTAACTGCAGAGACACATACCTGTGAGGGAGAAAGAGCTGGAGGGAGAGGAAGGAGAGGAGGCCTCTATTTTTAGAGGCGGTATTCTCATAGTGTCCCATGGGAGAGGGCCGCTGTGGGCTCTCCTCCTCAGATGGCAGCACCGGAGAAACCTGCAAGATGAGCAGAGGAGGATGTCAGTCCCAGATGAGCAAACATAAGGGTAAAGATTTTGAGGCAATGCAACTTTAAAACATTTACATACAAGTGTCAGGTATCTGTCCATAGTCTCATTTCTACCTTCTTTAGCCCAGAAAACGGAGTGACCTTCGCTTGAGAATGAGATCGGACTAAATGCACCACCACCACATTAACAACGAAAAGGTCTGCCAGCCCATTTTTCCAACATCCAGGCCTTTTCTGTTGCTGTGACAACGACAAGGACACAAGGAGGCAACCTTGGATGCTGGACAGCTTTGTTTCAATACAACACTGGCTTCTTCATGAAGGCTGTCAGCTTTACAGGACTGACTCACACCTCGCAAACAGTACCGTCTGTAGTGAGCTGATCTGAATTATTCCGTGGTCAAATTGTTTTCATCGGGAATCCTGATTTGCTAAAAGCACTTAAACCGCCAAAGCTGCTAATGGCAGACTCGACGTTTCTCTCTCTGAGGGTTAAATTGTCTAATTAATAGATCTGGAAACCACAATTAAATTGAGCGGCTAATTGAAGAGTAGTTGAGATAGAAGTGAAAAGAAACACATTTACCTGGCTGTTTGCCCAGCTTTTGATCCACACGCAGGTATATCATATCAACACCTTCAATTCCAGCATCCTGAGGTCTCGCTGAAGTCTTTTTAATGCAAGCAGAAATAACGATAAGCTAATGTGTCCATTTTACAAACTTGATTTAATCCCTTGTAACTGTTCCGCGGCTAGGAAGCGATGGCACTTTCAGAAATACAACTTGGGGTCCTGAATTACTATTTCATTTTTAAAAATAAATCATTTGTTTATTGAGTCAGTGCTGTTTGAAAATCTACATATAAAAGCCCTGCCATGATTGAATTCATTACTTTAAAGCTCCTATATGGAGATTTTAGTGATGCTTTTGGAAAAGGCTGGAATTCATTCTGCTGTCTTTTTATAATATCCAAAAGCAGACAGGATCATCAGCCACCAGACAGATCATTTCTATATTCTAATTTCTGAAACGAAATGCCTGAAACCAGTGGGAGGGGATAGGTGTCAGCAAAGCAACTGTTTCTACATCTACCACATAAAATATCCACATTCAGAGATACATTCGACAGTCAAAAATAAGTAGGTTAACCGTTTTGATCAAAAATAACCACTCAAGTATGGCAGGCACAAGGTAAATTCAGCTGCTTTCTCCACAGGGGGCGCCAAAACTGACTCAAAACAGAGGCTTTAAGCATCAAAATTCACATCCTAATTGACTTGACCATTTGACCTTTCACACGTTACTCTTTTAATAGTATGCATATTGTCTGAACAGACATTTGTTAGTATGGACAATTCTTACCAAATGTACTATAATTAGGCAAATAAATGTATAAATAATAATATGGGAATAAAATAGATTTAATCAAAACTGTGTATCGAAGTGTGACTCATTGATTTTATTGATTGCTCTGTGGTGCTGTTAGCAGACTGCTTTTTTTTAACAACATAGCACAAATGAGTCATGCACATACAGGTGGTTTGGCACAAGATAAAACCAAAGCTTTCACCCTGAAAATGCTGTCAGACAGGCACCCAAGGGTACTGCATCACTCACTCTGCACACTGTTCAGTCAATCATCTGAAGTCTGTTACAGCCAAAGACAAAGAGTTTGTGTTTAGTCTGACATCTTGTGGTCAAAATAAGTATTTCAACTACACAGAAGTCAGCTTTTAAACAGTCTACTGTCAAGGTTTGTTTTATGTTTGTGCTTGTGTAGATATATGTAAAATAGCTGGGCATATTTAACTATGCACTTGAGATTTATCTTTAAACAATGAAATAGAAAATAAAGATTCAGCAAAAATTTCACTCCAGAAATCTTCGCTGATCTCTTAAAACTCTTTAATGACAGGAAATGCTTTGACAAAAATTGGAAATCTCTAATCCTTTTACATTTTTTTGTGAATCTGAAAGAAAAAAAAAACCATTGAAATGACAACATATAGTCAGGGGCGGATCCAGGTATACGTCAGACGTCAAACATAGGGCTGATTCAAACTAAATTTATCAGGGGATGAGCACTTGGCCTCAAAACAGCATAGTAAGAACATGCAATAATGAAAAAAAAACATATCTAAGAAATATTTGTGTTAATGTAGTTTTTATAATTTGAGAGTGTTGACATGGAGGGGTGGGGTTTATGACCTCTACTGCAGGCAGCCATACTGCAGTCAGTGTTTTGGTTTCACAGTCAGTGAACACTTACTGCATCTATTTAATTCTACAATCTTTGGTAACATTAAAGCGTCTGGATCTCATATTCTAAAATAGTAGTTGTAGGTTGATACAGAACACAGAAAATCAATTTTGTGCATGTGCATTTTTAAATTTTAAGGTTCGTTTTGGGTAAGAAAAAAAAAAAAAAGACCACATTTCATTATTTATTTTAAACAGAGAAACGAAGATTAACTCAATGGTTACAACTGTGAAGCATGACAACAGTGGAGGGGGATTCTAGAGTGCTCTAAAGTGCTTTAAAAGGACAACAGCTGAAATGAAAGGTTTCAGATAGAGGCTGAAATGAGGGTTAGATATTATTAACAAATATTAACAAAGAACTGTTTGAGCTGTAAATTGTGTAATGCTATTAACAAAACCAGCAGGAGAGCACTACAAAACCTAGAGGTTTCTCTCTTCAACCTCATAGTAAAGACATAATACAGTAATAAAAGCAAATTTGCTTTTTTCAGAAGGCGAATAGTAACCCTGTCTTATTTAAAATGTTAATGTGAATCCCAACAACTTGCTTCTCAATCTTTACAAAACTGACAAAGTTCAGTTCATAACACAATCTATGCCTTCAGTGATTACTTACATGATGTAAAGGAGGCGTTCAGGAAGGTATCGACGAATAAAGGACGAATTTCTGGATAAAGTGGGAATATTTTTGATGGAGTGTATCTTTAAGTTTCAAAAGAGGACAGAAAATATCACAAATACCGATATCTAACTTGCAGAAAAACACAACACGCTGGTAATTTCAGAGCTATTAGCAGATGCACTCATTCACATGCCAGAATGGGACTCCAAGTCCCAGAGTGCTTTGAGGGCTGTTAGTCGTTCCTGGTACTCGTAGTCCACATAATATGATCGTTTCCGTGTGTCTAGCCGACGTTAGGTGTTGGAATCTGCACTGCAAAGACAAACACATGTGAAATTATTTACCAGGTAGGACAAACAGCTCGATTCTACCGGCTCGAGCCTTTTGAACTTTTCATTTGCACAAGACACGTCAACCATATTTATTTGGTCATTCTCAGTTATTGAAATGTGAATGTAGAAGCTAACGTTACAACCAGTGTGCAAAATCGGCGCTTACATGGCGATGCATTTCCTTTTGTTCAGCTAGCTTATGTAAAGAAATACTGAAGCCCAGTGTTCACAACTATCACTCATTTTTAATAAAACAGGGCGACTGGAAGATTTGATGAGGTTGTCCTCTTAGCTGTTTCCAATTTTAGATCCAGTGTAGCTGCAGGTTTACGACCAAACTCGACACGTCGACATTTATACGGCTAGTGTTTCTGAAGTTGCATATTTATCTGCCTAACGCCTCAGCTGTATAAATGTGAAACCTGTACCTTATATTAGCAGTGAGCTATGACAGTTAGCATTAGCATTTTTGCTTGTCGCAGTTATGTTGTTTACATCCGGTAATGGGAGTCTGTTGGCTAATTTGCATGACTGTAGTTGAGTTAGTTAAAGGTAGCAGACCCAGCTGACAGGAGGGCTATTGTGGGGCTGTTTGCACTACATTAACTGCTTTTTAGGGGGTGTGAGCTCCGACTCTGCCATGTTCACTAACTGACCTGTCTTTTGTCTCCCAGGGTTGTTTGAATTTATGGAAACATGTCAAAGAAACGAGGCAGGTAAGTCTGGTAAAACCACTGACTCAGCTATATTCAAGTTTGTGACATTTACAGCTTCTGCCAAAACTAGTCCATTGGCCATGAAACACACAATATTAATGTCTCCTTATGACTAACTTAAGTAAAAGAGACCTTATAAATGCTTTGATATTTCCATACTGTTATTTATGAAGCCTAAGACAGCTTCCACAGGACAAGTGTCAAATAAAGTGACATACAGCGTGCCACAAGACTGTCCGTTTTACATTTTCCACAGCAAAAATCTACAGATAGGGCTAAATTTAAAGCTTGAAAGAAAGCAATTAAGTATTTTTCATCTAGAAATTTTATTTACATACGCAGAGTACCAAAGAGACTTGAGGGACTGCTTTGTTTACTAGGCTGCCAAAATCTAAGAGTTCTTCAGTGGGGTTTTAACTTCTTTTCACAGTATAAATGACACAGCACCAGACACTCAAACTTACACTGTAAACAAATCTTCTTTTGACTTTTTACGGACACATGTTAGTTGTATCCCCTATTCTATAATTTAGAGTAAACATTTACAAATAGTCTTAGTGTCAAATAGGTGTGGTGCAATAATATCTCAGAGATGTACAGAGTTGCCACTTTGCAAATGGAAACACAGAACCAGGATAAAGGTGTTAGAAAGAAATCCTTACATGGAAAAGACGTGTACATTGCGTTATTTATTTAATCTCTCCAGGCAATTCTTATTGCTGTTTGATGGAAGGTGTCATATTTATAGTCTTGTGTTTAACAGCACTAAAGCAAGTTTTCATTTGTAGGAACATGACTTATCTTTTCAGAAATCAATTAAGCTGGAGCACTTTGAAGTGGAGGCAGATCTCCCATGATAGCATGTGAAAATTATAGCTAACAGACAAGCTCACACCCTTGGGCCCATATGTAGCTTTTCTGTTGTACAGAGTCCTTATTGTTTTGAAAAACAACCCCATATTGACTGATAATTTCATCTTCATAGTCAGAATGCATAACCCATCTTAAGTACTGACAGCTTCACGGAGCTCACCCTACTTTAGATCTAAAACTGCTATATGACCTAACCCTTTTCTTCACATTCAAAGGAAACGTAGCAGTGGAGAGCTGAGTGAGAGCTCAGCGTCAACCCTGAGCCCGGATCCAGACAACCTGCTGGGCCGCAGGATTCAGCACACCTGGAGAGAGAAGGGGAATGTGACCAAGTGGAAAGGCACCGTCCTGGAGCGGCTCACGGTGAACAGCTCCCTCTACATGGTCAAATATGACGGCTTTGATTGTGTGTACGGCATCGAGCTCTTCAAAGACGGCCGAGTGTCCAACCTGCAAGTGTTGGCAGAGAAAGTTTGTGAGTATTAAACAGTTCATCTGATATCATAGACATAGCTTTGTTTTTAGTCTTTTTGTATTTAGAAATTGAGACATATTGTCCATTATCTTTTGATTCTTGGTCATGTTTATGCAGTGTTTGTCACCACAGCAGGAATGATTCCCAGCAGTCCTTTTTTGAAGGCTTTTCTGTTTGAAGTTTGAGGGTTTTTTCTTTCTTCCCTACAAGTGTTGGGACTGTTGTTGCCAATAGTGTTCTTCTTTTGTTGATTTGAAATACAGCACTGTTCGCTTAAAAAGAGCCCTGAAGTCATGTCACAAAAGCAACAGTTTTTGATTAGTTATCTCTTGAAATGATAACACCAAAAGTGTGATCACTTTAACCCAATCAACACTTGGTTTTACCTCAGTCAGTGGAGTTTGTCAATCTTTGTCTTATATATATGTCAGTCAGTAGTCTGTATCAAGGTCACTTGGAACATTTCCGTACCTAAGTGTGCTAAAATAGCGTGCATTTTTGTGTCGGTTTATCACAAGCAACTGCAGCAAAATCCATTTTAATGCATGATTGTCAAGTTAGAGGAAGTCTAGGGGCTGTAAATATTTATGAACTGTTCTGTTTTAAGGAAATATTGAGCAAATATTCTGCTGTGGGCTTTTTTCAGATTTTATTTCTGCTATTTTAGTATTATTAGAGGAAAATATTAATAAATTACAATAAATAAGTGAGCCTGTTCTGAGTTATCTATGATCTATTGCTATCTATTTAGTTATAAAACTTACCAAAGCATCTTTTTTCATAGTGAACAATAAAATCAAGGTGCCTCCTGGGGCAGAGGAGCTTGTGGGCCGAGCAGTGGAGCATTTGTTTGAGAAGGAGGACGGGGAGAAAAACGAGTGGCGGGGCATGGTGCTTTCCCGAGCCCCCATCATGACCCACTGGTATTACATCACCTATGAGAAGGACCCAGTGCTGTACATGTACCAGCTGTGGGACGACTACAAAGATGGAGATCTACGTGTCCTGCCTGAATCAGGTACAGTATCAAGAGTTGTGTGGAGAGTTTGAATAAAACTGTTTATTGTTTCATAATTCAGAAACTGCTGGAAGGTGGGAGGAAGAGAATGGGACTAATTTACATAGTCAGCATTACAAAACACTCTATTCTCTATTCTATTCTCTATCTTTTCTTTCCCTGATCATTTTGTGCTGAGATTCCATTTGATTTAATGAAAAGAAAGTATGTTCTGTCATGGGCCCTCTTTTTTTCTACAACACCAGTCCCAAAACAATTGAGACGCTGAGTTAATTTTTTAATATAAACAGATTTTTAATGGTGTGCAAATCATTTAAACCCAGTATTTCATTTGAAATGTGGAAAAAGTTCAAAATGTTGATACAAAGGAGTCATTGTCTTGTGAAAACCTTATCCTCTGTTTAAACTATGTTTCATGTTTCATGTTTGTTTATGTTTGTTTATTTATTTCATTTCATTCATGATACATGATATAATACATTGCACTCATCCTTTTTTTTTTTTTATTGTATTTTTTTTTTCTCATGTAATCATGTGAAATGAAAAGGAGCAGACAGAAGACAAGTCTTATGTACGACTGCCCCTTCACTACAACACATTTATCTATGTCAACCAGCCAGCAATTGATCAAAATATTATGTAGTTAAGGTCCAAAAAATACCACAAACAAACAAACAAAAGAAAAAAACCAAACAAAAAAACAATAACAAAAAAAACAAAAAAAAAAAAAACAAACTGACACATCATCAGTCATCCACTTCATCCAATTCATAATTTTTGATTTTCCCTCTTTTAAACTTTTTCTTAAACTGAAACATTGTTGTACAACTCTTCAACTCAGTATTTTGCGAATTCCATAACTTAATACCTGCAACAGAGATACACATCTGCTTTAGCGTTGTCCGAGCAAACTGGTGTTTAAAATCATATGGTCTCCTGAGGTTTTCACTCTCTGAGCTAATTTCAAATAACCCTTGCAGCTGTTTTGGTAAAACTTTGTCTTTCGCTCTGAACACCACCAGAAGTGTTCTTAGCTCCATTAAGTGTGTTATTTTCAGTAAGCCTGACAACATAAAAAGTCTATTGGTATGTGCTCTGTAATCTTCTTTATGAATAATTCTCAATGCTCTTTTTTGTAGCTTAATCAGGGGAGTAATATTCGTCTTGTATGTATTGCCCCATACTTCCAAAAGTAAAATATGGTAAAACCAGTGAACAATACAACGTTCTCAAAGTGCTTGTATCCAAATCATGTTTTACTTTGTTCAAAATAAAAAGGCTCTTGGCCACTTTCTTCTTTCTTCTTGGGGCTTTGCACTTAGCACGTTTTAGAAACATAAATGAAGCTAGTTTTTGTCCCCACTCTTAAAATAATAAAAAAAAAAAAGGACTATATTTACAGATTTGTACCATCTTACTTTTTCGGCGCATCCTTCTGTTAGGGTTCCAAGCACCCATCCAGCCTGAAAGAATTGAGATATATGTGAGATAATTTACAGTCTGAACTCTGAAAAGCTGAATTTTACAAATAAGAAATTGTACCCCCTTGATTCACTGCTTTTATTTTGTCTTTAAGCCATCTGATTGTCATTTATCTGTCTGTCTTTTATCAGAAAACAAACACCTGCTCCCAGCAGACAGGAAGCCAGGTGAGGAGCCAGAGAGCCTTGTGGGTAAACAGGTGGAGTACGTAACAGATAATGGCATCAAAAGGACGGGCTTGGTCATTTACCAGGTCCCAGCAAAGCCCACAGTATACTACATTAAATATGATGATGACATCCACATCCACGTCTATGATTTGGTGAAGACCACCTAGTACTGACTGTACACTTTTTCCACTGATGGCTCATCTGCGACCTGACCAGTCGTTACCTGTGAAAGTGTTACATATTTCAGTTCTTCTCTAGTTGGAGATGATGTGCCGAAATTCAAAACCGCCATCTTCTTTTAATTTTAATTTTATAATCCCACATTGCAAGACATGTTGGCGTTTGATTCTCAGTTTGAAGTCAACCTTGAAGTTTGACTACGAGGTCCTCTCCATTGTAAATAATGCAGTCAGAGAGCCCAGCAGATGAAATGGAGTGAGGAGTTTTGTGAAATCATTCTTGTATAGTGAAACTTTCAGACTCCAAGTTCATACTTTTGCTAAAAAAAAAATCACAGCAAACCTAGAAAAGTCATCTTTCTTACCAACAGCCCCGTGTTTTACCCACAACCCTTTTTAAAATGCCTGTGCTATTTATTTCATCTGGAATATCTCGCTGTTCTGATGGTAACATTTTGGCAAACTTTGTCTGCTGTGCTTTATGTGTGTCACTGGGTAGGCCGTTCAGTTCATTGAATATAGGTGTAATATTCATTTAACAAGTGTGCTAATTTTACCATCACAGTGAAGTCGCATTTCAGTTGAAGTGTATAGACATTGATGAGCAGTGACTGTCTCACTTCTCACATTTAAAACAGATTATTCTTTCTAAAATCATGTATCATATATCTTTTTGTTTCCACATGTAAACTGCAAGTTTTCTACATTAATATAATATATGAAAAAATATGGTGTTGTTGTTGAGTTGTTTCAAGGTGTTTGTGCTACACGATATTTATGTAGTTCAAATTGGCCTCCAACATTGTTTAGTATTTGGACTAAGGTCTTAATATTATTATTTGCCAAAAAAATGAATGATGTGATATGATATATACAGGCCTGTTCTTTGTGACCTGAATCATGTTCTGTTCTGTAAATATAATCTGAGACATTTTTATGAATATAAAAGAGAGCTGCTTGAAAATAATTAACTTGTCAAGTTATTGAGAAACTAATCAGTAGATATGTATTCATTATTTTGGGGGACACTGCAGTACATGAAGAAGGAAACACAATGTGAGGGGAGTGGTACTTCAATGTGGACGGTTCTTTTTTTTATTATTTCCATTTAAAAATTGACTGTAGCTCAGAGTTAATTTCTACTTTTAAAACCATCATACTAGCTGAGAGTGTCTCTCTTTGACTTGGCTGAATCTAAGTATTCATAACAGTGAATACCCAGTGCTTCAACAAGGCTACATCAATCCAAAGCCATTTTTTCTCAAAGCAGACATCTTTATATTGCAAATGTAATATGAAAGTGACTTTCTACATATTTTGGATGGTTATATGCTGCTTTCTATTTTAGTTTCTAACAATCTACACATTACACATCAAACATTTCCCTCCCACTCTCTGCCTCCCTCTTATACACAAAGGGGATTAACACATTCATTAACCTAGTCAGCCAGCATCAGCTAAGGACCCACAATCTTCTGGTTTAAAGTCATCAGTTGTGACCATCAGACCGCTGCGCTTTTTTTCTTATGTTACTCTACCTTCCTACACATTATAGTTAGTAAGTATGGACATCAGTGGCCAGAATTCAGTACTTTGTGTTTCCTGAAGACATGGCCCATAGGATCCAAACCCAGTAGAGCATCTAACCATCTCACTGTCCTGCTTATTTAGGTTGATCTACTTTCAGGTTTATTATAGGTTTATAAAGAAAGCTCTAGAAAACAGACACTTTGTTATCACCTGAATTTGAACCTGTAATCTGCTCACTATATGCTACTTTGCACAGACCTTGTAGTTGAGGCTAATCTACTTTCCAGTACACTTTAACGGTTAAAAAGCGAGGTACATTTTCTGGTAGTAGGTAACCAGAATTTTCTAACTCTACGGGGAGCCCTCTGTCAGGATTCGTAGCCACGGTTCAGACTGCAAAAGACAGAAACCAGAGAGTTCATTTTTCTTTTTTCACACTTCACGACACCTGAGGGGACTTGAACCCAAAGCCAGCTTGCAGAGATGTAAGTGTCGCTGCCACTACACCCTATATCTTACCCTGTAAAGTGCTGTTTTTACAGATTTAAAGCTTTCTTTGCTCTTGATAGATTAGCATACCCTCAAAAAGCAGCAATAAAGATTTGAAGATTGCAGCCCTCACTGGGCCACTGCCTAGTTTCTCCTTTTTTTTTTGTCTATTGATTTTCTATTTCCTATCAGCAATGATTTAACATTAATGTAAAGAGCAGTGACTGGTTAGCTCAGCTGGAAGAATGATGCCCTCTATTATTAAACCTCCAAGGAACAAGTGATAGGTGAGTGCCCAGATCAGGTATTTCAGCTCAAACCGGCAGGAAATGGCAGAGTGTTCGCTTATGAAATATCGGTGCTACACTGGTGACAAATTGATATGTTCGCTTCTGATTCCCTGGCTACATGTAACCACATGCTGATTCCTGACTGCCCCCCCTCCTCCCCTTTGAGGTGTCAGGGTGCTGATGATGATGGGTGCTAGTGCAGGCAGCGGGAACCAGTTGACAAACCCTCACACTAGGCTGGAGCTGCAGAGAGTTATAGGAATGAGGTGGTGGGGAGATCTGTGCTCCTGAGGATGTGACTGATGCAATGTGTCACCTGTTGTGCACTTCCTCTTACACATACATCACTATTTTCCACCTATTTCTGTGATTGTGAAACCATCTGTCTGAATCCTTGGCAACATCCTTTATTTTTAGGACACAATGACTGTTGAACTTCAGTGTCTTTAAATGTGAATTCAGTCTCTTCTGACAGGGCCAGGGTAGCTTTATTTTTCAATTTGGGGCCATGTGTTTCTGGTTCTGACTGTGGTGTGTGATTCTGACACTGTCCTGTAGGGGGCAGAAGTCTTTAGGGGCTGTAAAATCTGGACACACTGTAAAAGTATCATGCAATGATTCCTCACAACACATCAAACCAACCATACCAGTAATTTAACAAGAGAGAGTTATATTTTTGTCAAAACCACTGCCTCCATGTCCACATGGTGTTTAAATTTGTAGAGCCTCTTTCACACTATAGAAAAAGGATTTTCATGGCTGTCTGAGACTACACCTATGTAAAATTATATTGTTATTGTTGACAAAATCCTCCACACCAGACTTAGCAAATCCTCTACAGGCCATGTGACTTAAATCAACAGAGCAAGGTGCCTCAGTAGACGCAAGACCCAGGTCTCTCTGATGGATGTGAGACATAAGGGGCAGTTTTATACAAAGAGTAAGGCATTTGCTGGGGTAAAGATAGGAACTATCCGTGCTTATAAAAACCAAATTGTACCAAATTCAAGTGTAAAGAGAAAAAAAAAACACCAGAGTCTTTAAGATTATCGTAAAAAAAGTTAAAATGTAATGAATTTTGGAAGGTCTATTACTCCGTATGTGACAAATGTATGTGCAAAGATGGCCGATTTAAACTGGCTGCTGTAATTCATTGGAAAAAAAGTACAGTTTTTGAGTCAGAATTCAGAAGTTTAACAATAAACATACTGTAATATTTTATGAGAGAATTTGAGATGTTTGTATTGCTGTAACAATGAAATATTTAGATGCACAAGACGAAGAGGAAATTGAGACTGTTCATACAGACAAGTAAAGCTGAGACCAGTGTATGGATTCTGTGTATTCTCCATTTAACGCATTACACTATTAATACTCTCACTCAAATGTTTGAAGGTTGTTCTAGAGAATCCTTGGCTCTATTTCTTTCCAGAGTTACATTATTACAGGACCTTCTCTGAAAACCTTGAAACTTTGTCTGCATTCTTATTGGCCAATAAACAAAAGCACTTGACTCTTTTGTGTTGCTAAGCAACGGCAGCCAGTCCCTGGTTTTTATATATGAAAAACCAGCATGCTGCCAATCTGGAGACTTACAGGGTGCAGCGTGAATGAGACCAGCCGCAATGCATTTTTAATTAAAACATTGCAAGTGCTTTCACAGGGGGGAGGAGGCTGTGAGCATTGTCAGGGATCATCATTAACAGGAGATGAGGACATGATTGATTATCATGTGGAGATTAAGATGATTTATTGTTCAAATGTTACTTGCATGTTGGTTTTGTGTCAGCTTTGACGGTTAATCTAACCATCCTTACTGTACATTGATAGATAACATGAAAAAGATGTGACTTAATAAACACAAACATGCGTCTTCCCTGTATGAGGCAGAGTGACTTTCCTGTTCAGAGCACACTGTTTGTCATGTGAAACACTAAATGGGGATCCTGTCAGGTCACTCATGCAGGTATCCTGGTAACAACAGCAAAAATAGAGCAGATGTGGTGTGTTTTTGTAATTGTTTATGTCTGAAGCTTCAAGCCTTTTCATCATACAAAACAGATATTTTTTCATTCCCGATTCGGGAAATATTAGTCTTCATCTTTACAGCTTTTAGTGAATACAAGTAAATCTGTTTGTGTGGTAAGGTATCTTGATCTTAATTGGTGGTTTGAAGTCTTTTAATTACAAATCTATACCTGTCACTGTAAGTTTTCTTTTGTTTTAGATTCATTTGCCATCTGTTCGAACACAGCAGCAGCCATTGACCTGTACTGGAGCCAAGAGAGGGATCTATAGGACTTGTCTTTGGCCTCTCTGCCTCCAGACTTCCTGGCAACAGCAGATATATGAAGATTTGGTTTATTTGTGCATGATTATTTGCCACACTCTTTCTCCACCACCCTACACGGAGACCACACACTGGCTCTAGATAGCTTTTTTTCATGCATATCTGAGTCGATTAGTGTTTCTACGCCTAATAAGTCTTTTCCACTGGCACTTATTTGACCATGTATAGTTTCTTTTACACTATTTAGAATAAAAAAAAATGGTTTCATCCTTTTAACATCTAGACTGAATAATTAGAATGACTAGTGACGCTTGTACACACCACAACATACTCTTTATCTTCAACAAACCTCTTAATTACGGATGCTTTGAATTCACTACAGGAAGTGATTTCTGTCTATAACGGAGACTGAGGTAGTCCTCTAAGTCCTGAGAAGGATTTAGACTCCTTTTATTGATGGACAATGTGTGGTTAGCCCTCTAAGTTCTTAGTGTTGCACAGTAATACTTAGGGGTTTTCTGGCATCAGGCCATCTCATCCAAGAGCAGGAATATGTTTGAGTACAGTATGGAGAGGAGTGAGTGTAAGAATACATTAACTACCCCATGATGAGGACCCAGTGTTGAGTAGTCTGGTGTAGTGATTTGGCCATGTTCATGATGTAAAGGTGAAAAAAAATGCAGAAACACACACATGAGGTTTGTGATAAGCTTTTAATTCAGAAAAATTAAAAACAGCGAAAAGGAGAAATATTTAAGTACAGGTGGTGAAAAGTACAGAATTGAACACTGAAAAATGGTTAAGAGTGAAAGTAAATGACTTCGTTTTCAGAGTGTGAGCTCTTGTTTCAGTGACTTTTCATTGGGCGTGATTAAAAGACGCTTTTGATTTGAAATTGCTGAACGCGAAGGCTGTACCCTGTCACACTTCTCCATGCAGCCAAGGATGAATCAGCGTGTTTTTAAGGGCATTTTTTGTTCTCTTGCAGCTGAATAAATAGGAGAAAAAAGTCAGTGACAAAGACATGACAGAAATGGGAGTACATTCTGATTTTTGCAGGTGAAAGCAGACGTAAACTGAAGAGCTCTGCTTGTGCTGAGAGGCAGACTGGGACTTGTTGTTCTTTGATCAGCGTCACAACAAAATCACTAGTCTTCCACTCAGCAACGACAACACTTCCATCCTCTGGAGTGCCACATCCACTGCTCCATTCTGCAATAAAAGAAAAGAGAAACAAGCTTGTAACAACACGGGGCCTTGAAACACTTCAGCTTGAATCTCCCCAGAACTGTTCTGATGCTACATGTGATGTATCGATCCTCTATCGCCACCTGCGAAGACTTCAGAGTCAAAAAAACGTTTCAGTATGTGTCACAGCTTTTTGCAGGGCATCTAGAGTGATGTGTTGATAGGTTGTGAACTTTAGATGTCGGACATGTGGTTCCTGTCTCTGTGTTTCCATCAAACCCATTTCTCTCTGAAGCCTGTTGACATTCCATCCTTCCTTTGTTGTTGTAATGCCAACCTTTCAGCTCCTCTCAAAAGAGGGAGACAGAAGGAGGAGGGGGGAGGAAGAGAGAGAAACACAGCATAGCACTTAGAATAAATGCTGTTGAGCATATGCATTGAAATCTGTGCATAATTTCGATTTATAAAAACACAGATAAAGAGCGTCAACTCCACAAGTGATTCGTGTGTCATAATTGTACTGAAAGAGAGAAGAGACAGACGGATTGTCCTGCATCTCCAGTATGTTTCTGAGCTGGTAGCTATGCAACAAGACTGGGAGTCAGTGGAAGAGGGGGATGGGAAGATGGGGACAGTTTAGAGAGAGAGGAAGGGAGGGAGGAAGGAAGGTAATAAGGAAAGATGTAAGGAAGGGTGCAAACTAGAGAAAAGAGGAGTGGAGAGCTGAGAGGACACAGAGAGGACACTATTTAGTCCAAGAGGAGACCCAGAGGAAATAATCAATAATGGCCCCTAAACTCATTTGGAAAAGAATCTGTTGTTACTACAGAGGGACCTGCCAACCAAAAATCATCTAATCACTTTCAAAACCAACTAAGAAATTTACACAACACATGTCAACAAAGAGCAGTGAATAACGCTGACACTCCGTCCATACTGTTGCTGAAAAGAAAGAAGTAACCCTCGATGTGGGAGCTGTCCACTGTCTCGGTGCTGAATGACGCCCTACTTTTCCTCCGCGTCCATCTCCTTCCTTCCTCCTCCAGCCTTTCGTCTCGACTCCGGCCCGGGAAAGAAAAAAAAAAAACATGCCACCTGTTGCTGCACCGAAGTTTCTCTCTCTCGGGAGGTTAAAAAGCCAGAAAGACTCCCCAATATCTGACACGTGTAAGCTGCTTTCGATTTTAGAGGAGGTCACTTCTCCTGTTTTCCTCTTTTCTTTGCTCAAATCGCGGCAACACGACGACATGATAAACATTTTTACCTCCAGGCGAGGCAGGAAGAGGAGGAAGGGAGAGTTTTTTCAATTTCCCGTGTACGCGCTGTGTGGATTTGTACCGCCATATGTGTTTGACTTGTTTTTAAAATAATTCGCCTTATCACGTTTAAAAAATATATATATATGAGAGAAGGCTTATTTTAGAGGAGCGAAAGCGCGTAAACACATCAATACCCTAAAAATACGTCGCCTAATGATGCATTTTCTGAATGAAACGTGCAGCTTGTAAGAGATATACTCACCGTGTATGTCGACAGGAACAACAGGTGAAGCCGACATAATGTTATGCAGTGCGCGCTGGATGAGTAGTCAAGGCTGCGTCTCTTTTCACTGTTCAGCTTTCTATTGAAATCACCCACGATCTGAGCGCGTGCGCCCTCCCTTCCGAGCCACACGTAATGCTTATCATGATGTTACTGGGTAAGCTGGAGGAAGATGGATCAGCGTGTTTATATACGCCTGCTGCTGCCGGAGAAGACGAGCGTGGGGCGGGACCATGCGGAGTGACGACAGCAAGAGGTGGCCAATCAGCGCGGCTCTTTTTCAGACCTTGTTAAGGGTGCGGCCCCAAACCCAAGCAGCCAAATAATCACATTATACGAAGGTTAAGGACCCACATCAATTAAACATATGGGAGCCTAGGCTATATCCATGGTGGAAAATACCTGTGTTTCTATTTATGGGGAGATCGATTGCTGCTGGCGATAAATCAATGCACTTTGTCAACCTTATTTCTGCACGTAATTTAAATCTGATGAAAGCACCCACCCCCAACACACACACACACACACGCACACACACATACACATACACACTTACATACACATACATAGGCCTACGGACATAGAAAAAATAAATTGAAATCACGTGTCTCAGGGGTGCAAGACTTCATCTGAGTAGCTGGCGTGTGAGGAGTTTTATTTAATTGAATTAAACCCGAGCTATGCAATCTAGATTATGCACCAAATTAATAGGTAAATTGAAACAACTATGTTACAATCCTGAGGGCTATGGAAATTAAGAGTGGAAAAATTAATTGCTTAGTTTTACTCTGACTGAATACAATTAAATTTATCTACATGTCCAAATACAAGTGTGCACTCAAAATGTTTGACAGGCGGTATGGACATTTTTCCTTATTTTAAGGGGGGAAAATAAGTTAAAGTATTGGATGTCATTACCAAACATGGGAAAGGTTTCAGAGTGTGATGTAAACATACAGTCCAGGCCAAAAGTTTGGACACACCTTCTCATTCAATGCATTTTCTTTATTCTCATTACTATTTAAATAGTAGATTCTTAGTGAAGGCATCACAACTATGAATGAACACATGTGGAATCGTGTGCTTAAAAAAAAAGTGTGAAATAACTCAAAACATGTATTACATGTAGCCACCCTTTGCTTTTTTGGTAGCACTGCAAACTTTTGCTGTTCTCTCAATGAGCTTCATGAGGAACTCACCTGAAATGGTTTTTACTTCACAGGTGTGCCTTGTCAGGGTTACTTTGTGACTGACTAAGTACTTCTGTCATCAAGAGCAAAGGGTGGCTATTTTAAAGAAACTAGAATATAAAACATGTTTTCAGTTATAAGTACAAAATTCCACATGTGTTCATTTATAGTTTTGATGCCTTCAGTGATAATCTACAATGTAATGAGAAGGTGTGTCCAAACTTTTGGCCTGTACTGTATGTTGGCGTGATCTGCAGGATGAAATGGTGAGATGCTTTAAAAATGTGTTTGAAAAACTCACATCACCAGTTGGTGGCTCTACTTAAAAGGACATGATAAACACAAACCTGTTTTATTGTTACAGGGTTTTTTTTTTTTTTGTCTTTTTACAAGACATATAACTGTCAAACTGTCAAGATCAGATTTGGGGTCCAATACCTATGAAAACATAATTTGTAATTTTAAATCAACTCTGGTTAACTTTATGATAGCAACAGATGTAGCATGGCAACAGTGGAGGAAGGTTCCAGAGAGCTTAAGTGTCTTACAGAGACAATAACTGAAATGAAACGTTTTGGACAGAGGCTGAAATGAGGGTTTTTAAAAACATCAGTCTGTGATAAGAAAGTGTTTTTTTAAGCTGTAAGTAAGACAAAACAATCAGAAAGTTGATACAAAGCCCCCCAACAATATAAAACAAACACACCAAGAGATTTGGTACATGAATGTCATTTTACATCGGCACAATAAAGACTTTCTAATGCTCCATGTAAATAAAACATTCATGAAAAAGCACACTGTACGACAAATCCTTGATGCACTCCAGAATAACATGGTACATAAACACAGTGGCCCACAGGGATGCTCTCCTTTTATCCCAGAGCATAATGGTGTAAATTTCAGCAAATTACATAATAGTCATATTGAACTGTTAGTCATTGTTTATTGACCTCTTTGGCAGTTTAACACCACTTGTGGGCTGGTAGAGAACAATAAAGTAATTTAATTGTGCAAATATTGGACATTCAAAGGATTTTGTGGTTAAAATGTTTTTTTTTCCCCCGCTGTAAAATTGGGCAGAGTTGTCACAGCTGTCAGAGGAACCAGAAGTTTTATATAAAATCAAAAACTACACTTTGAATATCTGAGATTACAACTCTATAAAGAGTCGATTCAGATGTTACCATAACTGTTGTCAAACTTTTGGGGTTTTTGAGGGCAAAGTGTCAATTTAGACAGATGGGTGGGATCTGCATTAGACATACCAAAGAGAAATTAGTGAAGCTTCTGTGAAGATTTTTAACAGGATATAAAACAGATTGATATGAACTGTCATGTAAAAAGGCATGTAAAAGCAAAAAAGAAATTGTCAGATTAGACAATTTACAGAACGGTGAGGAAAAAAACTGTATATTTTTTTGCTGTTAAGACTCACAAAATGACACAGTTGGTTGTTTAAAAAGAGCAGTATGAGATTTTTTATGTCTGAAGACCAGACTTACACATGTGGAGGAGAAGATCAGCACAGAGATGAGAGGTACCTCATAGTCCACATGAGGCACCAAAGTTGACTCGAACAGAAAGTTCCTCGCAAAAACTTTTAAAGCCAAAATGTCCTCAATAATAATTAACCTTTTTAACAACTACTTGCATTTAATCTGCAATATGAAATATCAAAAGTGACCGCAGTAGCCAAGCCTCCAGTGAAGATTCAGAGATTATGTCAGGCTGTGACAGGGAAAGAAATCGGAATAAGTTTTTTAATTTACAAAGCTGCACAAAGGATTTTTTATCAGATTTGTAAGTTATTGAGGTGGGATTAAATTCCAGTTTTCCCATTTGTTAATTTAGAAAAAACAACAACACAACATTAAATTACAAGGAGTTCAGGTATTTCCTGATGCTTTCAGGGACTTGTGATATTTCCCAAAATCCTCAAAAGCCAGGAGAAAGTGAGCCACAAGTTGAATCTTTCCAATACTCATCGACATGATCTGACCCTTGGTAACAAGACTAACCTTTAATTATTTAATATTATGTTAAACAACATACACAAGAAATAACTGTGTAATAAAAACACCTAGTATAAGTGTAACTGTTTATTGCAACAGCTTTATAACCTTCACAACAATCAAAATGTGCAATAACCATGCAGGCTGCTTTGACATACTCTGTTTTCATTGCTGCTGAATCTCTTCAAATAAGGTCTGCATTAACTTTAACATTACATTACAATTAAATGACATGTGTATTCAGTCTAATATGTGCACTTTCATTTTTGGTGCTACTTCTCGTACCTGGTACATCATTTCTACTTAGCTAATTTTGTACTTCAGCTCCATAATGATTTAAATCCTTAATTTTTCAAACTTATAATCATTTTTTTTGAGCTGCCAGCATTAACATGTTAATAACATAGCGCTTAAGGTCCAAATGAAGACTTTACTTCTTAAATTGCATGCTGTTTTGCTCCTTACGGCAGATTGTAGTTCAGCCGCTGCAGTGTCATCTTTCTGCTGCTGTGGTGGACAACAATGCCACAGCACTATCAAATGACAAATTTCATGAAAAAAAAAAAAAATCCCAGTAGGCTCAGTTAACAAGTGAAATATCACAGAAATACTACCAACCTAACCAAGGGCACAGGTGCAACTAATCCCACAGTTTTCAGTGGGTGGAAACATAAAAAAAGTCAGTAGAGTACTATTCATTTTATGTGAACAAAATCAAATCAAAGGTGACTACAATGCTGGCTAAATGGATGACAATGTTGTAGTAAACTTAGGTCTAACACATATTCTTAAGATGGCATGTTGTGACTATTTGTGTGCCCTACCGTTACTGGTTAACCATTTATTTTCAGAAAAAAAAAAAATCTTTCAGTCAAGATCACAGAGTATATTTCATTGCATTTACTTTGTTTCTAATTACAGACACTGGTGTGACACTTAACATTGTGAATTTGGTTCAGAATGTGGAAAAATAGATATGGGATCAAAATGTGATTAAACAAAATTGTTAAAATCTTTTGACAGCCCTATTTTTTATTTCTGCTTTTCCTTTAATAAGTAATGGCACATTCTACTGCAATTTATCTGTGGACTCACAAAGTACTTCTGATTCTCACTGATCTCTTTCTGATCAAAGCGTCTTCTCCAACAAAAGCAAACTGACAGCTCATCTTAGCCTTAAAGGCTGAAGAACAACACCCACAATTTCATAAATGCAAAGGTGAAGCTGGGATGAGGGACCAGTATCCTCTTTAAAAAAAAAAAGAAAAGGAAAAAATCGCAGATACACACACACATTCATACATGCACACATAATCACACACACACATTCACACAAACACACAGGTGACCCTCTCTGTGCTCTTTTCCTTGAGGCAAAATGACCAAAAAGAAAGCCTGGTTTGGCTGCAGCCATTAGTCATCACAAAGCCTTGTTCCTTTGATATCCCTGCAGGCCGGGTCTCAATGCAGCTCAAGAGCCGGGTTTATGGAGGGACCTGGGGGAAGATCCTGCTCCCTGTGTTTTCAGGCTTTGCTCGTATAATGAAGATCTCACTCTGCGCCTCTTGATAGAAACATCAGGCGGTGGGATTACACATATTAGCGCTCCCCCTTCGCTCTTTCCTCCCTGCTTTCAGGGCTTAATGTTAACATCTGCCCACCCAGAGCCACCCAGATGAACAGCAAGACTGTGTTCAATGTCTCCCATTCAGATGATTTATCTGATCACTATAATGGACTATGCATGTTATTTAGATGACAGTATAATGGAGTCTGAAGGGGAGTGAGGCTCAGGACTCTGTTGTGTTGGAATAAGCTGCTTCATATTAGCCTAAAGTACCTGGTCTTTACACAAAAACCAAAGGACCATTGTTAAGTTTGCAGTATTACTTTGAAAGCTGTAGAGTCCACCTGGAAGCCAGATTCCAACTTTGTTAACAAGATCAGCCTTTCTCTGATTCTCATTACTGTAAAAACCAGAAGAACAGCATCATGTGAGGTTTTTTTTTGTCGTGTATTTAGGCTCTTAGGCTGTTGTTTACGCTGATAAAAATCCATTTACTGTTTAAATGTGTAAGTGAGTTTGGATGGGCCACCACAGGGCACAAGCAGAGGTGTAGGAGCTTTGGGAGGCGTTAGTGAGCATTCATTATTTTTCATGCTCTAGGTTAAAACTATGCATGTGTGGGCTGGACTGGCAATATGATGGAAATTCGCAGACTTCCAGGGAACGATGAGGGACCACGGGGTGTTTGTTCTGTTCTCACTAAGTTTGCGTTGTAAAAAATGCGGTGTAGCAAGACTGAGGAGAAGGTAAAACAAGATGCAACATGTGTGTGTTTAACCTTCTTCACAGAATGATCTAGAGACATTACACATAACCAGCCAGGTTTTTGTCTAGCAAGTTTTTTTCCGGGTCTGACCTTTGAGGTAACAGGGTTTAAGCTGATTGTCTAGGTGGGGTAGCAGCAGTGTGGAAGAACTGATTCACTGAGTTCGGAGCTCCTCGCAGAATGGCGCCCTCTGGTGTTCTTGCTCAGTCCAGAAAGCACAAAAAGCCACTTCCTTTTTTCAAAAAGGAGACAACAAGGTGATAAAGTGTGAGGGGAGGAGTAGGACAAATTATAAAAGGACAAATTATAAAATTATAAAGGAGGGCTTATGAAGGAAGACAATAAATGATGTGAATTTAATGGTGCAGATTTCATGGATTTTATCAATAATATGATTTAAATCCATAAAACTGATCAGAGCAGAGTTATTTGAAAGAAGTAACATGGAATGGTGGTGTTGAATGGATAGAAATTGTATAAAAACAGTATAAGCCAGTGGTTCTCAAGTCCAGTTCTCGAGGCCCACTGTCCTGCATGTTTTGGATGTTTCCCTGCTCCAACACACCTGATTCAAATGATTAGCTCGTTATTAAGCCATTACAGAGCTTGATAATGAGCTGATCATTTGAATCAGGTGTGTTGGAGCAGGGGAACATGCAGGACAGTGGGCCTCGAGGACTGGACTTGAGAACCACTGGTATAAGACATAATATGCATACTGAGATAGTAGTAACACTTGGCTGATTGGTTATCATCAACAATTGCAATAAAAAAAAAAAAAAAACTGAGTTTGTGCTCCTTCACTTCTTCACACAGCAAATACGAGCGGTATCTGAGAAAGTAGGTGAAAAAAATTCTCAAACAGCGGGGCAATTATTTCTTATTTTTAAACCAAACATTAAAACTATTTTAGTACAGAGCCTCTGGATCTCTGGTGAGATCTGCTTGGACTTAAGGGGCTTCATATAATGATGCCTTTGCTGAACGCTATTTTCAGCTGCACAGTGTAGTTCATGAGCATTAAGTGGTAGTTTGAGGAAAGTCTGACTCAGAGAGAGGTTTGGAGGGATGAATGGGAATTTCTCCTCTGTAGATTTCTATAACACTTTTCTAAAATGTTCACTCTGAATATGAAGAATATGTTGGTGGTGAAAGTCACATGGCCTCGACATCTGTGGTTAATAGACCTCAACAGTCTTGTCATAGATGTCTTCATTTTACAGTCACATCAAGAACATTTTTGACGCTGGATAAAGCAAAGTTAGTCAAAGCTTTTTTTGCAATGTCACAAGGAAACAGCACTGTTTCAAAAGGGGTCCTAAAATAAAACCACAAACAGCCAACATCACTCACTGCTGTCATCACTGCAACAGGTGGAATACAAACTAAACACAAACTTCAGCAGGAATAATTGGAAATTATTTTTAAACCGCAGATGTCCTGAAATCGTCATTTTTTTCAGTTAGCAGCTTATTAACCCTCTTCTTAAAAAATATATTTTCATGGATATCCAGTATTTACGTGAGCAATGTCTTCAAATTAGAAAATCCAGAAGAATCACATCCCAGGATAAGACATGACTCATGTATAAGCTCTCTTTTTCGCACCGTTTCACATTAGAGACCTCATTTTTTGATTGTTGGGAGCAGCTGAAAGATTTCCCCCTTCCCTTCAGTTTCGCACAATAAAACAGGAACAGCATCCATTACAAGATATGTTCATTTAATTGTTGATTATCTTTTGTACAGAAATATTTTTCTTTTAACATTCTTCCTGTAGTTCAAGTTGGCAGCATCATCTTGATTTTGAAGTGGCGTTAAAATAGTTTTCCATAAAGTTTGGCAGTGAAACTGCCCACAAGCTCCCCCCCCCCCACACAGCATTAGTAAACAAACATGCCATCTCTGTACACTTCTGAATCTTTGTACACAACGCAAATAAATAGCATCCGTCTTAATGGAGTACGCTAACTCAAACATTCAGAGAAGAAAAACAGGATGATGATAGAAGGTCTGTTTTTTTTTTTCCTATTAAAAACAAATTACACAGGCACAACTTCTCCATACAAAAATGGTTTGAATGCTGCAAAAGAAAAAGTGCCTCCAGCTTAAATTTGTTAGCAGACACAGCACAAAGCAGAAGCTCTTAAATGACTTTTCACTTTGATTAAATTCAAAATCTGTTTCTTGATGCTTTAGCTGCTGTCATCAAAACTGAGGTGTCGTATTGTTTCTTGCCTGACTTGTAATTTAAGAGGGCAGAGAAAAGAAATGAAAAGTTTCCTCACAGGCCTCATTAAATCCTCTGATTTTATGGAGCTTTGGTTCTTATGGTTATTTTCCTTTTGAGTTGCGATGCCATTGCTTTTTTTTTTTTACCGGTTTGATTATGAAACATGAGCCAATATAGACAAAAATGAAGATGTGACGGATTAAGAAAAAAAAAAAAGGGAGAGAGAGAGAGAGGGATCAGTCCTGTTTGTCCAATCCTTTTTAAACATCATCACTGTGGAAAGATACCAGAAAATTGCACACAGGATTATGTAATGAGTAAATCAGTGTACATGAAGCATTATTTTCTGTCAGTAAATTAAAAAGATTAGTTTGGATTTTTCTGCAGACCTGTACAAAACCAAACACACTCCACAGTTACGACCAAAAACCTCAATCAGACACACGAATGAAAATCCACCAACTTCCAAACGCACACACGAGAAAGATTACGAGACAAAATTAGAAAAGAGAAAAAAAATAAAAATAAATAGACAATCAAAAGGACAAACTTATTTGGCAGGCGAGTACACCAGTCTGTAAACAAAAAGGATCAGAAAATTCTCCATGTCATCAAGATAATCAGTCTGTGTGAGAAGGCAGTGCCTCCATCATCCAGGAGAAACTCGAATACTGTATGTTTGTGTGTAAATATTTCTTCTGCCCTTCAATCTCAGGCTGTGCACTTCCTCTGCACACTCTCAACTCCAGCTACAACTTGGCTAAATAACTCAGGGCGATGGAGGGGCCCTCTGTGCTAGACTGAGGTCAACACTCAAAGAAGGGTCCCATTTACAGCTTGACACATGCAGAGACAAATTCCCTCCCCGATTTTATTCTTTCTGGCACAGAGTTACACCGACTACCGGATCCTGGTGAAGAGATTCAGAACTGACACCGATTCCTACAAAAAAGAGAGAGACAGAAGGCTGGGGTAAGACACCTGAATGAAAATATTTTTAAAATATTTAAAAAAATAAAACAAATATTTTTTTTTGTTATCCTAGAATAGTGCTCCCCAGTGTTGGGGTCTGGACCCCCTGGAGGGATGGCATGGCACTGATGTGGGAGCGCAAAATGCCTTTCAAAGTAAAGTTAATTTGAAATATTCCAAATGTTATCCATTATTGTAATAATTGATAGACTGACTTTAAATGGAACCATCAAATAAAAATATTTAATCAGTTCAGTTTGGAGCTCACAGATTCAGCTGAATATCCACTTACTGAATACTGCATGTCCCTCTCAAACAAGTCTAAACATGAAGATGACTCCTATTCTGCTTCTATCTGTGCTTACACACAGCTCTGAACATCATTAACCACACTGAGGGACAGAAGGGGTCCCCCCTCTGTGGCCCTGTTATTTTGAGGGTCCTGGGCTGAAAAGTTTAGGAACCCTTGTCCCAGGTCACAGGTGAGAAATGGAGGGAATGATACCTTAGTGGATCTCATTTTACTGAAGACGTTCCAGAAGCGGAGCGTTTCATCTCCGGCGCCCGTCACAATGGCCTCTCCGTCAGGGGACATGGCCTACAAATGAACTCATTGTTACACGCTGAACACAGAGTATTATAACAGTGGGTGATCTGAATGGTCAGGGCCATGAAAAAAGTTTTTTTTTCGTCTCTACTCCTGTGTTTGTGGATTTGCAGCCAGAGCAGCGCTTCAGGAAAAACATCCAAAAATCTTCTTAACTTGCACAAGATGGAGAAAACTCTAAAGTTTTCTCATAAATGTTGTTATTAAAAGAGACATGTACCACAGCTGTCACTGGTGTAATACTAATATATGCTACCAAAATGACCAATCATTTTTCCTGGAGGAGCTTTGTGGGGAAAAAAAATGTGGACTAGAATTAACCCCTAAGGTACCAAGTGTAATAAAAGGGGTAATAGAAGACACATAGTTCCCCATTAACACAAGAAATGTGGCACAATGCACCAAAGAAACGAGTTTAACCATAGAAGGGCTTTTCCAAAGATACCAACACCACTGTGTGATCAAGACAGAAGACTATTGTGACCCATAGTATCAAATCTGTCTGTCCCATCTGCCTATATACATAGGTCATCTGTGACTCTGCACAGAGCCTGAGCTGTGTCTTCACTAAAAGACCGATTGGATTTGATCAAACATGTTACTCTCTTGAGTGATTTATTTTTCCAATATTTTGGAAATAAAGTGAAATTTTGAAGCTGATCTGAAATTGTTTGAATTTGGTGAATCAAAGCTGTTTTTTTTCCTTCAAGAAGGAGTGGTGCAAGGTGGAAATACACACTCAAACTGTATACGCATAAACAAAAACATTATGTATACTGACCAAGTAGAGTACTCTGTAGGAATGCCCAGTTAGTTTGGCCACTTGAGTGAGGGAGGGATACTTCCAGACCAGAATCTGGTTCTGGGAATAACCGTGTGTGCTGACCTGCAGAAAATAAACACAGTTGTATATATTGACTTCAGATATCAAAGAAACTTGGTTAACCTTGGGACAAAGAGCTAAATCAATAGTAGTTCATTTTGCTTTAGCACAGAGACATACATGTCCAAATCCTAGACCCTTGGGTGACTCACCAGTTCGTTGGTGTGCTTCGACCAGGCCAGGTTGCAGACCTGAGAGCCTGTATCTGTGCACTGCAGGGGCTGCCCAGTCAGAGTGTTCCAGAAGCGGATGCAGCGGTCGGCAGTTCCACCTCCGGAGGCAAGCAGGCCGTGCTGGTGGGGAGACCAGGCGATGGCCTTCACTGCAGCCAGGTGCTCAGTATACTGCTGCACTGGGTGGACGCTTGAGTGGTTCCAAACCAGCAACTACACACAGCAGGAAGAAGAAATAACGATCAGGTCCGAACATGCAGCCCTCACACACATATGCAGGTGATATTCTCTGCAAACATACCTTGTTATCATTTCCACCTGAGGCGAGCAGCTGGTGGTCCGTGCTCCACTTAAGGCCGCACACCTCCTGTCTGTGTCCTTGGAGACGGCGCTCCGACTGGAGAGGTGGAGCTCTGATGTCACGCTGCAGGATCACTCGATCGCGGCTCCCAGACGACAACTGGTCTGCATTCCAGGCCAACGCACCTAACAGTGGAGATGAAAAGCAGATTGAACAGAGGATGATTCACCACTCGTGAATGGAAGATGCAGATATAAAACAACTGTGAAAAATGAATAAAGGTTGTAGTCCGTTACTCCTCCATCCCTCCAGCTCTTCCACTCACCCACTCTGGCTGTGTGTCCTTCCAATACAGACAGTTTCTTCCCTGCTGCTGCATCCCAGATCTGTACGTAGCCTTTATGAGTCCCCACCGCCACCAAGTTACCCTAAAAATAGAAAACAAAATTTGAATATCACACTGACTCATAAAGAGCCCGTCAGTCTGGTTTTAAAAACATCTACCAATAAACAGTTTATTGAGGTCTGCACTGAGCATGTGCACCAGTGTAAACCTCTGGACGAAAAAAAAAACAACATCTCTTGATTCCTTTTTCAGTCGGACCACCTTCTGACAGAACAAGTGTAAAAAAAGAGTGTCCACTAGTAAGCTTGACAACTTTATTTGAGATACTCAGATTTTTTTTGACAGTCAAAAAATATGAAAGGTGATAACAGATGACAGAGAAACCCACCCTCTCTGACCAGCCGACTGATGTTACAGAGTCTCCTTCCACAGAGAGGTCACACAGACGTGTCACCTGTGAAAAATTTAGAAAAAAATACATGTGTGATAAAAAAACTAAATGAAAGATTAAATGTTGTTACAAATCTTACATGACAGAGAAATATATGCCACACACCTGGCTGGTGCAGGCGCTCCACAGATATACACAGGTACCCAGTCCAACACTGAGCACATTCAGAGAGGACCAGTCCACCAAGTTGAGGTAGAAGTCATCCTGAAGCTCTGGAGCATCCAGAACTTTGAAGGGGATTTTAGAAATTTTGCGTGTGGGTTTCCTTGGTGACCGCAAAAGTTTCTGGCTGCAGAGCAAACCACAATTTGTTAAATTAAGCAAAAGTTCTTCATTAGAAATGGGGCTGATTAAATTCAAGGGATGACCAGCAGAAGATGTTACCTGTTGCTACTGACAGGTGATAAAGAATAAGGAGAAACTGTGTTTCCATCCTCTTCAGGAAGGGCTCGTTTGGTACTAACAGAATACTAAAAACACAAGGACATGATCAGTAACAGTTAAACTCCCAGTTAACAAAGTTTGTTTGACGTTACAGTAATGTAAGTTTTTTTTGTTTTACACTAAAGAGGCTTCTCTTGGCGGGAGTAGATGGCTGCAGACGCCGGTCCTCTGACTGAGGGTCTTGGACTTTCTCAATGCCAGCTCCCAGCAGCTCGTTCTTCAGCAGAGCAGAATAAGCCAGACCGTCAGCTAAAGGCAAGGGAGGAGACAAAGGGGAAAATCAAGCCAGGCTGAGGAAATACACCACCAAGAGAAAAAAAAAAAAAAACACGGTCCCTCTGCCATTTTGAAACTTGGCTTTACATCTCCAAAGATCTGGGATCCTTGGTTAACATGAGCCTATTCAGCCTCAGCAAACAAGAGAAGGTCAAATTTCCAGAGGAGAGAGGGCTTTGAAAATGAGCTGAAAAAGAGGTAGTTCTCAGACCAATGTATGGACAGAAAAAAAAAGGGAAATCGGGCTGTTGCAGGATAGCTGCTGCATGTTCCTTTATCAGTGAATATGATAGATGTGGTTTTCCTGGATATTTACCTCTTGCTGAAAATAATCACGCCTGGTGCATGTTACCAAATATCATTCCCTTCACTATGGTCAAACTGAAGCCAACAAATCCATGACGAAACCACTGCATGTTGATGTTAGCAGCTGGAATGAAAGTGTAGTATGCACAAAGAGTGGAAAAAGCTCTGATCTTTGGTTCTCACAAGCTTGCCTAAATGGCACGGGAATACAATACTACACTTGAATGGCAGCATTCCAGTCAATTACGTCTGTCTGTCACCATAAACTGCAGTTCAGATGCAAATTTTTTGCACTTATCCGCTTTTCCATTGATTTTTTTCTCCATTAGATGGATGACAGTGACCCAAAGATTTATTTATCAAAAATGAAACTGATAAAATTTAGCATGAAGAATTTAAATCCCTGGGTGCTAAATCACATTAATCCAGATTTAGACTCTTGATGTAAAGATGGATTCATTACCTTTGTTGCTGTCTGTTGTTCCATCTTTGGTTTTCCTGTTTTGATTGTGAGACTTTTCAATTTCCTATGTAAAAAAATGGGCAAATCAATTGACATTGTAAATTATTTTGGTAAAGCAGATATTCTTACTTCTGTATTCAAGAGTTTGTACATAAGTAGAAGGTAGTGCTGACTAATAACATATATCCTTATCAGCTATAATCCACTCTGAAACTTGTGATTAGTGGTCCTCCAAAGAAGGGGAGTGAAATTGTTGTGTACCGCTGCTGACTCACATTGATGCGGTGGAAGTTGACACTCCAGTTGGCTCCTGCCCGGGAAGGAATGAAGCGATCTCCATGCTTGCTAGGTGACGAAAGAGGGGAGCTTGTAGGTGTCAGGGCTCGGATCGCTCCTACGGCCTTCTACAGAAAAAAAGAGAAGAGAAAGCAGGAGAGGAGAGGGCATTTTCTGATTCAAGGCCAAATACAAACAGGCTTTGGACAGGGATCTGAAAACTTTACAACCAAACAGGACAACTTAAGCAGCAGATGGTGTGTTTGTTTGAGGTGTTAATAACAGGAGGCCACATTCACAAAACCCCGCCATTTGGCTGCCAAGGTCTTGTTATCACTTGACACTAGTGACAGTGTCAGATGGGAAAGACTGGTGGCCTGTTAGACTGTTTACTCTTTCAACACATTTAAAGCAACACTCCCTCTGCTCATTGTAAGTCCTTCGCCAGCAAACAACTCCGTTTAGGAGGGGCTATGATCATGGTATCATTAGAAGTACGACTGAATTCAGAAAATCTCAGGACTGTAAATCTCTCGCAAGATCACAAATATGTGTTGCTGTTTTTACTACTGGTTCTATCAGTACTGTTGCTCATTTTAGTACAAAAAGGGAAAATTCATGTTAAATACTTACTATAGGGCTTGCATTTTCATTTTGGATGTTGATCTGCCTGAGGAGCCTGCACTCATAATCCTGATCCATGACGCCTGGAAACAATTCACAACAGAAGACCAGTCAGACAGCATTTCCCCTGCTATGTTTTAACATCACATTTCTGAAATTATGTTTGTCAGCACTTTTGTTGTATATAATTTGTGAAAAGAAAATATGTTGACTGGACTCTTAAAAAAATCAATAAGCTGGACAGCATTTAGGGCTGACATTAGATATACCTATAACATCTCAAATCTATAACAGGTTTATATTGCTGATTATGTTCTGCCCAAAACTCTACAGCTACTCATATTTCATCACATTGACAGATTTAAACAGCACATGCAGACACTAATTTGTCATTTTACTAAATAACTTGAACAATGATTGTGATTATCGGGTGTCTGTAGATCGAGGAACTGACTGGTGAACAGTTCCAGTATCACTGCTTGAAGTTTTTTTCTTTTTTTTTTTTGACAAATAAAGCTTTCTTGACAAGTTGTTTGTGTTAACATGGAGCTAATAGAAATCAATTAATCAAAGTTTATTTATATAGCACAGTTCATACAAATGAAACTGCAGCTCAAAGTGCTTCACATTAGGACAAGAAAAAAATAATGGTTATTATAATAGACTAAAACAGACAAAAAAACATGAACTTGAATTTATTAATAAAAGAAGGCAAAAAGTGATACTAATAAATAAATAAAGGATAATAGTAATTACAATAAAGAAGCTTTACATAAAAGCCAGATGAGTTTTTAGGTTACAATTTCTATATTTGCAGCTTGTCTCAGACCTTCTGGAAGTTTGCTCTACAGTTTTGGAGCACAGCAGCTATAAGAAGCATCACCAAATTATTTTGTTCTGTTCTGTGGAACGACTAAAAGAGAAGATTGAGAGGATCTGAGAGGCCGCCCTGGTTCATAAATTAAAATTATCTTTGTACCGGTGCCAGGCCATGTAGAGCTTTATAAACCAGTCGAAGAATTTTAAAATCAATGCGAAAACTAAAAGGCAGGCGGTGCAAAGACTTTAAAATGGGTGTAATATGAGCTCTTCTAGCAGCAGAGTTTTGGATCAGCTTTTGGGTAGACCAGAGCGGAGAGCATTACAGTTATCAAGCCTGCTGGTTATAAAAGCGTGCATCAGTCTTTCTGTCTGGCTCAGAGAGAGAAACGGTCGTACTTTAGCAATGTTTTTAAGATGGTAAAAGGCTGTTTTAGTGACCCCCCTAGCGTGAGTTTTAAAATTAAAATCAGTATCAAAGACCACCCCGAGATTTTGTGCTTCTTGGTTGGGGTTAAGTCCTATTTTGTGGAGTTTGGGGGTCAGTTTCTCTCTCTGAGCATTTGAACCAATTATTAAAACCTCAGTTTTGTCCTAGTTGAGCTGCAAAAAATTCTGTGACATCCAGGCTGTTACATCTAAAAGGCAATTTAAAAGTGACTTCAACTGGCTGTTGTCATCAGGAGACACGGACACATAGAGCTGAGTGTCATCCGCATAACTGTGAAAAGAGATGCCGTGGCTCCTGATGACACCACCCACAGGTAACATGTACAAATTAAAAAGTAATGGTCCTAAAATTAGTCCTTGTGGCACCCCACTGGTAACCTCGTGAGAAAACAAGCATCATAGTAAATACAAGACACAAACATCAATCAGCTATAACACTAACATTTCATGCAATCCAATGCTACAGCTTTACCATCAATTTAACTTTTGCAAAGCTTCTACAGACAGATGATTGACAGATGGACTCAAATTCTTTGAAAAATGTTCCTAATATTTTGCTTCTTTGTTTATATAGTGGACAAAGTTAAGGCTCATCTTTTTCATTATGACACTCCCAAATACACCAGCACCACCCACCATATCTTCAACAATAAACACTGAGTACAATAATCAGCTGTCTGATCATGTAAACACAGTAAATACATAAGCTTCCTGAAAGTATTATTTGTGGTAAACCTGTTGTATTGTATGGCTGATCGCACTATTTGGCATTTATATAAAGAACACAGAATAACATCTTAAATGGAGTTTACAAGGAGTCTACAGGAAGCTTTTTGATTGAGCGTCATGTCTAAAACTGGTTGTAAAGACTCTGTAGTCATAAATCATTCCAGAAACTCCCTTTTAGTTTTGGTGTAGACATAGATTGATCAATCCGAATTAACACATGGGACAGAATATGTTCTGAGAAGCTTATCTTAAAGTCTGATCACACCTTTTTGGACGATTGTGACACTGACATTAGGTAGAGTGAACATGATTACTTGTTAATGATCTGAGTCTTTTGCTAACAATAACACTTCAATCATTGCTAAAACAGCTGATCATAAACGATACTACATTCAAACCGCATCAACACGCCTGTTAAATGTTGTCAACATAAAAACAAAGCGGAATTAAAATCTCATCCACATTCGGAGTAGAGATATGAATGTTGATCGAAGTAATTCAATCAAAGTGTTTGCTGATGCTAACACTAGCTCAGCTGGCGTAAGAGACGCTAGCCTGCCGGCTAACAGGTTAGCAACATTGTTTGTTCTCAATCTACACTTCTCTTAACACCTACCGCGCTTCGATGGCTGTCTTTTCCGTTGTGCGCCGTTACAATGCTTTTCTGATCGTATTCAATTGTGAAAGAAATATCCCGTTTCGCACGTTTTATTTGTGGAAACAAGAGGGTAGAAAATACAAATGTTTTCTTTTACCGAGCGTTCAATTTGGGCTCGCTAAGCATCACGGGAAGGAAGTGACGTCGCTGTTTTTGAATCACTCTGTTCGCGTTGCTAAGGAAACGTGTCGGTTGGCCTGAACACTTTATTAAACGGTCTGTAAGCAAACATAAAAAACATAAAGGTTATTAAACATATTAAAGTTTTTAGCTTTTATAAGTAACAACGTTATGTCTTCAAATAACTCCTTATTTTTGATTTACAGTAGTATTTAAAAAAAGTTTAAATCAGCTTGTCGTCTGGATTGCTGGTTAACTGGACTTACAAAAATGAAAAATAAAACTTTTTCGAGTGCTTCCCTTGAGAGGAATCAACATGCAGTGCCATAAAAGCAGTCTTTCTCCTTTTTATTTGTACTCGTTGGATATGTTTGGACATTCAGCAAATCTCCACCATAGTAGCTGTCTTGCTGTTTTTCCATTAAATTGCATAGCATTTTACTGGGTGCTAGTGATGAGCATGGCAGTTCTTTTAGATTTACTGAATCACTAGAATCAGTTAACTCAAAAGATTCGTTCAAAAGATTAGTTCACCAAATCACTGAATCACTTAACGCTTGGAGGGAGAGGCCTGCGACCCTGACCTCCTGAACTGATACATAGTTGAACGTTTCAGGATTCAGTTCAATTCATAGTTTCTGGAACTGGGCAACAAGAGTGTTTGGCTGTGTTGCTTTGTCAAAGGTCATGATGTTTAAAGTGTACTGTCCTATTGTATGCCATTTATCAGGTCTGCCCGGTAAATTAGGCCCAGCGAGTGATTCGTTCACACGAATCACTCAGTGATTCAATTCACACTGAACATGCACTGCTCCCTCCCAAACCGCTGCAGTGACAGAATGCTGCGGGTTTCATGCACTGTTTGTTACATGCTGTGTCCTATTGTGTGCAAGTTGTTGTGGTGGCAATTTAGCAGTAAAAAAAATGACAAAAATGATTCCAGATAGTGTAGTTCAATGCATGATTCGTTTACCAAGTGATTCAGGCATCGGTGCATATGGTTCCTCGTTCGCCGGCTGCTGGCCTGGCAATGCTGTTTCTCATTAAGCTCAACTGAAGTGAAAAACGAATGAATCACTTGAGGAAGTGATTTGGTTCAGTATGTGCACTTAAAAGATTTGTTTTTTTTTAACGAATTGTTCCCAAACGACACGACAATACTGGGTGCTGGTGTCTGTCTGCCACTTCAGCATTATTGCAATCTCCTGTAAATTTGTCATGGTTGTGCACACACATTTGTTGAAAAGCAATGGATAAATGACGCTCAAAGAGACTTTAAAGTATCTATCGAATGGCTTTATTAGTCAAATAAAAGAGTTGCCAGTGAAACAAACATAACCAAACATGAAGAAAAAACAGATTCAACTAATTTTATGTGCAAAAGTTGAAAATAAAAACACATTCAGTGACATGTTTCAGGACTTCTGACAGAAAAATACATTGAACAATTTACAGGGTGCAGCATGTCCCATGGTCAAATGTGAGAAAAATCTCACTTCAACACTAGCTGCAAATGTGTGGCGGCCACAATGATAAAGGACTTTGATAATTACAAAAAAGAAAATAAAAAGCCAAGTCATAAGCATAGCTAAGGCTAAAGGAATCAGATTCCAAGTGTGAAAGAAAAGGTACAGTAGATTCAAGTAAATGATTGAAATTTTGGTTAAAAAAATAAAATAACTCCCAGTGATGTGCAAAAGTTGTTTTCAAAACTTCTTTAAAAGTCTTAACATGTTGAATCATCATTTAATTTGGGATCACTTAATATTTCTCTAAAATAAAAAAGGGTTTCAGTTAGATGGCTCAACTCAGCAGCTCAAAGGTCCCATGCAGTTTTGCCAAAGGTTTTTGAAGCTTGGCAAAATATATCTATTAGTTTATGAACTGCTTCAAACAGTGTGCATTTAATTTACTGGTGTTTGAACAAAATGTGTCCTGAAAATAACTATATTGACAATACTCAAATTCATATTATCAATAGTCCTGAAAAAGTCACAGCTACAGAACGACAGCTAAATAACTATCAGAAAAACAAATCACATTGTCTATGAGTACAGCATGTTCAGTAGAAAATATACAGTATAAAATGTTTTATACAGACAACCAATTTACCGAGGTAAAGTCTGAAAATGATACAAAAAGCTAAATATAAAATCCCACAAAGAAGAATTATGTTGCCTATGATGATTAATATTAACACTGAGAAATGTTTGGAGTTATCCTTTTGAAATTCTCAGGTATTCTCCTCTTTGTAAGTGTGGACCAACACTTCAAACAATCAGACAAATGACAAAGTAAAATGCTTGTGTGCTTTTGTTGATGCCACAGATTTCAAACTAGTGGAGTGAATGTAGGAATAGCAGTGTGAACCAAAATGACAAACTGATACGTGAACCCAGGATGTTGTTTTTACAGTGAGGAGGTATCTCTTGTCATCAGCTGCAGGCCATTACTGACCTGGAAGCGAGTTTCATCTGATATACCGTACTGCTCCAAAGGGTCCTGCAAAGACAGCCGATAGTGAGGAACAAAGATTGTAAGAAAACAAAGACTTGGGGTGTGCAGAGCAAATGTTATCTATGTTCACAGAGCAAGCAAACTTTAATTTTGACAACCAAGTCTATGTGGCATACAGATAGTTTTGGTTTTGAGTAGGTGAGTGGAACTTCAATTGTGGCACATTCACCACCAAAAGTGTGCATAATATGAGTGTATTATTATTGACAGGTATCATGAAGAACTAATTACTCAATTTTTTCAATCATCCTCAGCAATCAAGAGATTGTTTCTGGTATATTGCTATAATACATTTCTCTAAAGCACTAAACAAAACATTTTAAAACTGCCAAGTCTTTGTGTCTTGATCTACCCATCTGTCTTCTGCCAGTGCTGGTGATGCTGGTTATGTCAGTGGGTTGAGCGTGGCAGACACACGCTTCACACTTCAATTCATCCCAGTATGTGGAACAGAAGCACCATCTGTGCTGCATTAAGTGTATTAGCGTGCTGCTGTGAGAGGTCTTACCTTTCCGGTGAGCCTGTGGATTTCTGTTCGGTAGAATATCAGGTTCTTCCTCATGAACTCATAACTACAAAGATGAGATGAAAGATTTAGTTTGAGGATATACAAAAACAAACAGATATCGGGGATGTATCAAACTGCTGATGAACATCTTGGCAAACATGGAAAATAAAAGTGAATGTCCCACACAGTGAGCTCTGGCTGTGTGTTAATTGCTGACTTTTAGCTCCTGTGTAGTAATGAATCAGCTGAAAACAATTGAGTTTGAGTCACACTGCCTACATTGTGTCTCTGCAAACAGCTTCAGCATTCATTTTTTGTGATTACCCCCATGTGAGTGATGATGACTAGGGGCTAGGATGTGTCACAACCAACAGCAGAGCAATGCTTGTTGCTCCAGTCATGGGACCATATTCTAACTTTTCCCTGAGTCTCAGCATATCACAACAATAGATTTGTACTCAAGTTTGAGCACAATAGAGGTTCTGTCTTTAGTTAGTTCTCGTGGTATCACCTATAACCACACAATATGCTTTTGCATGTTTTACAACTGTCATTAGACTGTGACATAGAAGGGACTGTCTGTAATGTCTCTGTTAAAGTTGTGTCACAAGATCATAATACTGGCAGCAGTTAAACTCAAATTACTCAGCTTGTAATAATGGACATATTAGTATGACTTGATTGTTGATTGAAAAAGTTAAAACTGCACACCATACTTGATAAATCAGGCAACAAATTCATAGAGATGAAGATCTAATCTAATCTTTTTAACAAAATTCTCCTCGGGGATAAAGTTCTTCTTATCTTATCTTATCTGAGACTGTAAACATTCAGCCTTACCTGGCCTTGATGATACAATCAATCCACTCCCCACACTGTTCTTCAGAGTCACATTCAAAAAGGTATTTCTTCTCTGCTTCATCCAGGAATGCTACAAAGAGGAACACAAAGGTACTGAGATCTATACAGTATAGTGTCAACACGCAAACAGGAACAGTAATAAGAAAAATACCCAGACCAGTATGTTCCTTTGCCATTATTATGAGCTGATAAGGGTTTATCAAACACTTACCTGTATCAGTGTATTGCAAAATACAACTTTTCCCCACTACAATTTTCTCAAATAGAACATAATTCTAATACTATAATACAGAATTTGGTAAGAAAGCAGCCCTCTGGTGATCTTTGCGAAATTATATCTGTTTAATATTAGTGGAAAATTTTCATACAGTAGATACAATCTTACCCTAAACCTGCAACTTAGATCTTGATATTGGTATCAGAATCCCATTTACCTATGTCAACAACATAAAGTCATTGTCCTGACCAGTCTGACACAGCTTTGAAAATAATCTTAACAATAAGTAGAGAAACAGTGTAACTTTGTAATGTGAATTTTTTAAGATGCTGGAGTTTACCAATAGAGAAAGTCTGGCTGTCCTCCTTCTCCACTCGACACTGCTCCAGCAGCAAAGCTCCAATTGGCTGAAAAGATAAATAAGAACTTTAATTCATATTCGACATATTGTCTTTTGGGGGAAGTTGTTTCACTTTCTCATACAATGTAGGTTAGATGTTTAAAAACATGCTGGTACGACTCAGGTTTGATGGAGATACTTGTCAACAATGTGTGTACCAGCCGCATGGGACTATCCTTGGTACAAGTGCACATTACATTAGGACATTTTTCAGCACTTTTGTTTGCCCATTCACTGACATGTTCTCCTGCCAGCAGCACACTAATCTGCGGTTTGGGAGTATGCAGCCTCTTTCTGGTCATGCTAAGCTCTGTCCTTCAGCTTTTCAGACACACAGGTATGTTCTCCTGCCTCCTCCTGCTCCTCTCTCTGCTTTCCTCTCCTCTCTCCCACAGTAATCATACAACCTTGATCATCACATTTTTATGACTGTGGGGAATTGTGACTGAAATTGAAAATTGAAATCTAATTAATCGCCAAGTCCTAATCAGTGCCTCGGTCATCATGGACCGACCATCATGAGGCTGATCAGTGAGCTGAAGGAAGAAGTATGAGCTGTGTGCAGGAATATAAGTGAATGTGCTGCCTGATGGCAAAGTGTTGTGCTTAATTTTTTTCAAACAGAGCATACTCTACTATCAAAAATGGTGCTTTGGTTAGAGTTTGTTGAAATTAGCTAAATAACATAATTGAGCAGACCTCATCTGTAGTAGTTGATTGTCTAGCTTCCATTTCCCAGTTCTCCAGCATGTTTCTCAACAAAAGGGGAAGCTGACCGCGATCCCCTACTAAACCTAACTCTAACCCTGTGGGTATCAAGAACCTCCCACAATCTTATCTAAACAGAAAAAGAAGACAAAAAACAATAAACTATCCCTTTCATTCAACCTACCTCCTCCTCATCAGTCCGAAAATAGAAAAGGAAGTTGACAACCAGTTTCACCAGCCTCTTCTTTACAACTGTATGATAATAAAAGAGGAAGAGAGATAACACATCAAAGGCAGGCAGTGTTCTACAGAGTTCATTTCTGCATCTATTAAAACCAAATGAAAATATCAGGTATAGCCAACCTATGATTGTTGCAGAATTACAGATTTCCACTGTATCTTTTGCCCACCCAGATCATACGTTTGTCTGTGTCAGCTCTTTTTATTTGGTTTAATAGTGTCATGTAAACTCATTGAGATCAGGTTAGGTTTCCTTCTGTCACAGTAGGAGTTTATGAATTTAATATTTGACAGAAATTTAATCCACGCAACTGGATCAACACATTTTAAAGTAGATCATGACCTGTATCCTCATGATAAAATGTTTCTGAGACTAAATTTACAAATACATACAGTGGATCATTTTTACTTTGAGATGACTGGTACAACACAGTGATGACAACAACACTACAGGAGTGAAATCTATCTCATTTAAGTTCAATGACTAGTTAATAAAAGAACAACCAGTGGTTCTTTGGCATTTTTTGAGCCTCATTATCAGTTTCTTCTCTTTCCATCATGTGTTGCTGATCAAAATACCATGAAGGACAAGGACAGAGATCAGATCTGAGTCTGTAGATAATAAACCGTGTTACCATCTCCTTTCTTTGGTCCTCTCATCCCCAGCTCAGCTGCCTTCTCTGAGGGCTGCCGGCTCAGAGACACCAGCTCCTTCTCGTTGAAACGCATCACTGCGGGTCACTGACGCAGTAAAACTCGGGTGGGAGGATCACGCAGGGATACTTTCGCTACATCGGAGCCTTACACACGAGTGAAAACAGGCTGAAAAGGGAAAGAAAACAACTATCAAAAACATCAACTACGTCGTCTTGACTGTCGCTCAAACGTCGCGGTGTCACTTGTTACTCTTCTCCAAATGTGACGGTGAGTGTCAGGTCATTTCTGTGGTCTACTCAACTACCACTCAAGTGAAATCCCACAGCAGCAAACCGGACACACTCCTCCGCGGTGGCAGTGACACTCCTCGCAGGTTAGTACGGTAGGCGCTGAGGGTCAAATTTGGCGAACAGCGCGTGAAGAAACCGCTTGTTCATGCCACACCTCTGAGAGACTTGTACAATTCTTTCCCATTGGTTAAATGACGGATACAGCTCTAAAAAGATTAATCTTTCACGATTTAAAATCGGCTGTTAATTAGAAAAAAGTATATATACTTAAGAGCACAAGCACAAAAATGAAGACCACGTACTCAGTTTCACTTTTTTTGGTATTTTGTTCAGGATTGTGACGAAAATTATATTTTTCACTGAAGGTTGAGTTGTGTTTTGTTTTATGTTTTTAAATGTATTTTATTTTTTATAAACATGTTTTTTTTTTCATTTAAAACTGCCGATAAAAGCAGTGCTTAAAACAAATGAATGTTTTTTTTGCACTTGTGATTTTTTGGGGGCGTTGAATCTACCTGACAAACCACGAAAGCGTCAAAATAAGCCACCGAGGAAATGATGTTTTCTCTTGGGGAGTCTGTGTCATTGAATACATTTACAGATAATGATAAGAGGAACGTTAAGAACACTTAAATAGAACTGCGTGCATTCAGGATCGATATTTGTTTGGCCTAGTGAATAGTCTGCCGTTGGGTCTTTTGCGTTACATCTTCTGAATCAAGTTTAATGTAATCTCATGTATTTTAAGAACCCTGTGATACGTTTTGTGGAAGTAAAACAAAACAATAAAGTTGGATATTCGCTCCAGTCCAGAAGGTGGCAGTAATGTATCTGACCTCCATTTTAAGCATTAGAAAAACCAAAAAAAATCTTGGGCATGCGCAATTCGAAGTTCGGGTTGCATGTTTGAAACGTAGAGGTACCGGAGAGTCTTTTGATCAAAGAGGTTAGTTCATCACTTTAAGTCTTGATTTGCTTTCCTTTCTCCGTTAGGTCAACTTATTTATTTTAATGTATTGAGATATTGCCAAGTTTCAATCCTTGTTTCATCTTTAAGACCTGTTCAGCCCGGGAACACGGTTAGCATAGCATTAGCATAGCCGCTGTGTGTTAAACATCCAGGGTTGAAATTACCAACAAAGGCTGGTTAGTTTAGATTTATCACATGGAAATCGCACAGAGAGTGCATTAGTACTTCTGCAAACGTTTTTCTCCCCTTGTTGACTACTCTAGCCTTAAACCTATCCTCCTAAACTGCTGTGTTGTTCTCTACATAGGGTTAAAAAAAAATATATGTCCCCTGAAAGAAACGATGCAGACTCAGTTAAACTCAAATAACAAGGGTGTAAAGGTTTTTAGATGATTTTAAATGAGGAAGGTACATAAATGCAAAGTCCTTGTTTAATAAAACACATCATCTACAAAGATGAGGATTGTTTAACAGGTAACAAAAACAGACTGAAATTGGCACTGTGGCCCTTTTTGACTCTTATAAACAAACAGAGACATTTTCTAGAATACAGATTCCCAGTGAGTGACACATACCATGATAAGAAAGCAGTGTTAAAATATTTTTGTTTACTAAATATGTTACTTACGTGTAGGACAAGATCAGCACAAACAGAATTTTCTTCACAGACAGGAGTCAGTTTTAGGCAATCATCCATAAAATAATTTGACTCCAAATCAGATTTTTGTGTTATTTTAACACTGAGGAAAATGATTGACGTAGTTAAAGGGAGTTTAACTATGTGCTTTGAGGTTGGTTATTGTGCTACATTGCAATACCGTGTGCAATACAGCAATTTGTACACCATTACTTATCATGTGCAATACAGCAATTTTCATCCCTCATTTATGCCACCGACCTATCCTCCATTTCATACATTCACACTCAGCACCTGTTGCATCGCCTGTTCACATTGTAAATATCTCTTTTCACCTGTAAATATTTCTCACACTTTATATGTCTCCCACCTTGCATTTATTTCTCTTATACTTTTATTCTCCTTTTATATTTTTTGCATCCTTATTGTATTCCTTCAGTACTTATTGTGTGTTTTATCTGTACTCCTTTGAGTGGAGCGGTCCTTTCATCCAGGGCGTTTCATTGCATTGTTTACCTTGTTTGACATGCACATGACAAATAAACAAATTTTTTAATCTCGAGTCTTGCAAACAGACTGCTTAATTAATATACTAAAAGTATCTGCGACTGTGTTCCTACATGTTTATGATGTTTGCTTTGTCTCCCATAGGTAATAGGAAAACATCAACTTTGTTCATCTGTCCAGTGTTAACTGGATCAACACATTTGGATTACTGTGTGATCGAGCCCATCGGTTGCAAAAATGGATTTCCAGCACAGAGCTGGAGGGAAGACAGGGAGCGGTGGGGTGGCATCTGCCTCTGAGAGTAACCGTGACAGACGAGAGCGGTTACGTCAGTTGGCCCTCGAGACTATTGACATCAACAAAGACCCCTATTTTATGAAGAATCATTTAGGATCATATGAGTGTAAACTTTGCTTGACACTTCACAACAATGAGGTAAGAAGTTTCAGACTGAAACATTACAGGACAATGTAACCTGAACCAGATTACAGTTTGTTATTTGGGTGTCTCAGTGAAAAAGAAAAACTCTAAACCACTGTTCTCTGTTTTACAGGGCAGCTACCTGGCCCACACACAGGGAAAAAAACACCAGACCAATTTGTAAGTACATATTTTGTTCACCCACCTTAATGTAAAACTTGAGGTCAAGATTCTGGTCATAATGAAGTGACGTGTTTAGTCTAGAGTTCCTGTTTAATCAAAACAGACAAGGCTGACAAGTGATCATGTTTTAACTGTTTTTTTTTTTTACTTCATATTTTTATGTAATAAGAATTTATCAAACACCAGTTTTAAAGACCTTATTCTTGGCCTGTGGTGACCTATTAGGTATTTCCTGATTTTTCACGGTGTATTTGTCTTGTATTAGAGCCCGGAGAGCAGCCAAGGAAGCCAAAGAAGCTCCTGCTCAGCCAGCTCCAGCGAAAGTGAAAGTTGAAGTCAAGAAGTTTGTCAAAATCGGTCGTCCAGGATACAAAGGTGAGCTGACTGAGCGATTGCTTACTGATGCAGTCATTATATTTGTTTTGTGAATTTTCTAGGCAAAGCATGCTCACTGTATTTAAAAGTATTCTCCATTTCTTAAAGTCACCAAACAGAGGGACCCAGAAACTGGACAGCAGTCTCTCCTCTTCCAGGTCAGTGAGTCCGGTGGGAATCAGAGGGGAATCTGATGTTTTATGTAGAGGTTTTGGTTCTGTCAGCCAAGTGAAGATTTCATTTCTCTGCTACGTTGTTGCCTATAAAACTTCTTACTGCAGTGTTTTATTAGTAAATATTACTTTCATAGAGGTTAGACCATCAAAGACAAATCTCAAAACTGTTTTTCCTCTGCTCATAAGATTGACTACCCAGAGATTGCTGAAGGAATTGGACCCAGGCATCGTTTTATGTCTGCTTATGAACAGCGTATTGAGCCTCCTGATCGTCGCTGGCAGTACCTGCTCCTGGCTGCTGAACCATATGAGACTATTGCTTTTAAGGTGTGTGTGTGTGAGCTGTGTTATGTCATATTTTTGTTCTGTTTGTGATACAGCATTTGAGAAATACATATTTTTGCCTTCTCAGGTCCCCAGTAGAGAAATTGATAAAGCAGAAAATCGCTTCTGGACCCATTGGAACAGAGAGACCAAACAGGTACTGACTGATGACCTCAAGGCCTTGTTGGGTATTTAATTTGGGAGGAGTGAAAAATAGCATTAATGTTATTTTCTTCCTCTCAGTTCTTCCTGCAGTTTCACTTTAAAATGGAGAAAGCCATCACCCAATCAAGCGGCCCAGCCCCTCCTGCAGGCGTGAAGCGCCCCCCTCCTCTCATGAGTGGAGTTGGACCTCGGCCACCAAGTGACGGTATGCCCCCTCCCCCGCCAGAAGGGATGTCCGTCCCCCCTCTCCCTCCAGGTGCACCGGGTGCCCCTCATTTACCCCCCCAGATGCCCATGCCTCCTATGCCGATGCGACCACCTCCTCCTGAGGGCCTCACAATATCTAACAACTGATCATGATCCTTTAAAACCTTTGATTTGCGTAGTAAGAGAGGCCTGTCTGTCAACAACAACCACCTCCCTGAAGATGATGCAGGCACACCGAGTGGGGTTGTTTTTAAGTGAATGATTTAGGTCCACATCCAGTGGCTTATTATACTTTGTTTTGACGTAAATGTGTTTAGCAGCCTGTATGACTACATTGTTTTGTACAATTCTCAAATTCTGGATATGGAGCTGTGACTAAGGTGGCTCAACTTTAACTTTTATGATGCCGGTTTTGTAATAAAACTTCCATTGTGAGAAACATTTGAGGCTCATGATCTGTCATTTTCAAAACATCACACTTTCATTCATTAATGTGTCTCTTTATCTGCTAGTCAACAGATGTTTATGATCAGATAAGATTCGATTAAACCAGAAGGAAGAACTGGACTCCATAGCAGCTGTTAGATGACACAACAGAGGCTTTGTAGATCAATTGAAAACTGTTTAATCATGATATTCAGTTCACTAAGTTTAGTGCTTTCTAGTGAGATACTATTACATACTTTGAGGGTGTTATTAAAAGTTTCGAAGTTTGACCACCTTCAATGGCTGTGCTTAAATAAAATCAAGGTAAACATACTAAGAAAATGACAGTCAGTCACGCTCAAAGAATGAACTCATCCTTTTTGAGTTTTCTTCTTATTTTTCTTTTCCACTGACTTTTTAGTCTGCTTTGGCACTTCTTCCTCCTCTCCTTCCTCTGCCTCATCATCATCTGGCTCCTCATCAGGCTCCTCAGTTTGATCTTTGTCCTTGTCTTTGGTGTCTTCATCTCTGCTCTTCTTTGCTCTCCTGCCCTTTAATTTCCCCTCTCTTTGCTTCATGAGTTTTTTGTCTGGTAGCGGCTTGTTTCTGAGACTTTTGGATGCTGGTGCTTTTGTCTTTGACTTTCCTTTTTTGACTTCTCCATTGTCGTCATAATCTTCTTCCTCCTCATCGTCTTCATCATCGTCGTCAAGGTCTGGCAGCCACCAGAACATGACCTCCCATAGCGATGTCTCAGGCTGGAAGAGGATCATAACATGAGGATATGATCTGAGTGTGACTGAGTATAAAAATCTAGTCAATAAGTGAGTCTCTTTACCTCTGGAGGTTGTCCTCTGTGTCGTAATGCTCCAAGCCGTCTCACTACCAGTTCGGTTTCCTCCTCCTCTGCTGGCCCATGACCTCTCATAGTTTCTGTTTGGTTAAAAGAAGCTCTTAGCCACAATAAAAAGGGAGGCTTTGTATCTTTGGTGCTACTTTTTTTTTTGATTACTTACCATGAAGCTTTTGAAAGCCTGAGGTAAGGACCAGGATGGTAATGGCCACAAATAGACAGCGGTTGAGGGTGACATTCTCCCATGGTGTTTCGATCTGGGTCAGGTTCTGGATGGGTAAATCTTTTGGCAAGGTTGCTAAAGAAAAAGAAGAGAGAGGAAAACTCGAGTTGTAGTCGAGCAATGTTGATAAAGGCTGAAATGGATTGAAAGGGATGACTCACTTATTTTGGGTATGCTAAGTTCTCTTGGTAGAGTCTTGGGTTCTGCTCTTGGATGCTGTTGTGCCATTTCCTGATGGAGAACAACATCTTACTTGAAAGAAAATCTGCTGGTATTTTAGGGTTTCAACACATTGAACAGTTGTTTATGGTGTTTTGGTGACCAACCTCTCTTATTTTCCTTGTAGAGTACATTTCTGAAAGAGACAGATGGAAATTTACTATTTTAAATCATTAACAACAAATGACATGGCCTCAGTCTGGAATTTATTTATACACATATATTTAATGTAACTAAATATTCAGATAATTCTGTTGGCTGATGATTGCAGTATCTGTTAAGTCCCTGATATACACAGGAATGTTGGACCTACGCGATAAGACCAACAGTAAGTGATGACATGATGATAAGATTCAATCACTTCTCAGGGAACATAACTGCCTGATGTACATTTCCTTCCAATACTTAATATTTATTAGCTAACAGTTGCATTATCAAGCCAACATCATGGTTTAAGTTCAGTAATAGCTGATTAAAAGCACAGTGAGTTCTTGAATTTTCTGCTCACATATATTTCCCCCAAAATTATTCTTTTTCAGTTTTCATATTTTTCTAGATTAATCTGGAAGCATTGAGTGATAAACTGACTGAGAAATTCATAATAGATCATCAATACAAGTATGAGTTGTCCTCAGTAGACCATGATAGCAACTTTAAACATGATGGAAGTCTCAACCAAAAAGCGATGTTATAAATAAGTCCTCTTAAATGTTTTTTTATTTTTTTATTTTTTTTGTTGCTGTCACCCTCGGTGGGCGTATGTTTGCATTTTTTTTTAGTTTATTTTCTTTTCCTGTTTTGAGAGAACAGTACAGGTTTCCCTGTGATAAGCTAATGTCATTCGTTTTATGGAGAATTTGATTTATTTTGTTTTAATCTCAGGACAACAAAGCTGGTTTTCTGATCGTAACATATCAGTTCACCTCCTCATGTAAGGGATAGTAAATCTTGACAGAGTGGGCAGGACTGTGACTCACAGCAGGGGTCCTGCTCACTCCGTCTACAGTGTAATTCTGACTAACTGTGACCAACTGTGGATCAAAATGTTTCATGGAAGGTTAAAATGACCCACAACAGCAGAATCTGTTGCCATGGAAGCGTTACTTATGGTGGAACCAGGACTGTTTTTTTTAATGTTGTGCACATAAATCCTTGATAACTCAGGAAAAACATCTTTTAATCAACTTGTTTGTGTCTTAGGTTGTTATCCGGGTAATAAGCAGGATAATCTACAGATAGCCAGTGGTTAAACTAAACACAGTCCCCCTCCATACTGGATCAGACCTCTCAGCTTTGTGTCAGGTTTTTGTCTCACCCTGTCCAGGCTCTATTCCATATGACCACCAGCTAATACATATTATCTCTAACATGACAAATCTCGTTTTCTTGTGATAACAGGATCATTTTTTGGTGATCTAGGAAACAGAAAGAGACCGGTCACTATGATAAGCCAGAGCATGGCTTGCCAAGCTGCACCTGATAGCCTACAGTAGGTTATTTTGTTTGGTGCTTTTGCAACTCTGGAGATATGAGGTGTAGTTTCCTGGCCTAAAGACAAAAATCTTAAAGACCGTTCAAAAATAACTCATTCTCAGGGGAATCAAAGTAAATATAAAACATGTAGAAGCATGTCCCCTCAGGACCCTTGAGCCTTTTTGAGTTGTAAAGAGAGGAGGATTTTGTATTTTTAAAGGGATTGACACTGATTACACCCACAACCATCCAGTCAGCGTGACTGAGCTGCATTATCACTGTGCTGCCTTTAACCAGGAGTCATGTTTCTGCCCTCTGTGCTGCTTCTCCCAGGTATTTATAGAGTTGTACAATATATGTACAAAAGTTTAAGGCTTTTGTGTGCAGTCATTACAGATTTAATGTGTGTGTGAGTGTGTGTGGCCACCTGGTCTGCGGGTCTGTCGAACAGGCTTCTGTGGAGGAGGAGGATCTGCCCTTGGTGGCCATAACTCCTCCTCGAATGTCTCATAGCTTTCTTCCATCCCTTCCCTGAGATAGAGAGAGGGAAGAAGATGAACTCAAATCTGAGATTATTTGTAATGACTCAGCTGGATAAGAAATGTGAATATTACACAAAGCTTTTCATATGAACACGTCTTTTGTTAGAGGCCTGAGCAGCCGTAGGATTGTTATTTTTAGAAATGCTTGGCTCGTCAGCTGTTACAGAAACAAAGTGGTTCAAAATGTCATCGCATTTATTCTTATCAGTACCCTTCACCTTAAACGACAGAAAGAAGTTGTCATTTTTTCATTTTGGCCTCACAAAAGAATACAAGTGAAAGGTCAACTTGTCTGTTTTGTGAATGTTTCTCGACCTTCACATTAACAGATGAATGCTGTGAGGCCTTTATGTCTTACATGACATTTGTACTCAGACACTACGCTAAGTCCTAGCAGCCCTATAAATAGACAAAGCAAAAGCACTGGAGGGACAGATGGAAACACTCTGCATACAAATACTCAAGAAGAAAAGAGCTGGTGATACCATTACCATTACCATTACATCCCTAATTTTACCTGCTGTTAGCATCTTCAATGCTGAAGCTTAAATTCTGACCCCAGATGAATGAAGAACCTACCTGCCTCGACATTTGGGGTCCCCTGGGCAGAGTCGGAGGAACCTTTGTCACACAGTCCCGTTGTTCCTCTGCAGAGATGACAGCAGAGTCACACTGAGCTGTGTGACAGCTGAGCACAGGTGCCAGAGAAAGAAAAAAAAAAAAAAAGTGTCAGTCAGTCAGAGGGGTCCGCTGAGGCAGGGCTGACACCAACATGCACCATATGGCTGTCAAATCCCAAGAGAGGACTGAGAGGGGAAGAGGAAAGTGACAGAGTGCCAAGTTTTGAAACAGACAGTCGTGAGCCATATTGGAAAACTCTTCAAATTGGAGAAGTTCAGTTTTATCAATTAAAGAGATATTGAGCAATTAGGCAGCAACCTTAAAAAGTTACAGAGGTTGTTCCTTCTGCCAGAAACAATTTACAACTAAGAGAGAAATATGTTATTTGGAGAGGATTTGCCAATTTTTATTAGAGTAGAACGATAAAGGTACGTCTTATCTTATCTTAATGTGAACACTGTTTTATGATTGACCACCAGAGAGCGCCACTGTACTTTTCAGGCAGCTCCACTCTACAAATGAAATCTGTCAGACTAACTGTCATGGTGTTTACAGAGAGGCTGACATATTTCATGTCCATGAGCTAACCATCCAACACACCTTCTCTGTCAAACTCCAGACACACATGTGATCGTACTGTTGCTTTTTGGTTCATCTTCCTTCAGTTGTTGTGTCGCCTGAATATCAATCTTACACTGTGGCAGTAAAGCTGTCAGAGAAAATTCACCTGTTCACAGGATCCAGAGTTCTCTAACAGGCAGCAGATAAACAGATGTAAAGATGATTGAGTTTCATCAGGGTGAGGTGGTTGCAGGCCACCTTTATGTGGGAGGGAGAGGAAGTGTTGATAAACAGATTTGTCGAGATGTTTGTGACTCACACCTTTGTTGGGACGTGGCCCAGATGAATAAAACATCTCTTTACCTATCAGTGATCACTTTGAAAAGCTATGCTACCCTCTCTGTGAATGAATTGACCAAGACAAGGCCTTTGAATTGACATCTCTTGACAAAATGTACAAAAACTGATGTTGGAACTTAACACACAAAACATTTCCTGTAGGAGAAACTTAATTCTGATTATTATAACTATTTACATTACAAATTTAGAAAGAAAGAGAACTGTGCAGTGTCCTTGGTGTTTTCCATCATACTGTACTCTAAACTTGAAGGAGTAGTGAGGCTGAGAGCGGGGTAGGGGACCCCCCATCGAGTCTTCGCTGGTGGTGAAGGAAGGACACAGGGTGAGCTGAGGAACCAGAGCTAGACGCTGATGAGAGGAGGATTAAAACACTTAGACTGAAAAGGTCAACATGAAGGGGGACTGAGGAGAACAGATTTAATCTTTTTCTTTTCTTTTTTTTTTTGAAGCAGGATGATTGGTGAATGGAGGTTGAGACTGAATCTGTTTTGTTCTCTAAAGAGCGAACACCAAAAACCAGCCGACCACCAGCGGGACGGAGATAAGAGAGGAACTGAAGTGAATGAATGATGACACTAGACTGACTGAATGAATAAATGACTAAATAAGGATGAGACATTCTTTCAGCTTATGCTTAGCTTTATCAGTATCATTATTCAGTGTGGCTACATGACTCAAATTTTGGTGTCGACAGAAATATCTGAAATACCCCCACACAGTCATAATAATAATAATAATAATAATTCAACAGATTTCATATAGCACTTTATCAGTGACCCTCAAAGCGCTTTACACTGGATACATCAATTATTTGCTCACACAGTCACACCTTGGTGGTGGTAAATGTACAATGTACATTTTGTACATAGTCTATTCTATTTTATTTTGTACTATTTTATTTCATGTTTGATTTTTTTTTTTTTTTACTCCGCTTTCTTAGGAAAACACCACTTCGAGCTGTTTTAATTTCGTTGTATGCCTCGTACAATGACAATAAAAGTCTGAATCTGAATCTGAAAACTACCTCAGCAGTCACAGCTGTCCTGGGGCAGACTGACAGACACGTGGCACAATCATACACCAGTGGAGGACACACACTGGGAGCAAGGTGGGTTAAGTGTCTTGCCCAAGGACACAATGGACAAACTCGGGATAGAGGGAATCGAACCACCAACCTCCTGGATTTGGACGACCGCTCTACCTCCTGAGTTACTGCCACCCCAAAGCTGCCTCATTACACTAAACAAAACACATTCAACACACACAAAACACCATCAGATCCTAGGTTTATCTCACTTATATTTAAATATACTGGTCCAGAGTTTCCCTTGTGTTTTTTTCTAAAGTCTATCAAAATATTAATAATTGATTATCTTTAATACTATTGATAGTTTCTTAATGCTGATTATCTCTGGGAGCTACTAAAAATATTTTTTATTGTTTGACTACAATGACAATAAAGCCTTATCTTATTTTCTTTTATTTTATTTTCTCTTCTCTTCTCTTCATCGTCATGTGTATTTGGACTTGTCTTTGCTTACACTAAGCATGTCTGCAGATTTAATCAGCCAAAAAGCACACTTTGACCCAATGATTCATCAGTGCTTATTAGTCCTGAGGACACGTCTTCACTACTAGTTACAGTTCATCATCTGTGGCAAAAGTTCAATTTGATTCCAGTAGATTAATTCCCCTAAATTAAGTCTTTAATTATCTCAATGGGCCTGCAGTTTCAGTGTCAATAAGTAAACCAAGCTCCTTCAATCGTGTCCTCAGTGCTCTTGAGGTAGAAAAAAAAGTTTAAAAGTGAAACTTGGCTATGTTTGATCCAAAGTCTTGAAGAATATTTCAAGGACTGTGGACACATTGTACCAAATAAGGATGGCAAACATTCCTCGCAGGCATATAAGTACCAAGTTGAGGCACAGGGGAGATCTATTGAGCTTCCTGCTCTCTTTTTGTCCTTACATAATTGGGCCTGTGCACCGAGGACACATTGACCGTCCAGCACCCAGTGGGAGCTGCTCTATGCATCCCTTATTGAGAAGTTTGCTGGAGCATAAAAGAAACATTAACCGTATAGTCCACATGGGGAACAGAGGCTTGGTTGGCTCAAGGTATGCAGTCTGAAAATTACATCGTGTTAGGATTAAAGGTCGATGTGAAAATAGATATTTTACCCACAAAAATAGGGGATGAAGGATGCAGCAATATAAAAGACAGAAAGAAGCAAGAAGCAGACAATTTAGTAAAGTAATTTGTTCCACAAAATAAAGCAAACATCTGTTGAACATGAGTACAAAAAACAAGCCTCCAACTCATACAAACAAAATGGAGCAGATCTATGTTTCATTACACACACTATCAAACCAAAACTGCAGACAACAACAAAGAAACTAAAGACACTCTCCACGCCTCATTTGGTCAAGGTAACAAACACAAAGCTGCGTAGTCCTTGTAAAATAAATGCAAGGAGTTGTTACATCTTTGTTACTCAGTGATATGAAGTTCTCAGCTGACCTTGAACACAAGGTGTCTGTGTCAAAAACACACACCATAATTGGCATCCAACTACAACCAATATTGTTTGGAGTCAGTCCTCTGATGGTAGTAAACAGGAATAAGGTTCAGCATTACTTCACTGCAGAAGAGGGTTAGAAACAAGAAATAGACAGTTTGAACCCCTAAAATGTAAAATGTCAGTATTTTTACAAACACTGGATTTTCAAAAGATATGGTAACATACCAACGGTATAACAACGATATTATATTTCTTTAAGTAATCTGCTGCCAAAACATGGTATACTGATGGATGTCTGCAACAAAAACAAATGCTTTTGTCCTTTTCCCGTGTCAGTTTTGACAGCCCACTCATGACAGATGAAGCTTTAGCAGGAAAGCCACACCAACACTATTTATTATACATGTCCTCTACTGAAGTGGTTCAGAAATGGAAAGTCAAAAACAGAAGCATCAGATGTGGTACTTTTGTGGTTCTGCACGATGAAAACTGTAACACAATAAAAAACACCTGAGTCCTACATGATTGTTTTTTGTTTTTTTTCACAAAAATGAATATATATATATATATATATATATATATATATAATTGTCACTGGAACACAGAGTTGTACACCATACACAGGGTAAGTTGACCATAGGAGACCACTTTTTTTGGCATGCTATATTATCAAGACAGTTACGTTTGCACTCATTCTGTTGGTTTGCAGGGATGAACAACATCTTGAAATATATGCAGATAAACTAGTTAGAGACAAAACTATGATTGCCTTGATGTAATGATCCGAAATATGAAAAATGGCTCATCCTACCCCACTCTCCCCTATTTATGTGCAAATACTTTTACCTGAATCTTTAACTTGAAGTCTAAACATTAAATTTGTATCATGCTGTTTTGGGATGAACACTGCATTGACTTAAACAACAGCTCTGGGTTCTTGGACTTAGAACAAGAACTGAAGCAGCAGGAGTATTATATCATGATTTTAAAAGGAAGTGGATCGGCATGGCTGATGAATGTACACTTGTAGAAATAAGGATGAGTCTGCCAAGCTGCCAAACGGATGTAGAAACCGTTAATTCCCTTTGGATTTTCTGCAGTTTACAGAATTTTTATTCTCTAATGTAGGAGGCAAAGGCTTAAGTTCAGCTCTGTTTCTCATTGACTTGAGTTAAAGTGAGGAGTTATTTGCACTTAAGTGTAAGTGTGTGTTATAGTTTCACAGCAGAGAGGATGTTAAGCCTATATGCCTCGACCATGTTTGATCGATGAGAGGTTTTAAAGTATTCTGTGCACACCTATGTTCGAGTGCCCCTCTGCTGATCCAGCAATACCCCGCCCCTCAGAGACTGTATACTATGCGCATACATAGAAGTAAACCCATATAAATTTGGCTCCCTTATGAAAGAGTCTTAAACGTTTGTAATTTTGATCTGTTCAGCATTTCTGTTGCGTCATTAGCTTTGATTTAATGATCATAGCTAAAAGACCTAAAGGGATATCATTGTAGGCAAAAGAAGCAGCTGCCGTGTTGCAGGTTAGCCACTGGGACAGAGTTAGCAGCTCTCATTTATCAGACAGCCTCACAGGACAATCTGCTCGCCTTCCAGTGCAGTTGTCTGCCTGTGTGTTAAATATCCACCCTCTCAGATGTGCTGACGGTGAAAAAAACCTGTATTAGAACAGGAGCAGCACTGGATCCAGAAGGGTTCGGTCATAAGTCTCCAAGCTGCTCGCCTTTCACTTTGAATTTCAGACCACAGCCTTTATCCTTCCCATGGCGTCACCGTGGGTCTCATGTGTTTCTCTGTATCTCTTCAAGCAGCTCGCTCAGGCTTTGATCATTCAGAGACCAAAACATGTCTTTGACCGGATCATGAGTGTGAGCCCTGCTGAGGGCTCTGCTCCAACAGTGCCCTCGGGCAGATAAATGTTCAAATGTCCAAACAGAGCGATAATGTGTCTCTCATTTTCCCATCCAGGGAGGTGTAACCGCCAGAGAGATGCTTGTGAAAGAAGCCAGAGTCATTTGGGGGCTTGCTGGTGAATGGCTCTCACATGGGGAATAGCATGGTCCGAGAAAAAGAAAAAAGATTTGGCAACACCCCCCCATTGATCTGCTTTTCCAAATATCTCAGCCTTGTTTCATCCTTACAGGACAGGCAAACAGAACAGATCAGGAGAAGATGAAGATGAGAGAGGCAAAGTAGAGAGAGGAGTAATTGGTTGGAGATATTGGATTTCTCCAAAGGCAAGGAAAATCCATTTGATAGTGTTTGATCATGAATATTAAGTTCTACTTTATCTTCCCCCTGGTTTCAGAGCTCCATGTGTTTTTATGTAAATTTCACACTTTATGACACTGATACCTTTTGTTTGAACTGATGCATTATCTTTCCTTTCCTGGTTTTATTTTATAACTATTCCTGTCAATCACCTTTACATGTATACTCTTTCTATTTCCCTGTCTTAACAGGGGCTTTTGGTCGTTCTCCATTACAATTAATTACCACCTTAACCTGGGTGGAGGTGGCCCACAGTTCCTGTGATGTCAATTGCATGTAACACAAACACAACCTAGAGCTGTGTCCAGTTACCTCAGAAGTCGGATGTCTGAGCGGGGAATGACATTTCACCCGAGTTGACAAGTCGGAAAACCAAGATGGACGCCTACAGTTACCCGTTGTTAGCTGTTGCTTACCATTGTCAGCTATTGTTAGCTGTTGTCAGCTAAAATGACCAGCTGTCTCCAGGTTTGAAAAAATGGCGGGTTTGATTCTTATAAAGTAGTCACTCTCATGACTCATCCAGTGATTTCACTCTCTGACCAATCAGTGGCCGGCTATCTGTGTACGTCACATTTTCGGCTCGACTCAGCTTGCTTGGAACCGGAAATAAGCAGGTACTAAAAAGTATCTGATACCAGGTGCAATCACCTTAAAAACCCAAAAAACTAAGTGGAATCAAGTCAAGTCGAGTAGAACTGAGTAGGTCATGGAAAAGCTTCTTCTTTATCTACCCGCCATTTTATGGTGTGAAGATCCACTAACCCCCCCTTATGCTATGAGCTAACTAGTAGCTCTGTATTACGTAATGCACAACACTGATATTTCCATTTATGTTTATATAAATGTTTTGTGTATTTTGATAAATACATGCACTGACTGACTGACCCAAGTGCTCCTGGGAATTCATTTTCCGGTGGAGACCATGACATCCCACGCCACCCCTTTGACGCACCATACCAACAGATTCGTGACTGAGTGAGGGGCTTGTTTCAAAAAGATAAACCACTCCACGTTCACAGTCACACACCTGCAACTTTCTCGACCTGAACATGTTCAGCCCTCCACCTACCCCCACTGTAGGCCAGTTTATTGATAGGGTAATTTGCCCTGAGATTGTACTGCTGTCTCCTGGGTGCTATGTGTATTAATTACCATCTATTCATCTGAGGCTGTTCAGCCATTCAGCGGAGTTCCAGCCCGCTGCTTCACAGCTTCTGTCACGGGGCCTAATGCTCGGGCAGAAGTGCGTGTGCCTGTGGGAGACAAGTAATGAAACCTTCTGCACCGAGGAAGAGTGATTTATTACTGCTGTGAGGAGATGACCACGTTTAAGGCATCTGGAGGAGCTGCAGCATACATCAGAGAGTGAACATTCAAAATTATAATGCTTGATCAACTGATATTAAGGTTTGTAAGAAACTTCTAGTTTATATCGATGTTTCCACCCTCCCTCTTTCATCTTATTGTATGTTCTTGTAGGTTAGTTGTATGCAGGCAGGTCGATAATCAATAACTCATTCCAGTGTCTTAAACTCATTATGAATTAGTGAACCTGCAAATCAATTTCAGCTTTAATTTGTACCCAGCTAAGATCAGTCAAGAAAACAGAGGGACACACAGGGTGAGGAGGATTTAGTTTGCAAAGACTGATAAATAATTAAAAACAAAAATAATTTCATAATTTATGTGAAAGATATACAAATCTGATTACAAAAAGCAATCACCTTCTCTGTTTGCTTTCTTCCAGGCATTCAGTAGAGATAATGTGGCTCCTGTCTGACATCCGACAACATCACAGCGATGCCTTTTTCACTGAATTTAAGCTGTTTATTGTCCTTAAAACCTCCTCTTCTTGGCTTGATGTCTGTTCAGAGGAATGACAGCGGGATGACAGCATGCTAAACCCTCTTCGTATTCCTTCATCAACCCACATCTCTTTCTCTCTCTCTCTCTCTCTCTCTCTCTCTCTCTCTCTAATCAAGGGGCCTACAAGCACTTAACTTCAGTCTGTGAGTCTGAGCCATCGGTGCAGTGTTTAACCTGTGCATTAAGAAGATTATCTGCAACGGCTTTATGGGTGAGATCATGTTGGCGTCGGTCAAAAATATCCTTCTTAGTGACGTATGACTCTACTTAAATTCATCACAGTAAAATACTGTTTTTTGTGTGTAAACAATGCATGGATATGACATAAATGTGGCAGACAGTATAAAAGGAGGGGGAGCTAGATAGGGGAAGAATATTTGTTTGACAAAATACATAAAAACAAGCAAAAAGTGAACCAGTCCACAGAGTAGTGTGTTTGAAGAGAGCTACAACTTTTTATTTTGATGCTCCACATAAGATATAAAAGACTGTGGCAAACATCCAATGGATCTACAATGTGTATGTTGTCTTCTTTAATTTTTCCAAAATGTGCGACCTCTCTAACTCAGCTGTCAAAAGTGAGAATACAGTCACACTCAAATCTCCAAAAAAGAGTGAGACTATTCTGACAGGAGGGCTGAACAGGTCATGCATCTGAACGGCTCTTTTGTCAGAGTAAGTTCTGGCTGAGAGCAACAAAAGTACAACACTGTTTGATAAATTTGGTTGAAGTGAATGTAAAACTGAAGGCCTCAATTAAATAGTTCTTTAAATAATTTGAGTAAGAGTTGCTTCATGTTTGTTTGTGAGTCTGCCAGAAGAAATCAAACAATGTACGACCACGAGGCTTAAACTCTATTTCTGATTGTGTAAAAGTTCTAAGGAAGTAGTAACTACACAAGGACTGCTGAAAAGTTTCTCCCTTGTTGTTTTTAATTTAAAAAGCTACAAAAAACAAAAAAGAACCAGAAAAAAATTCAGCCATCTACAAATTTGTGGCAGGTGAGCACGCATCTCTTGTTGGAGATTATACAATCACATTAGCTCTCAAGACGTGGGAGCGCACTCCTCTCAGGTTGTTGGCGAGGAACTCCTTGCTTTTGTGAGTTAAATCACACTATAATTAAATGCTACAAAAAGATTATTGGATTTGTTTGAGAAAAAAAACCCTGTCTAAGTATGAAAGATAATTTTGTTGAAATTTGAAGAAAAGTTTTTCTGACGTCTAAAACTCTGCTTTGTTTTTCTAACTGAAGTGCCTCAAATTTCCAGCAGAAGCTCTCATTTAGGCCACTTGAGGAAGCCCTATAAGCCCACACCCTATACTGTTCGGTTTAATCCAGTATTATTTTGAGACAATGGGACAATGGGAGTCTTCAAGTAATTATGACAGTAATATAACTGTTTTGTTGATTTTGTGTAGGCACATTGGGGTTTTGCAGGTCTTCAGATGTTTGGCCTGTTTTAATCCTGGATGCTGCATCGTTTCTGCAGGATCAGATAAGTTGTTATGGCTTCATGGATATGAGATGATACAACTCAAATACATTTAGGCTGATTACATGGCAATTAAAGAGACAGCTAGGCAAATGCTTAAAATTTGAAGGAAGGAAACAGACTGATATCTCTGTCTTTGATGCGACTGTGCACTGATAAACATGTAAAAACCGAATATCCATGGAGTGTGTCTGAAGCACCAAATCCTGTTTGTTCAGAAAAACAGCAGATCTAAAAACTTTTCTTGTAGTTCTGAGATATTTACTGAGTTGATTATTAAAAAAAAAATCAGATGGAAAAAACTCTCAAGTGCTCTCAATATGCTTCTGAAAAGTGCACCAGCAATTTCTGAATATTAAATCTTAGAGAAGTATCCACTTTCATCAGTTACCATAGCAACAGTTTCTTCTTTTCTTTTCTTTTCTTTTGATGACAAGCTGATTAACATTAGCATTAAGATATTGTTTAAAGCCAGAAAATACACATCTGGATATTCCTTGAACCTATTACTTATATTTTCTTTATTACTTTATCACACAATAGTGGGGAACACAATCTGACTGATGTGATATAATGGAGTTAAAATGACTGTTTTATTAGCCACAGAGAAACATAAAAGAGTAATAATTGTGTGATCATGCAGCACTTGCTACCCCTTTATAATAACATGTGTCACAGATGTGTTGTGGGAGATAAAAAATGAGGTTTTATAGGCGACATAAGGCCTTATTATTCTTGTGAGTCAGTCCAGATTAATATTCACATCTGCTGCATTTTGTTTCTGTAGCCATAATGTGTTTGTCACAATCTTCCTCGCCAGTTTCGAAACCAACAACTCCTCCATTTTCCTTTTTCTTCTCCTGAGATATTTTACCCTCCGTGCCCCTTGATGCCTCTCTCCCTCTGCTGTGTTTGTGTGTGAGCAGCTTTCAGCCGGCCCCTGGTTGTCAACTGATTGCAGATAATTACAGCTATTTGACTGCAGCTTTCACAGCCAGTGCTTTTCTGCAGGCACTTACAGAGGGAGAACATGCCAAGCAGAGGCCCTTAAACTGCCTCTGTGGATAACATTACACACAATGGTAGAATATAAAAGAGAGAATTTGAAGTATGAATCTGGTGGATGCATTTTCACATCTGCACAAAGAAATCAGTCATATGAAGATTATAAAAACCTTTCTGAAGTTTGCGTTGAGCTAATGTTTGAAGAGTTCAGAAAAATAATAAAGCTGCCCTAATAATATCTTCCTGACTCTATTGTGCTTTCTGAAAATCCAATCATTTTTTAAGATAAATTTCATAACATAAGTGCACTCCAAAAAGATTTGACCTAACAATATCAACCCAAAGCAAGTGTCTCATTTTTTCATGCGGATGAAATCATTTGGCATATTTTGGTTGCATCCGAGTTGGACACAGAGTTCTCCCTCAGCCTGGTTTTGCAGAGACCGGTCCCCGTTCTCTCATATTATGGGACTAATCCGTGTTTGAAGGACTGTAATTGTTCTGGAGCTGTCGTACATTAGCTACATGCCTCTCAGCTCAGTGCTATATCCAGAACAGTAGGAATGAGTCAGACTCTTTATGATGACAGCTCTCCCCGTCTCTCTCTGTCTCCCTCTGTTTCTCTCTCTCTGCCTGCTTGACATTTTCTCTTTTCCCCTTCTTCCTCCTCTTTTCCTTTCCCTGTTTATTGTTTTTACATCTCTCCTTGTCCCCCTCTCACTGCCTCTCTCCTCCCTCTCTCCTCATATCCTGCTTACATAAGCCGTGATGTGTGCAGTGACAGCCGAGACTTGAGGACTCATCACAGCTCTCACTCAACAGGAACCCCCTTTCTGTCTGTCTGCTTGTTTCATGGGGAGCCATGACAGCTGCACACTTGACCGTGGGCGAAAGCAAGAAAGATCAAAGCAGAAAAAAAAAGACAACACACTCACACTCACACACATACAAAAACACACATGCACTTTCTCTCTCTGTCTTTGTGCATCTCTCTCCCACATGCACGCCTTCTCTCAGACTCTCGCTCAACATACATGAGGTATTTTCTGTCAAAGTGGACCCAAAACTTCAAAGCAACCACTTGTATTTTGGATTCTGTTCAGAGAATGATTTATTAGACTCTGTCAGACGTTGTCCCCATGATAAAAGGAGATGCAGTTGACAGGAGTTTGAAGCAAAAAAGGGACAACGATACGCCTGTTAGTACCCCAGAGGCAGCTAACAAGACCCCCGAATCTTTCACGAAGTTTGAGATGAGACTAAAGAGATGGTTGCAAAACTTTGTGGCATAAAAACACTGAAGGATTAAACTCTCAAGATTTTGTATAAGTTTTGTAGAACAATACAGAATTTCAAGTGACATGTACAGGACAGCAATAATGTAGAAATCATGAAGACATTGATAATCTATAGAGTCCTGTTAACCCACTCAGCATCCTGATCCAATTACCACCCATTTTGTAACCTGGCTACCAGCTATAGAAATTAATAGGTTATCTCAAAATATTAATTCATGAATGATTTAACTGATGTATTAATTACCTTCCTAGGATGCTGGATTGGCTTAGAGTTTTCAGCATCTGCCCCATATATGCAGAGTTATTGGTGGTAATGGCGGTATCAGCCTTTGTTAAAATATAAAATGTTGATATCATGCTAAAAATAAGTATGTAGTAGTACCATGAGTTCATAACTGAGGCCATTCATGCAGCAGAGTGCCCAGATAGAAACAGCTCTCTAAAAGATGATAGGGCACTTTTAAAAACTTTAATATAATTTTTCTGTTAATCCAAATGCAACATTGGAGGTTGTGTCTCCTTTAAGATTAACAAATATACTTTCTAACTGTATTTTAAAATGTTTTTATTCAGTACCAAAACTTAAAATAAACTTCTACTTCAAAATAAAAGCACGGTTTTAAAATATAGGGAACAAGCGTTTTATAAGGCAAAGTCTGTTCCAAAGAAGTTTGAGTTACATGGCCAGTGATGTGGCTGAAATATATATTTGAACATCATAAGATATGCATGATGACTGCACTGACTTAATTCTATCTATTTGTATTATGGCCTTTTAACATTTATAAACATAAATACGATGTTGCTCTTTTTTGTATTCTTCACTGCTGTTTTTCTCGTCTCTGTTTATTGGTCAGTTGTTGAAGCGAGAGTTTTGTGTTCTCCAAACACATTAAAAGTAATATTATTCATATTCCACACACTGTTAACTGATTTAAAATGCTATCAGAAACTGGTGTTTTAGCCACATTGTCAACAGGCAGAAGTGAAATGTGACACACCCCTTTTGGTGGGTTGATATGAATTGGCGTGGGAGGTTGTTGGGTTGTCCATGGCAACACTATTATATTGAAATAAAGGATGCGGGTGCGATGGGGCACTGATTATTCAGAAACACGCTCACACTGCAGTCTGAACCCAGTTTTTGAAAAGTCTTAGTCTCTTACTCACACGGCAAACGAACCCTGCTTCTAAAAAAAACATCTAATAAAATAGAGAAATGAAAAAGAAGTAAGTACAGGTTGGCAGGCCTGAGGTGCAGTGGTTAGAGCTGCTGCCTTTGAGTGAAATGATCCTGAGTTCAAATCCAGTGAAGAGAAAGTGCAAGTCAAAGGCAGGGACAACTCAGAGTTAAGAAAAAGAAAAGGCAGGGACAGTGCATGGACTAGGGGGTGGGAATCATGAGTACAAGACCGGAAGGTGAGACAAGAAAAAGTAAAAGAGAAATAATGTCTGCACCCCAGAGAGGACAACAACAAGTTCCCTTGCTACCAAAATCTGGTTAGAAAATGCTCTCTTATTACTATTCTTATTATTTTGTGGTTGGATTTAGGAAACCATTTTCACAGAGTAATTTTTATTCCAACCTCACAAGGAAGATAGAACATAAGTAATGAGAGAGAAAAACTTGAGTGCTCTACCAGCCTGTTGGATATTCAGTTGTTAGGCAACGGAGCTCACATAATGACAGGCTTACAAGAACACAAAGATGCCTCTGTGCATGCCCTGATAGGATGTGTTCCTTCCCTCTACTTCAGTACCGGTCTCGGCTTATATTTATGGGCTGTGAAATGAAGCGGCCAGAGGACAGCAGGAGAAGGAAGATACAGAGGTAAAGATGGTGGGAAGTATACGGTTATAGGCTGAGTTGTGGCCCTGGTCTTCTTCAGGCTTGTTTTTTAGACACAAACACACACAGAAACACACACACACACGCAATAACAAAGAGGCAAATGCTGCGTTTTGTTTATCTCACTGCTGCAGGCACTGAGACAAACCTGTCTGATTTCACATGTGGGACCATTTCATGTTTCCTGGGACCTACGGTTGGTTCCTCATAGCGTGTTTGTTGACTGTGTATGCACATTGTGCATGCCTGTGCATAATTGCATACTCTGATGTGTCTAAATAATCAGCAGTAATTTTTCAAACAATCTGGCAGCACGCATGTTTTGCCGTTTTTCCCTGCCCCTTGCTCAGCTGAGATCCTTTTTTTTTCATGTGGAAACGGTTGCATAGTTGAAAAAGACATACTGCTGCAGGACTGTGACCCTGTTATGCCATTGAGAAATGTAATTTTTTTTCTTTTATTTTCCTTTTTTAGCATGTGGGAGTTTTATTTTTTCTATGGGTATATTTGGCATTAACTGTATTCCAGCAAGGAGGCAGATTTACAGCCCAGTTCAACACAGAACTGCAGTGAAAAACAACAATCAATATGAGATCAATATAGGAGGAAGATATGTGACAGGCTGCCTGTAAGGTGTGTGTCTTGATTGTGTATTTCTGTGTGTGTGGTTGTGTGAGCCTGTGTGTGTTTCTGTTTCAGGGGTTCTGCAGCTGGTGATAAGAGCGTGAACAATGTATGCCTCGTAATAATATTCCAAGACTGCTTCCATTTCAGCGCTGCGTAGGAGTTCCTCACCAGGTGCCAAAGTAAAACAACATTTATTTTCTCAATGCAGGAAGACAGCAGTAAATAATGCAAACCTGAGACTCAATTATCGCTGTTTTCTGTTTGTGTGAAATGCCAAGAGGTTCGACCAAGTGTTGTTAATTTCTTCACGTCATAACATAGATGGTGCTTTCTGAGAGTAAACAGAATTAAGACGGAACAGTGCCAGAGCTTTCAGCCTTTCTGTAGCCAAGATGCATCTGTGTTTTTATTCTGTGACAATAACTCACCATGTGTTTATGTGTGTGTGTGTGTGTGTGTGTGTGTGTGTGTGTGTGTGTGTGTGTGTGTGTGTGTGTGTGTGTGTGTGTGTGTGTGTGTGTGTGTGTGTTTGTGTGTGTGCGCTCTCTGTTACTATGAGGCCTGTAAAAAGCTCTGCACAGCTGTGGCCTTGGTCTCAGGTGTGTGTTGGACAGAAAAGGTAAAAAGCAGCCTGGCCTGCATCAGCACACATCATCCATTCACCTCAGTCTCATTTTGCTGGGAGACACAACTCTCATCACTCACCTCTCTCCATCAGCCACACTGATTGGCTTATTATGTCCCGCGCACAGGAAGAGTGGGCCATGCATCAGTGCACACATCTCTGCCTCTCCACACATAAACACTTAGAGACTTCCACACACACATAAACACACAAAAGCACAAACACACATCAAGGAATGTAAGAGGGTAACACCTGTTTTTGTCCGTCAGTTGTATATATTGTCAGGACTCCAGCATTACACAACTAAAGGGAAAACCTGTTGGTGCGCACACACACTCAGGGGAAGGAGACACAAATATCTCAAAGTGGCTGGACAATGACTCACCACTGATGCTGTACAACAAAATTACTTGTTGTCATGGCAACAGAAGTTACCTTGTTGGCAAATGTCATGTTAAGGGCCACACTGCAACTTTAAAATGTCAAAAAAGAAACAAAAATCTGTCTTTTTTGATCTTATGAGTCTTGACAAGAGTGGGGGGAAAAATAAATATCTATAACAGAAAGCTTTTATAGTGACCTACTTTGTATATAAATCATTAATGAGACACTCTTATTCTGAATGTTGGCTATTTTTCCTGATGTCATGTCAGTAGAAAGCTTAATCCTAAATTTATTCCATGTCTGACTGCTGTTTCCCATGTGGTATTCAAGAAGTAGAAAATATAGAGTCTGACAGTTTTTAGTCATTTTAGATAATAAAAAACTAACATCAGACCATATTTCAAAGCAACATATTTAAAAACAGTATTTAATAACCTATTGGGTAACAAAGGCTCCGTCACAACAGCAAATTTTTAGCATTTTCAGTTAATTGAATATATTTTTTAAGCATCTTCGACACTCTTATTGTTAGCTATCTAAAACTCCTGGCTCACTAAAATTAGGGTGAGCTGAAAATACTGTAATACCATCCTTATATCATGTATAACTAGAAAGTGGTCATATTAACAAGTCATATTAATGGGAAAACCGCTGGTGCTAATGCTAAAACTCTTTTTATACGGTGGCGTATAGTTTCATTTGTCCTTTTTTGTTGTGTTTTCAGTTGCAGTTTCAGGAATTGGTGAAATGAAAGGATTTCAAACACAGCTGTATGTTGTGCCCTAAAATAGACAAAATGGTAGTGATATGAGAATTTTGAATTTGAAAAATACCGTATTTTTCTTCGGGGATAAATAAAGTTTTTTTTAATTCTTATTCTTATGAGAATAAGGGAACTACACATATGTTGCTCTTCCCATCACTTGTATGTTTTAAGTTATTTCACAATACAATACAATACTTGCCATCCCTTCCAATTCACACAGGAGACTCCCCATCTTTCACCCTACCTCCCATGATGCTCCCGGCTAGTAATTTCTCCTGGTTATCTCCCGATCTTTACAGTGAAGGAAACAAGTAAGATCGTGGGGGATATTTGTCGCAGTATCAGGCAACCCTGGCCTGCCTTCACATATGAGGCGAGGCCGGTTATGTGACTCAGTCACTCACTGGAGGTAGTGATACGCCAAATAACATTGATACTGCAGAAAAAATAATATTTATAATAAGAAGTCACTCGCTGGTGGTTTCTATCTTCTGCTCAGTTCAACATTCAGACAGAGATGAATAGAGAGAGAATTCCTATGCATTATCCAAGACTTATTTACGGACTAAAGCTTGGCCTTGTTCATGTAATCGGTATTAATAGTCTCCTGTTGTATTTAGGCTATTTTGAATGTGTTTCCTTGTTTAATTACATGCCTCATTAGCAGCAGAACTTTATGGAATTTGAAGTTCAAGTTCAGTTTTCTTCATGGCAAAAGCCACTTAATCCCTTAGATGGTGGCACAAACTTTTTAATTTGATGTGCAATAACTACTGCATACTAAATGCACTGCAGTCTAACTGCCTTATCATTTACCCCTCTGGTGCTCATTTCAACAATTCAGACTTCTAATTTTTTTGTTCTCCTCAATGGTAAACAGAATCGTTTACTGAATATCAAAGAAACATATTCAGGACAAAGTTCCTTCATCAGGTTTTAAATACAAGGCAAGAAATGACAACAGTTTGTGTGCACTCATAGCAAAGGAACCTTGGTACTGGGAGCTAATAAACCAATGAAAGCAAATCTCCCTATTTTTCGAAACCCAATGTTTTACCAAAGGTGAAATAGGGAAATCCAGGCCCCCAACCCATTTGATTGTTTCCTACACAGTCTCTCACTTCTAACTCGGATGTGCCCCCCTCCTGTTTTTAAATTTCACTGCAGTTACATCGCCGCCACTAACCCTTGCCCCAACCCTAACCCTTACCTTTACTAACCTCACCCTAACCCCTACTATAGCTTAACTCTCCCCCTTTCCTATCTGAGAACGAAAACAACAGGCGAGCGAAGAACAGATGCTGCAGGAACCAATCAAATGGGTTGGGGGGTGGGGGGGATTTCCCAATTTCATCCTAGGGAAAAAAATTTAGCCTACTGGATCCCTGAGGCATTACCTACAGATCACTGAGCAATCAAACTCAAACGCAAGGATCTACATGATGAGGCTTTCCTTTTCTATTAATGGCTGTGTAACTTTTATAACAAATACTAGTGTACGTAATGGTAACATAACAGCTACACCATGCATGATGAAAAAAACTACACTACAAAAGCTGTGTTAAGGAAGAATGAAATTTGATAAATTAGTCATGTCTGATTCTTCAATCTATCACAAGTACAGCCCAGCAGCATCCTCTGGTGTTAAAATACAAAGTGCAAAAACACTGCAGTTCCTCAAGTGTCCACCTGAGAGTGGCTCCAAAGGGCAAAGACGCTCTTTTAGGTCCCGTGCCAAAGTTGATAGAAGAAAACATGCAGACCGTGGCTCAAATACAACTTAGGCCTGAGTGTAAGTATGAATATACATGACTAAGGACATTGCTGTGAATGAAACTTATGGTTAATCGGTGTGTCCAATATGGTGGCCACAATGATTAGGCTCCAAAACCCCCTCCTGGCATCAATAGTGGATGTCTCTTAGACTGGATCCATGTTTATTCAGTCTACGAGTACAGAGCTAGAAGCACTTCACTCTCCACACTTTGAATGTCATCAAAGGAAAATGGTTGTTCTTATAGCTGGAGTGGCTGCATAGTTGAGGTTCTGAGTGCTATTCATTAACTATATATCCTCCTATATATGTTCTTAGGGCGTTCCATGGCTGTATTCTGCATGGCTGCAGCAGGCTGCTTAAAGCCCATAGAAACTATAACGGTGCATTACATCACATCAGTGAGTTCATAATGCAGTCAAAAGCCCAGAGTACCAGCTGCTACTACCTGTCCCTGTTTATGGAAGGATATACTAGTTACATTGGCTCACTGGCTCTTTCTTTGGCTCAAGCCCCGCAGCATCTAGGATTAGGCTTCAAATCCAAAATCTTTATATGTAATCATTACCAGCAGGAATACAACAATGAAACAAGTGGTGAGGGCCTGAGCGGTTCTTGGCCAAGCTTTTCACTGGATGCATCTGCAGCAGAGCGTGGTTCTGGTGTAATAAACTGCAGTGTGCTGGAATAATCGCTATGTTTCAGGCCTGATTTCACTTCAGCCACCCAGCGAGCACAAAGAAAGAGACGGAGAGAGAAAATGCGATGGCACCAACTCCGAGAAAGAGTCAAGAGGTCCGGAGAAGAGCGCCTCACCTCATCAGTGTGGAAAAGAGAGAGATAAAGAAGATGCATGTGGGTGTGTTGTTTAGCCTATAGCTGAGGATATATTTTTCAGACTGAGGTGAACAGAGGTAACCACTCTCCCACCTTCCTTCTCCCTTATCCTCTTTGCACAATCCTTTCATTTTTTTCCGGCCTCTCCGCCACCGTGTCTCCAAAATACACTCTAATTCTGCAACCAATTTCATACTGTATTTCTGCCAAAGCCTCCATTTTCCCGTCACTTCTACCCACTCGCTTGTCAATCCTCCTCCACTTTGAGTCTTGAATATTCTGATTTAGACCTCCCTCTTTCATGCCAGTTAATCTCTCCCTCTGCTGCTCCAATCCCCACCCTTTTCTTTCCTCCTTTTCAGGGTCTTTACCTCTTTTTCTGTGCTCCATCACTCTGTGCCCTTCTCACTGACCTCTCCCAACATGGCTCTAAGCCTTTCTTTCCTAAACCCTGAGAGGTGCCCTGGGTGCTTAAATGTCACTGAACTTCTGCTTCTTCTCAGAGAGCTTGAGGGGGTGTGAAGTTCAGTATCTTTAATGTTTGTGCGTGTTTTAGTTTCTGTCATGGGAGTTGTGTGAAGTACCAGTGGTGATTAAAGCGCGTCCTCTCTCCTCTCATGCAGATCGGACTTCCTAGGAGGCAAAAAGCAGCACAAGCACAGGAAACAGGGCAACGGGAAAAAAAGAGAGAGTCAGTTTCTCCTTGACCGTGGGGTTTTTCCACAGAAAATTAAAAGCCAGTTTATGTCTGTAGATAACAGCTGAGGTGAGTTAGAATTAAGGAATCTTTGCCCTGCTTTGAAAATGTGGGTGGATGAGTTGTGATGTAGCACCAATACCCTCAGCGCCCTTGATTTAAGATTTTGATGGCTGTCTGAGGTCATGCGCATTTTTAATGTATCATCAATATATACATTTACTTTCCAATGCCACAGGTTGATTCCACTCTTTAAGCATGAATATGAAAGTCAACTGTCTAAAAGTGTGCTGGAAACTGTTCATCCAGGTGTCTCCCAGAATGACTGGGACACTAGGGCTGGGCGATGAACCAAAAATTTACTGAAACCAAAATTTATGACAATAACCAATGTCATTTTGCCCACATCGGTATATTCGGTGTCAAAAAAATAAATAGATAAAAGTTGGTTTTGGATGTGTGTAGGTAGGCTATGGTCTCATGTCCCTTTAAGACGCTGTCCTATGTCAGAGATGTGACTCCACCCCATCCAGTCCTTAACAAAGCAGAAAAGACAGGTGAGGAGATGGAGGATGGTTTAAAAATTGTAGCGGCTGAAGCAGCGGCTAAAGTAGACGAAGTTAATGTGGGAGGGAGTGAGAAGCTTGTGGAGTAGTCGTCATCCATTTATCGTTATCGAGGTGAACTGCTCAATATATCTTGATATTGATTTGAAGCCATATCACCAAGCCCTATGGGACACTACTATTAATGGCCTTAGTCTTTCTCTAGCTCTTGCTGCCCATTGTTACACATAACTTAATATTTTACTGTTATGTACTGAGAGTTTCTTAACTTGTTAGTTCAATGTAGCTCTTAAGTTTAATCGGATATTTTCACCAGAAATTAGACAAATACACTTATCGATGTAGTTTAAGGATACATAATGACGCCTGTTCAGTGAAGTTGTTGTATTTCACTCCTCATGTTACTTTTCTTGTGCTTCTTGTTTTATTTTGTTTCTCCCCCTCTTCTCTCATATCAGGTCCGTTCACATCCTGCTTCCTTGTGTTTTCTGGCCTCCCTGATTACCCCAATGAAGTTGCACCTGCGTCTTGTAATCTCCACTTCCTGTGTGGACTGAAGCTCAGTCCGCCCTTCCTTCTGTGTCAGATTGTTTTGTACCCTTAATTGTGTTTAGCCATCATCTCCTCATAGTTTTTTCCAGTGTTTTGATAAGTTTTTTCAGGAAGTTGACTTTGCTTTTGGCCTAACATTTACAAGTGAATACAAGTGGTTATATGCTATGAAAAACATGCACAAACTGAGGGACAATGAGAAGAACAGAAGCCTCAAATATGAAGGTCAAACATGCTACACCATTTACCACTTCACCTCCACTCCTATTTTCTTCCTCACAGCATATGACACTTTCTTCACTGCTTGTTTCACTGCAAGTAAATCAATTCAGAATATATTTGTTTTATTTGAAAAATTGACTGTTTCTTTATCTGGTTGTGCGTACATCAGTAGACAAAATTAAGCAGAGTCTGGGTTTGTCATATTACATGCTTTTACTCGGGTCAGCCATTGTAAGAGTCACTTTCAATTCAACGGCTTCAACCAGAGAAGCACAGCACTAAATAAAGAATTGCAGTACCAAGGATAGAACTGCAGCCTAAGTATATTTACTTGTTGATGTCAAAGCTTAAGCGCTGGTGGAAAATGCTATCTGTGCTCAGGCTCCAGTCTCTGGATGAATGCTTTGGAAAAGAGAGCTCAGGGTGGATGGATGTGCATACGAGGTGTGATAAGAGTGATGAAGAAATAATTGCAATTCTCTGTCATGGAGGCACAGGCTTGACTCCAGGTTACTTTCTGCCTGCTACGACTGTAGAGCAGGTGGACGGTGGGATATACAGACATGAAAATTAATTAAATTTCTCTCTCTCCTCCCTTTCTCTTTTAATGCATACTTAACAACTCGCTGCTCGTGACCACGGGGTTAAGATCTGCAAAACTGGAGAGAGGGGGAGAAAATGAAAGGCTAGAGAGGAGAAGAGTGGGGTCTGCCAGCACAGAGCTGCAGCAGGTGAAAGATTAATAACCACCGAGTCCTTGGCTAACAGGTCATGCAGTTATTACTGCAGCCATCAGATTTCTGTGTGTAATGGCATTGTCTAACCCTTTAATTACCCCATGAAGTCTTACTAATCTGGAATAAAGTATCTGCCTACGGTATTCTTTGAATCCTATCTATCCTATTTTAGTCATCAAGCCTTATTAATGTGAGCATCAACAGCAGTATTTCATTTTCAGGTCTACAATTTCCTGATTTTTTCCCATTTAATGTGAACAACAAAAGAAATTCCCTTACTACTTTTGTAAAGGCACTAAAAACAAATTTCATTGACCTTTTTTGTTATTTTGAGGCACTGTACCATAAAAAGGCTCTCGTGGTTTAAGAGAAGCCAACGAGGAGGCACCTTGAACCTGCTCGTTTTTTCTTTGACGACACAAATAGTTGCAAAGGAAATCTGACTGTAAAAATGTCAACGTAACCCTCCTCTGATGTGATTTCTAACTACAAGAAACTCTACCATAAGAGACAAAAGTAAATGATACAAGTAAAGGTAACAATTTTAAGCAGTTGGAAATAATAGTGGCCATGTGAGCCTACCAGGCTAGTATGTAAGCACTTACAGTTTCCCAGCTACAGTAGAGTTGGTACTTTTTGTAATGATTTTATGGATAAAAGCTTTAAGATCCTTGAGAATATTTTAGTGCTTTTATAGCCACATTTACAGAAGTTTAAAAACTCCAACAGAGACAGGACTGATCACTTTGGTACAGAAAGTAGCCATGTTTATGTGGGCAAAATTTCTTGATCCGATTAAAAATTTGAAGGATCGGAAAATCTGAATCCACTGTTTATATGGGTGCAAAATCAAATAATCTGATCATGACATGTGTATACAAGGAGCATTTGGACATGCGCAGAATTGTTTGATCTTGCTAAAACAACCACAAAGGAAGAGATGTATTTACGCCTGTGCTGTCAACAAACCATCAAACGCTGTAGTGGCTCACTCTATCCAATTCAAGAGTGTTCCCCCTGTTAAATGTTGTCACTAGATAGCGCCCTTGTGTGCTTATTTTACTGTTCTGTCAAAGGTTGCACTGTGCGTGCAGATGTGACATCATTACGCTGTTATGTTATTGGAGGAGCAGACACGGCACCTGTGGTTGTGTTTTCTGCCAGAGTGTTAATAATGAAACCTCCTGTACTGGCCTCAATGAATAAGCTAAAGGCTAAAGAGTGAAGATCGAGACAGGTAAGAGAGTCACGATCGAAATAGGTGCTTACATGGATGCGTTTCGGAATAACGATCGGTATAAACCAACCCCCTCGATCGGAATACAATTTCTTTTCGATTGAGCCGAATTGGATCAGAATCATCCGATCGACATGTTTACATGGAGCATTTTTTTTTTTTCGATCAGGCCTTTATTTCGATTATTTGTGCCCATGTAAACGTAGCTATTGTAAACAGCAGAATGGTTTCAGATTAATATATTGCAGTCAGTAATACAACTGACTGTGAAGAAAACATGGTGAAATTTTCATACAAAATCAGCAAAGACATAAAACAATTTTTGTCTGCTAGAGGTCCAAAAATTTGCCTTAAGTCCACCTTTTTGAGCTGGAATAATTGTAAAAAAAACCTGAAAAGTGCTCTCAGAAAACAAAAGCAGGTAGTATGTTATTTATTTAGGGGCTCCTCCCCCGGCAGAATTGCTCTTAGATATGAAAGTGATGAAACATGGTGCCATAGAAGAAAGACCAAATCAAGTCCATGCTGCACACTTACTATAAGGATGTTTGGGCTCAATATTTGGGTCACGACAGAACAGATTCATAATAAACCGAAGTCCCTGAATCCAAACTTTTCTATTTTCTTTATGCTTCAAACCTTAACGATAATGCTATCATACCATTTCATTACTTTCTCTCCATTTTAATTTAATACATAATTGAAACAATCTTGGGAGGCGTGGGAAAAATATTGAGTGTCTTTTGCTCCAGGGATCAGATTAAACAATAATTTAATGAAGGGCATGAAGAAACCATGTTTAGTTGTCCAGTTGAAACACGTATAATGCAGCATGATGATCAAATTAAAGTCAGAATTGTACATTTAACTTCCTTTCTGGTGGAAATAAGGATCTGTCAGAGATCTTCTGGGCTGCTCTGAGATTCAAGTACCTCAATCACGCTACAGCCCCTGTGTGCTAATGTTGCTCCATATCTTTGACAGTGAAAGATTGTGCCTCATTCCTTAGTTTCTGCAGTGTATACCTTCCCCTGACAATGTCACTAACACATCAGATTTATTCATTTCACCTTTCAGAGAACACATCCACCCTGTTTTTCCCTTTAACATATTTATGATTGTGTCTTTTTCTGCTTATCTCCAAAGTAATATGCATCATCTAACTGAATAATTCAAAGAAAATCTTGGGTTTTGAGAGGGTGGAGAAGTGGATGGTATGTGTGAGTCTATGTGTATGTGTGCGTGTGTGCATCAGGGTGCTTTTATTGGGTTTTTTAATCAGTGCGTTACGCTCTCGGTCCCGATTAGGTACAGCAGGCAAGGCTCTCCAGCCGGCTGCTTCTGAACAACAACAGCCTCTGAAAAGCAGATAATGCTTCAGCTCTCAGACTCAAAGAAAATCAACAACTCTCTCTCGGTTTCTCTCGTGCTCTGTCTTTCGCCCTCTCTTTTCCTCCTCCACATCTACGCTCCAAATCAGATCGATGAAGTTGGAAAATGAAACTCCATAATAACAGCAAGGTGAGAGCAGCCTCAGGTATCAGATGTTTGTTGTGTCACGTGACGAAAAGAAAACAAGAGAATCTGATATGAGGGAGCAACCAATATGATTCACTGTTGTGTCCTCTGGCTTTCAGCATGTCACAAACTATTTTCAAAGATCAACAGAGGAGAAGCACAAACACACCCTCACACTTACACATGCCAGAGTATGTAACAAGCTGCAGGAATAAAGGGGCACCATAATTGTGTTTTTACATTTGCGCATCTGCTGTGACAATATGTGATCCTCACACTTCATTCCACGTGTCAAAATACATTATTCTTATTGCCTGCCTTTAATTGACTCATCTTGCTTCCATTTCATCTCCAGTGAGCGTGGAATCATAACCATGCGCCGCTCCTGTCAGAGTTAGCAGGACAAAAAAAGGGAAAACAATGAAGATGAATATGTGCATAAGCAATCATGCCTCCTTCTGTGTTTTTCTATTTATAGACAAATATTCAGTCTAAAGTGTAAAAAAAAAGGAAGAAACACTTCGTGATACAGCAGCTTTTCAGTCGGTAAATTTGGTGTCATGAACCTTCAGAACAGATCCAATAATAGAGGGGAGAGGGGAGAGGGTGTCTGTTTGACAATCAGGTCTGAGCAGTTTGATGATATTCATGAATACAATTCAGCACCAGACACAGAAGATGCAGCGCACAGCTGAACCCTCACTGTCTGACAAAACATCACCAAACCTTCTGTGAAATGAGTGGATTCAAAAGTCTGATATTAAATTATATTGGAATAAGAAAAGTTTAAATCCACTGATATTTCCTCATTTTTTCATAGAACTGATAATCTAGATAAGTTGTTTTTGTTATTGTTTGCTCATCTTCTTTTTCAACTCATCTATTTGAACATATGATACGACAAGTAAGCTCAAAACAAAAGTACCAGAGAGTCATCATTACAATCTAATCAGAAACTGGGAGGCATTAAGAAGAATATTAGCTTTTTTATTACGTTCACTTTTTTAGCACACGGGCTAACATTAGCTTTGTGTGCGAAACACAAATGATTGATTGCCAGGTGATCAACCTCAAATGAAAAAGCATCTAAGGACTTAAGCGCCTCAGTTTGTTATAACTATAAACGCTTTGTTTATAGTAACACTATAACAAACACCTCATGGAAAACCCTAAAAAAAGTGGAGTCCAGTCGGGTAAGGCAGAGTAGGTTCTAATAAAGTGCCTGGTACCCAGTACTATCACTCTCATTATTTTCCATCACGGGACGGTGCCCCTCACAGGAAATTTTTGATCAAAGGAACTTATGTAAGACCTCCTCCTATTTAAAGTATTTGTTGTTTTTTTAAGCTAATAAGTTTTGTTAAACAAGACAGAGGAAAACGTTTTGCTTTAGTGTCATATATGCGAGTGCATCTCTGCTGGCTGTAAATTATGTTATGTTACGTTATGTTACGTTACGTTATGTTATGTTAATAATAATAATGCATCAGATTTCATATAGCGCTTTATCAGAGACCCTCAAAGCGCTTTACATTGGATACATCATTCATTCTCTCACACAGTCACACTTTGGTGGTGGTAAACTACCTTAGTAGTCACAGCTGCCCTGGGGCAGACTGCCGAAAACGTGGCTGCCATTTTACGCCAACGGCCTTTCCGACCACCACCACACAACACTCACAATCATACACCAGTGGAGGACACACACTGGGAGCAAGGTGGTTTAAGTGTCTTGCCCAAGGACACAACGGACAGACTTGGGATAGGGGGGAATCGAACCGCCAACCTTCCAGTTATTGGACGACTGCTCTACCTCCTGAGCTACTGCCACCCCGACCTGACCTGATTATGCTTTGTTATGCTATGTTACCTTGACAATGTTATGCTATGTTATGTTATGTTATGGTATGTTATATTATATTATATTATATTATTTACACTATATTTGATCAGTATTTAGGACAGAAAACAGTTTTTGGTCAACACCCTCATAAAAGTGATTGAAAATCACAGACTGGTTTTGAGCAGGAACTGTCATCTGTTGTTGTTGTTGTTGTTGTTGTTGTGACAGACAGATAGTCCAGGGTGTAGTCTGTCTCTTCCCTGTTGTGAAAAGGGAAAGACTCCAACCTCCCGTAGCTCAGCGCATGATAAACAAGCACAGGTAACTGGAATTGAATCTGTGAATTTGTGCTAGAATCCCACTGTCAATAAATTATATATGTCATTTCCCAAAATGTAAATGTGTAGAGTTTTCTAGCTGTTTCTCAGCAATATTATTTCTGGTGCATTCAAGCACAGAACCACAACATGTGGTAATGAAATGCTCGGTAAGATACACAGAATTTTTCTATAACCCATATGGTCCTCGTCTGTGTGATGGAATATTACATGAGCGCCTGTGACAGATGCCCTGTTATTGACTCTGAATGGGAACTGTTACTTCACGGGGAGGATCCTTCTGCCTTCTGTATGTTCCTGCCACTTTTTTAATCACAATATTACATCGGGAGGTGATTCAGAGAGGTAGGCAATCTACAACAATCTCACCACCCACAGGCCAAAGCACACCTACTTCCATCCACGAGTGTTTTTGGAGTCAATGAGGTATTACGTCCATCAATGAGATGTGAAAGATGAGACAGACAATAAATTCCCTTTACCCTCACATGTGTCCTCCTGCTGAAGACTAAACACATCTCAGACACCAATCTGCCGCTCTCCGCTCTGCAGTGGCCCTGAGAGATTTAGATTTGATAGTAAAGTTTTAATTATCCCATAAAAAGCCTCTCTGGATGTGCTCGCTGACTTCAGTTGGAAACAGCTATTTCCTACATGCTACTGAGAAAGCCCTCAGCTCCCCGCAGGAATCCTGATCATTAGCGTCTGCATTAAAATCAAGAGGCAGCCAAGTTTTTCTTTTTCAGGCTGAAACTAAAGGAGCCTTTAAACCTAACTGTGAAAGAGGAAATCGATGGACCCCATGCACTCTGATAATCTCTCACATAGTCATTTGTCACAGCAGAAAAATCAAATATTGTCCTGATAGGCTGGCACAACCTTGGTTAACTTTTGTTTACCCCTCCTCAGAAAACAAGGGATGTCATTTTTACTGGTCTTAACCAACAGCACCACACCACTACTATCCTCGCCCGCCCCCCTTCACTGGCTCACTGTGCGTTTTAGAATTGATGTCCATTTACTGAGCACTTTTAAAGCTTGTCTGGGGTTTTTCCCAAGTTATATTATAGAAATGTTGACACCACATGAGCCGTCCTGCAATCTGAGATCCTCCGGTGATGCCCTGCTGGTCCTTCCAAATTCGAGGCTCAAATCTAAAGGAGATCAAGCTTTTTCCATCAGAGCCCCTCGACACCCTGAGGAGATAGGGCGTGCAGAATCAGAGACATCTTTTAAGTCTCTTCTGAAAACTCACTTTTACAGACTTGCTTTATGTGAATTTACCTTTTAGCTACTTTTCAATTTGAACATACTGACTTTCTTTTATTCAAAAACACATATTTTAATGCTTTTGTTTGAGCCATCTGTTTGCAAGTTTTTGTAAAACACTGTCTTTGACCACATTTACTCCATTTATTCACTTATTAATTTATTTATCTTTTGTTGGTTTGTTTATACCTCAGTCTCTTATCTGCTAATCTGTTTTTATTCTGATGTGATATCATCTACCTTTTTACCTCTTCCCTTTCTTTCTCTTTTCATTTTTGTTTATTCTTTTTTTCCCTCCTCAGAGAATCTTAATGCCTTCTCTACGACTTGTGATTTATTTCTCCTATGCTGTCATAACTGTTATTTGCTCTGCTTTGTCTGCCAAAGCACTTTCAAACTTCTGTTTCTTTAGGATTCTATATGAATAAAGTTATCTTTATTTCTTATCACTGATTCTATGTTTGAAGTAAATATAATAATACAATGAATACAGTAAATAAGGCTAGGATTGATAGCATGTCAAGATTAGCATGTAGCCTCTTAGAGTTTTAATATTGAAAATAAAAAGTCAGAGGTTTTTTTGACACAAACTGAAATACAACATATAGGGCCTGATCTACTAAGATCCCAAATAGCGAATGCTAAATTGCGTGTGCAAACTAAAAAATTGCACGTGCTATTAGTGGGCGTGTTGCGGGTGATCTACTAGTATTAGGTGCGCAATTGATAACAGGAGCAAAAGTGGTACGCACCGCCCTCTTTAAACAAGGATCCGCTATCGGCATCACCATGGAGAGTTTGTGAGAGCAGAGTGATCGTAGATGAAAAATTAAGTTTAAAGCCATGGAGTTGCACCTATTGTTTTGGGGAAGCCAGCAACTGCATAAAAGGCAAGGGAAGTTTATTTGTATCGCACCATTTATACACAAGGCAATTCAAAGTGCTTTACAGATGCAAGAAAATATATTTGAAATGAAATAAAGAGAGATTCAAAAAATTTCAAATGAATAAGAAAGAGAGAAATTTTTGTGCATGTTTCGTGTTTGACCTAAATATTTGTCATAACTGACATTTACTAGAAAAACGCTTTTGCACTTTTGCCTTCTACTTCGCAGATAGAACTGGCTGCAGATTTGTGCGTAACGCTGTGCCAGTTTGCACATGCCTTTCAAACGTGCTAAATATAGACGCAAAACAGCCACCGCAATTGGTTTCCAGGTTTGATAAATCACATTGCGGGTGCTAAATGATTCTATTTGCATCTGCTTCTCCCAGTATTTTGCATGTTCTGATGATCTACATACATTCTGCATATGCATGAAGGCAAACACACTAAATTGATTGTGTGTACTGTTTTGCTTATTTGACCAACACAATCCTTGGTGCACCCGGTTAGTATGTGCATGCGTTTTTGCACTCGTAAACCTTTAGTAGATCGGGCCCATAGTATTTTTAGTTAGTAGGGACATAGACACTCTGCCATGAAAAGTACTGATGTTCTGAAATCATAATAAAAATGTTCTAATACTTTCATCCATACACCTGTACTGCTAAGAGCACTTATTTCTTGTACGCTGCTCTTTCAGTAGCTTTAGACAGAACATGCTGTGATTTCTGTCTCCCTGCAGCCTCTGCTCAGGACAAACAGATCCGAGGTTCCAGTCTGAGAGTCTCACAGTCTGTGTTATCAAAGAGTAAAGACAGGTGGGCTAACTGGTATTTAGGCCATTGGATGCCCAGTTTAGCTGTGAGTGAGGGTGAAACAGATGTAAATGAGCTTTTAAGCTGTGGTTATAGAGAAACTGCATTCTCCACAGCTACCTCATTCATCCCCCTCATCCTCCCCTAAGCCGGGGATCCAGACAGCCATCGGAGGCTCGTGCCTGACTTTCTGGAAGCGAGGGAGTCATTTGGGATGGTGACCCAGATGCCCTCATCTTCTGTCTATCATGCCTCTGTTACAGGCCTGAAATACACTCATCTCCCAGAAGCTATGCCCGTCACTGTCTGGGCTCCTGTCAGGAATTTTCAGACTAAGAGCTCCATGATCTGCAGAGGCATGATAACAAAAACATCTCTTCCCTGCTAGGCTGAGAGTTCTTCTCTCCTCTTGCTTAAAAAAAAGAATAACATCAGGCCTTTTATGGGGCCCTATTTTTTCTATATATGAAAAGATCCTCAGCATCTGTAGTTGCACGGTGACAGCTAACATAGTGTACTCTCCCTTATGTGAAGCCGGTGTCTGTAGGATTACAGTTGCCATGGTTTCTTCTGTTTTGATCATTCTTATATAATGTTATTGGTGGCTGGTTGCTGTGAAAAGTGAACACACGCACATGCTCACAGTTTGTGTCAGTAAATGTTGCTAACCACCCCCACATCCTTGTCCTTCCTCGAAGAGAGCAGCCTGAGGACAAACAACAGCTCCTCTAACACCATCTTCCTCTCTCTTATATTCTTTACACCCTCCTTCTCTCTCCCCCGTTCTCTCCCCCCTTTTCTCCCTCCACTTATCACTCTCTTGCTCTCTTTCCCTCAGCCCTTATTTCGGGCCTCACAGTCGCCCCCCTCTCCTGCTCCAATTCTCCCTCAGTCCACTTTATCCCTCTCCAGTCATATCTGTATTGATTTTTGCAAGGCCTCTCCTGTCATATCTCCATATCTCTTAATTCCCGTACTCACTCCATCCTTCTCCACTCTGCAGGGTTGTTTCCATTCCTCACACTCATCCACACACACTCTTTCTCTATCATTTTTCTATCTATCTGTCCTTCCCCCCAGATATGATTAATCTTAATCTCTTTTTCTACTCTGCTACCAGTCTCCTCTAGAATATACTGTATTCCCCCCCATCTCTGCCCCACTTTCTTTTGTTACATTTTTGGACTCTCTTCTTTTCATCTCTTCTATTCTCACCTGTCTTTCATGTCTAAGCTTTTGTTGTGACTTCCTGTCTGACTTCACACACTCTGCTTTAGCTTCTGAGTGAGGCAATGTTTGTAGCGCCTTCAGGGCGCTGTGCTGTGCAGACTGTTTGTAGGGCAAAACGCTGATAATGCCCTTTTTCTCTCTCACTGAGGAAAACACTCAGTGCATCTGTGCCACGCTCAAGATTCATGCACGCCCACTTCTGAAAGTTTTTGCTCCTCATGGCTGCAGGTTGGAATTACAGTTGTTACTGTGGAAGTAAAGGAGTAGTACGCCTTATAATATCTGCATTAGGGGTGGGAATCCCTAGTGGCCCCACAATACAATATTATCACGATACTTGGGCCATGATACGATAATATTGTGATTTTTAACATTTTGAGGTACAGTGAGTATTGTGATACAATATATTGAGATTTATACAATTTTTTTCAACTGTTCAGCTAATTTAGCATTTGGCGTTCCTTTGTTTGTCTTATTTATGTTGTATTTTATTTTCATGTAGCACATCTCACAAACCTTATATATATTTGTTCTACTAACTTTCTCCTGCTCTATGATGTCATCTCTGCCAACCTCACTGGACAAACAGTTGATTTGAGTTTTCCATTATCATAGATTTGACTTTGTTTTAGCAATTTATTTGAAAAATTGATACTTAGTTGTTTAATACTTACTTATATACTTACTTGGTTATTGAGACGATATGATACATCATTAGACAAAATATCGCAATACGATGCTGTATTGATTTTTTCTCCCACCTCTAAATTGCATGTGGATCCACGTTGTGCCCTTATGACAAGGTTAAAACCCTCTGCAAAACACAGCATTTGAATTCTGAATACAGAGAAGTCCTTGCTTATCTTGTTCTTGACTTGCTTGAATCATGATCTTTAAAAAAATATATTTTTGAAGGTCAACTGTACTATTCCTCATGAACACTTTACGAGGGAATCATAAAAACAGGGCTGTTTCTTTAACTGCTTGGCAGGACACCAGTTTCAGGTATTAAAAAACTAGGATATAAACATTTTTGATGTTGTTGCTAATATTTAAAATTCCTTATTGGAGCTTTCAAACAGCTAAAGGGGCTCAGGTATGGGCTATCACAGAGTTTTGATACCAAGTTATCGAACATTGTAGAGGGTGAATTTTATCATAACTTATCTGTTTTTCAACCATTAGGGCTTCAAGTCTTGCATGATTATCATAATAAAAGGCCTAGCTTATGTCACTTACAGGTGGTGCATTGTGGGGTTTTCCAGGTCCTCCTCATTTCCACCTCCTAACCTACATCTTTCTTCACCTTATGTTAGGTTGAGTCAGCATCTGCAATACAGCAGTATCACCATTCAGCGCCTGAACCTTTCTTTAGAGACCAGTGGGGGACATCGCTCAGACTTTATCCAAGTTTTAATTAGTTTATGGTTGAACATTATGTTTTCTTTGTGTTGATGGCTTTACTGTTTCCCTTCATATAACCCAAGGCGGCTGAAATGATGGCAGACAATTACACAGATACAAAGCACTCCCAACATCAAATATCTTATCTCTTATCTGCAGGTTTTCATTTATTCCATGTACTTAATACTGTTTATTGTTGAGTGTTAATGTTTCATTAAGATAGTATAAACGTCCTTTTAAAACAAGGATCACATTGATTACAGTGTAGAAAACATAGCAACAGATTTGCACTCCCCAAGGCAAGACTGATGTGTGTGTGTGTGTGTGTGTGTGTGTGTGTGTGTGTGTGTGTGTGTGTGTGTGTGTGTGTGTTTGTGTGTGTGTGTGTGTGTGTGTGTGTGTGTGCTTCAACCATTATTGTTAAGAGCCAAACTCTTGTCTGAACACTGTGTTTTCTGAAATGCAGACTCTGGAGTATGTTTCAACCTTCAGGCTGTTTCAATCTGAAATCATTTTTGTGTTTGCCAGGGGAGCGCTCGAACATTTCTAACTGTATTTTATGGAAAGTGATGTACCTATGGTGAGAGTCTTGTTCTCCGCAGTGAGTTATTTGAATATAATATTATTTCAAAGCCAATGTGATCTTTGGCAACCTGGTTTGAAGGATTTTTAGCTGACTTGAACAAAAATCGCAAATATGCTCAATACTGAGTGATCAGTGGCATCTCATCATCCCGGAGGCACCTGCTCGGAAGGCCAGTCCATCAAAAAGCTCATTTCTGAAGCCCATTTCCCCCTCACCTGCCCAGTCATCCCTATCACCTTCTGGGTATCATTTCTTTCACCCAGCTCCTTTCGTCATCTTCTTCCCGGTCCCTCCCTTTGCTCTTACTTTCCACCCCCATCACGTCCCATCTGCAGCTCGTTTCCCTCCCACCCCTCGGCCCCTTTTTCTGTCTTTTATCTCACTCTCTCCTCGTTCACAACGCATTATATCTTCTGATATCCTCCATTTGTCTATCATCCCTGTCTGTGCCAGCTCCCTGTCTCCTGTTTCTTTCCTTATACTTCAATTTCACTGTTGCTTTTCCTCACCCCATCCTCCTCTCCCCTTCTCATCCTCCTACTGCTCACCACCCTGCTCACGTCCAGGTCTGTTTCCACTGATAAGACTCTCGGTCGCACTCTCTCTCTCTCTCTTTCCCTGTCTCTCTCTCTCTCTTACACACTCACACACAGTTACGCACACACCGACACACAGAGGGAGAGATAACGATGTTGCATTGCCAACATAGTTAGCATCAGCGCTAACTGCTTTTACTCTCTTCTCTAATATCACTGCTAATGAATGTGTCATCGGTGATCTGTCTCTCTGAGTCAAATGGGAGCAGAGAGGAGGGAGAAAAACACAGAGTGAGGGAGAAGGAGGAGGGGAGCAAGAGAGGACAAAAAGTTCTTTCTCTTTTTTTATGGTAAATCCATTTTGTTGGGGGCTGTGCTGAAAACAAAGTTATTACCTGACATGTCGAGGCCGGTGCAGGTAGAGGAGCAGTGAATAAGTTGTTCATTCTGAGACTGCAGGCTGAGCTACAGGGCGGCCACTTTATTACAGTCAGAGATGGAGAGTCTTTCTCTCCACACACAAGATTTTTCTCTACGTGGTACACAAGTCTCAGTTTGTACTTGTCATGGTTTCGATTAATATTTTCTGTCCTCAATCATTACTGTGTGTTTGTGTGCTTTAAAAAAGATCTTACTCTCGTGTCATCTCGGACCCGACCACTCCCACCTGTCTGCCAGCAGGATCAGCTCATTGCCCTCCCCTTTCTCTCACCTGCTCTCCCTTACCTGATTAGCTCCCCCACACTCACCTGTCTCTGCTAGATTGTCCTTGTCTGTCGATAAAGCTCTCCGGCCTTGTTTCTGTCTTTTCGATTTTGACCCAGTCTGTTCTCGTTTGGAGTTTTGCCCTTGCCTGACCTCTCTCACTCTCCCTTTGAAAATGACTGACAGAAGCATGTCTGCCTCTCTTATGATGGGTGGCAACATGGCTCAGGGTACCTTGTTACTGTTGTTGCCGGGAGAATTTTATGATCCTATTGGCTTTCATTCTGAAAATTGTAACTCATCACTTCCGCCTGCTGTCTCACCACCATTTCACTGTTTGGCCAAAATCTGAAATAACAAAAGGAATATAAAGCAATCCATAATCTGAATTTGGATCGGATATCGGCTCCGATATTGACAGATTAACTGGATTGGATTTTGGATGGATGACGCTGATCCAGCCTTTTTTAAAATTAATTTTTCTTTTAAAACAAGGACGTCTTACTTCTTTTTGCTGTGTGCTAATGTGCAATTTGTTATTTGTTAATAAATAATATGAAGTAAATTTATATCTGTGTTAATTTGTTACCTTTTTTTTTAACAAGGCTAATGTCAAGCTTGATGTCTTCACTCAGAGGGCAAGCTATACAGTTCATTCAACAGTAGTATTGGATCGGTATTGGATATTGGCCGATACGCTCAGCCCAGATATCAGTAACGGATTTGATCAGAAAAAATTGGATAGGTGCTCTAGAGATACGGAGGAGACATTGTGACTTCATTTTTGGTTTGAAACCATAAAACAAAAATGAACAAGACCTTTTCAATTTTCAATATAAAACATTAAAAGGAGAAAAGGAAAGACCAAAAAGGAGAAAGGAGCCAAAAGTCATTTGATTTTGGTTGATTTGATTCAGATGGTGAACTGGTTCTTCTGTTTCAGGTATTAAACCAAAAATGACAGTCAACAAAAACGATCATTTCATTTCTGGTACCCTGACCGACATTCGGGTCACCTCTTGGTTGACATTAGGGATCCAAAGAGAAGGCAAATCAAGTTAGCGTAGACACGTACAGGATATACATTGAACGATGAGCATACAGTCACTTGAACAGCTCTGTATTGTTTGTGTAAACCGTGATATCCAGGTTTGACAAATGACTAATGTGTTAACGTGTTTTTAAACAGTCTAGTTTCATTCAGACTAAGGCAATAAATCAGTTTTCAAACATGTATCCATACTGACAGTTTATGACTCCTTATTTTGTCCCCATATTGAGGTTTCAGATGAATTTTGGGATATATTTTAATACTGAACAAAAACTGTTGAATGAGTTACCTGCTATGAGTTGGACAGGACTCTCTGAACAACCTGTAAAAACTGAGATTCATGTTGATGTCGGCCTTTAAAACCTGAGCCTTTTCTAAATTAGAAACCACTCAAACCCTTAACAGTTTTATGTTTTAGAGTCCCTGGATGCCACATCCACAGTATTGAGTTACTTGATGAGAAATAGCTCAGGTCATGTGAGAAGCGTGAGGTATTTTTGTGAGTGTGAGCACACTCACATGTAATTCCACTTGGCTCTTCACCGTCTGCTGTTTCCAACACGATGAAATGCAGAGAAGTTGCCAAACACAACAACACTGAACAAGGCTGTGATTAGTTTCATGATACAGCAGCTGACAGGCAGCCTGTGGGCTAGAATAAAGAAAGACATTAATAATGTATTCATGTTAAATCAAATTTCCTGTTTTATGTCTGAGAAATTGGGCTCATAATGCAGAATTTATTTGCATAACTTTAGAAGGTACTTCAGCACAAGGTGACAGGGAAAGGAAAGTGTGAGCATGAGTCATTCCCATGACTGAAATAAAATCCTGTTTGGGTTTGACGACAATGAAAATAGACCCGGCAGGTCTAATTGTCACTAATATCTTCTTGTTCTTGACTCTGAAATACATAAATTGGATTTATGATGCAACTCTTATGCTTTTTTCTGCACTGATTCTTACATAACATGTAGCAGCAGGTTTTCCACAGAATTACATTAAAGCCATCGAATACATTTATGTCTGACCCTCGTCCCACACACACTCACAACTCAAATGTCATCCTGTTCTGTCCTAAATGTCACTGCAAATGAAAGTCCTCCCTAAAGAAAAGAGACTGTCACTTGGCTGCCATGTGTGAATATCAGTGGTATCCAACTCTAAAGTCGAAAGCTTTTATCCTGAAGCTCTGCACCAGCTCTGCAGATATATTATGTATGCAGTTACATGCATTTATTTCTCTTTGTTTGAGGTCAAGTCATGAAACCAGATTTGAAGTTCTCACTGCCAACTTTGAGTCTGATCCAGAACTATTTGTTGGAATTCACAAATGCCGCAGTCTGAATACATTAATGCTCAGAGCTGGTAAAAAATACTCTTTAATTGTGATAAATTGTTGTTGTTCCATGAAGCCCGAATTAATCATTTGTTGTCTGGAAGTGTTGTTCATTAAGTAAACAGCAGTGAGAAAACACCATCCGTCCCTCTAGTGTTTCTGTCATTAATAATTTCTTCATCCTGAAATGTGGAAAAAAATGTCCCTGGTTACAAATATTGGAGGAAAAAAAACACCAGTTTACCGTCTTAAATGTCTATAAAAGCAATCACCTACTATGATGCCCACACACAGAAATAGAGGAAAGTCCTCTCCTAATATTCTGAACTCTTTTTAAGTATAATCGTTTAACAGACATCAGATAAGAGCAACTCTAATGTGACTGGGTCTCGCTAGTGAGTGCTGTAGTGGGCTTATCTACAGATTAAACTTCTCTAATTGACAAAAATGTGACTGTGTGCCCTTAAGTTGTTCCAGTGCTCTGTTTGTCTGCCTGTGAGTGTAACCCAGTGTAACTGATCCTTTTGGAAAATTGGATATTGCACAAATATGGCATGTAGTCAGTCCTGAAGCTACTAAATTAGAGCATCAAACTTTATCAGCATAAGCACAACTTCCTAGAACTGGGTCATTGGTCTGGGGCAGTGTAAGGGAGTAAGTAGAGTATGAAGTAAAACATTCATATTAACTAATTACATTAGAGTTTATGCTTCTTGACTTTACCTTAGGTGACCCACTTTGGGAGGTTTGACTTGTCTCCTGTCTTAGTCAAGATACTCTAGTTTAGTGCAGGAGCTGAAGGAGTGGATAATCTGGCTAAAAAGGTACATACTTCTTCAGGTCAACAAGAGGCCCCACGTGAAAGTCAGCTGTGTTTTCTTTCTCGATTAATCATGCCTGCAGATGCCTCTTATTTCGGACGTCTCATTCATGTCGAAGAACCGAGACTGAGTAACCGTCAGCCACGTCCAGTTGCAGGTAAGAAATGAAAATGTTTCCCCTTCCTGAAAAGTTAAAACACGTCGCTAAACTGACCTAAGTTGACTTTTCCTGAGGCCTAATTACGTTTTTAAATGCTAATTGTTTTTTGGCTTGTTTACCTCTGTTTCGTTGGCTGTCAGTCACCATGGTGCTGCACGAGGTCAGTATACAGCTCAGTAGCATCCAGAACATTATGACTCTGTTTCTGCTCTGTAAGACTGGATTCAACGACCGCAGGATTTTTGTGTTTGAAGTTCTCTATGGTGAGGAAAACAGAATGTCTCAGAATAAATACAGAGTCTGTCTATAAGTAAAGCCAAAGTTTGATAATTATGGGACTTTTTGCATAAATACTTAGGCTACAAGTCTGATGCTGATCATTTACTGCTGCTAATAATGCAAATTTCCCCACCTTAGGATAAAGGTTTATCTTATCTGTTATCTCTAAAGTCACATATGTTTTGATCTGTTCGATGAGAAGTAGACATTGATCATTTCCTTCTTGTGTATTGATTTCCTTTGACAGGGAGCAACCTAGAGGCATATAGGGCTAAAGAGACCTTCATGATAGAGTTAATACCACTGGTTTTCCCTCTCGTATTAAAAATATATATATATAGGACAACATAAAACTGAATAGATGAACGTTCTACTTTTCATATCTGGTATATTCGCTCTACATTAATTTATTTGCAGCCTGTTCTAAATTTTATGTTCTCTGATAGTGTAGTAGGTGGTGTCAGTATAGGGGTGACAGATGGGCCTGTGACTTTTTATAAAGGACATAGCCATAGGGTTTAACTGTAACATGAACAAATAGCCTGTGTTGGTACATTGTAAGAAGTGGACTCTCCTGTTTATGTAAAAATAAGGATCGGAGTGGGATTTGCCTCTTCATTCACAGTATAGGGTGATGCATGAATTGGCCCACGATAATGATGACACCATGATACTACAGTAATCAATATAAGACAATCGTGTAAGCTGTGTCCTGCAGACTACCACTGTGATATTTGTTTGATAGCAGCATAAAGTGCAAGTTGTTGAAACCGACAGCTTCTCTACAAACTGACTTCAACCTAAATTGTCTCTCCTCCAAATAATAACACAGCAGATCAACAACACCCTTCTAACATTGCAGAGGGTCAATGATATGAGACAGCTGTTGCTCTGTCTGTCACTGTTAACAAAGAGATCAAATCTTGCTGGAATGTAAAATTCATGCAAAAGGTATTCATAATTTTTCAATATCTGCTTACGCCTTTCTGTTCATTCAGTACTGCTAGACTCTTCAAATTCTGTAACCCCCTGCCCACATGTTTCTCTTTGGCAGCCCAGACTTATTGTGACAGACTAGAGGTTGGGCAGACTTAAGGCCTGATTCCTCGTAGCAAAAATTTATTAACTGTTTGTAATTTTAATTTGGATGGTTAAGTCACTGAAATATTTGATAATAGCAATATGACTGCTAGTGCTACTACTACTACTACTAATGCTGCATTCCAATTGTACTTGAAAGTCCGAATTTCCGAGCTCCAATTCCGAATTCATCTGGAACGCACCCCTGAAGTCTGATTTCCGACTCGGAAAGTTGAACGATCCTCACCAACCCTGACTTGACGACGACGACGTCATAATCTAAGATGGCAGCACAGTGCATCAACAGTAAAGAGTAACAGTGAAAGCTCTCATAATGTATTATTTATTAGCACTTCTGTTTTGTTTTTGTGAAATTAAATTAGTGGTTTATGTTGTACTGCCCAACGTCTAACTGTGAACACGGTGCTATGGTGTTTGTAAGAGTAACATACTGTGTATGCGTTGTTTACAACTGGTAAAACTAACAACAACTGACAACAGCTAACGACAGCTGACAATTGTAAACAACAGTTGACAACGGCTAACTGCAGGCGTCCATCTTGGTTTTCTGACTTGTTAACTGAAACGCCGTCAACTTGGGTGTAACGTTCTTCCCAGCTCCGACCTCCAAGGTAACTGGAGCGCAGCGTCATACCAGTACAAAAAACAAAACTAATATTATTAGTGTATATGATAAAATCGTGGTTCTTAAATGAGCCCAGAGACATCAAATTCGAGCATTTACTGCTAAATTTGGGGAGTAGATCCTTTATTCTCTTTGTTGGCTACTTTTATTCCACTGGCTAACTACTCCTTATGACTACTCCCAATGTGTTATCTAGCTGGTTGTGTCTTGCTGTCCTGGCTTTAAAGAAAGTTTTTAAAATACAGGGCGCATAAATATTTCGTGGAAAACTGTGCCAGCCACAATGAAGATCGTCTCCTACCATGGAAATAAAGCATAAAATGACCTGCATTGATTACACTGGACATATGTTCCAGGATATGTTTTGCATTATCTCCAAACGTGACATAATATGCGATTATGATGGTGATGGCGGTGGGTTGATTGGCCCTGAGCTTGCAGTAGAAGGTGTTTGCTGGACTTGGACTCCACCAGGCATCATGACATGGGCCGACCCTTGGCCCAAGGGTCACAGGCCAGACTTTTCCTTTCCTGCGATGAGCTGTTAACTGACCCCAGGGCAGTCAGTCAGGCTAGGAGAGTGTTTCTGTGTGTGTATGAGTGTGTGAACCTCAGCAGACTGTGATCTGATTTACCCTGACAAGGCAACAGGACCGAACAATAAAAATGTCTATTTTCTCTCGCTCTCTTTCATACGCTCCGTCTCTCTGCGTGCTTCAGGCGAAATGGGGGGAGGTGATTAACAGAGCAAACCTACAGGAAGAATGACAATCTCAAAGAGCCATTTTTGGAATCTAAATCCCTTTCCTGTGTACTATATCTATGACACTACATCAGGAACATTTTGTGCCATTTGGCTCACGACTCCGCAGCATTTCTGCACTGGTAGTCTGTTCCTGTGAGTGGATCTTTATGATTTTAATGATCACCTATGGGATTAGGCTTCATTTTTTGATGTGCAATTCCCGAATGAGCCCAAGTGTAAAAGTTCCCAGGCCTCAACAACCGAGAACAACCCAATGAAGTAAATCACACGAGCTCTCTTTCTCTCTCTTTGAATCGCTCCTAGAAGCGCATTCTTTTAACTCATCCTTTTTTTATCCCGGAGTCTTAAAGACCTAATTTCTGACTCGTGTCTTGTCATTTGATTCAAGTCACAGAGCAAAGCTTCTGTTCTTCCAAAATCCAAATCCTCGCTGATCTTTGATAAGCCAAGCGGGCTTTAAGTATAACAACACTTACTGCTGTTCTGAATGTTTGACTTTCTTAAACATCAGGATCAGAGGAAACGACATCCACTGCATGAAAGATTTGGAAGAAAGAAAAGTTTCCCCATTTCCATGCTCCAGTCAGCCCGAAATTAGATGCTGGGTAAAAAAGCTCAAGTTCCTAAGATTATCAGTGTGATTCTTACCTCATCCACAGTCCCCGAGAATACTTCATCTTCTTCTCTCCTCCTCTCTGTTTCTCTTTCCTCTTTTTCCTCTAAAACAGTGGTACAAACTCCTCTGCCGCCACACTACAGATTAAAACAGAATCATCCATCATACATGAACACAGGTTATGTTTACAGCCAAGACGGTTTTTCAATGGCCTGTTTCAAGTCGATTGTTTCAATTATTGACAAGCCACTGGCTGTCAAAAATCCATCCGCTGCATCTGTAACTGTTAACATGGCAAATATTGTGCCTGCTGATGTTAGAAATATGATCATGGCCCAGTGATTTCAGGTAAACCACAAATAAGTGAGACACCTACCCTCCTCAGAGGCAGATTTAATATGATCTGATGCGGTCACATAAGTGTTATGTATTTTATTAAATAATGCGTTTGAATGATCGTCATATTTGTCCCCTCCTCCAGGAACAAAATCCATTTATCGTCCTCTCAGCTGCTTATTTCTGCTCACTAAATATCTCCTCCGTCTCACTCTTCTTTTCGTTATTCCTCCTGCGTGTCTGTTTATAGTGACTCCCTGAGCCGTACACCCTGCAGCACACCAAATTGTGAATCCAAACAGCTGGAGCAGCAGCAGATAGACAGTGACTGAGAAGGGAACGGGAGGGGGAGAGATAAAGAGAGTGAGCAGAGGGAGAGAGAGAGAGGGAGAGAGAGAGAGTTGAAAAGCATGCCAAGCAAGAGCAAGGCGCTCACTCTGAAGCAGGCAGAGGCAACAGCTACAACAACAGCAGCACGTTCCTTCCCCGTCCTCTCTCTCCTGTCCTCTAATCCCACATCCATGCCAGGGGGGGAGATGGAGGGCACCCTGACCCGCTGAGGAGCTCCATCTTCGGGAGAGGGAAAATCTCAGCAGCCCCCCTCCTCCTGTGAATGCCGGGATAATTTTTTGAAAGGGGGCAATCAACAAGAAAGAGTGAAAGGAGGTGTGTACCCACGAGCCTGTCGGCAGGAGAAAGGGAGGGCGAGAGAAGAAGAAGAAGAAGGGGGATGAGTGGCAGGTTTGGCTCAGCAGCTGATGCCCGGGACTGAGAGAGAGAGAGAGAGAGAGAGAGAGAGAGAGAGACGGAGACAGACTGAGGGATAGCTGAGGAGCGGAAGGTTGGCACGTGTGGAGCGCTGTGTGCAACTTGTTGGCCAAGAGGAAAAGAAAAACCGAATACACACACAGCTGGACAGATGAGGAGGCATCAGGGAGCACGCTTAAGTCCCGGGTAAGTCCACTTGTGCACACATAACATCACATACGTTTTTCCTTTAGTGGTTGCTATGGTTTTACAAATAGAGCTTCGAAACATTTGAAACGCAACAGGGGCTGGTTCATGGTTGATGTCTACGCATCTTGACAAGTCTCCCTACTTGCCCTCGGACACTTGCAGCAAAGAAAAGAGGACGATAAGGAGAGACCGTGTGTGTGTGTATTTGTGTGCGTGTGCGCGGGCTCATAGTCATGCTTTCCCACCGTCCACATCCTGTTACTACATGATTTTAAAACTACTAGAGACATTTTATAACGGCTTTCATAAGCTGTCATCATGACGCTCGTAAATGAAACCTCCACTGATGTAATGTCCAACATCACCGGGCAAATTAAACAATTACATCACACTTACATCAACACTTGTTTTCCAGGCTGTAACACCGCTCATTACATTTACTCTGAGTGGTTTGTTCTGCACAAAGTGTGAAGCCATAAATTGTGCAACGATAAAATCTGAAAGGATTCAAAACTTGTTGTGGCTGCTGCTGCAATTCAGAAGCCAGGACCTGTTTTTGCACGGAGACATGTATAGCTCTGCTTACCCACGCTGCACCGCTATGTGTAACATGACATGTGTGGCCATGTGTCATGTCACGTTGTGGCAGGGTGCATGTGGCTCATGACAGCAGGTTTGCATGAGGTGTATCTGCGTCCCTCCATCGAACCTCCTCTCTTTCTGATCCTCTTTTCTCACCCTCTTTCTTTCTGTTTCCAATTATAGGCTGTCACCTCTCTCCTTTTCCTCCTGATCCTATCTCCTGTTTCATTCTCTTGCTAAGCAATTACCTTTACCTGGCTCGGCCCCTCCGGACAGCACGGCTGGTTAGTTTCCTGTCGGCCTTTTCAACAATCAAAGTGAAGCATAGATGGAAGAGGGAGGGGGGGTATTCACGCCTATTTTCCCATTTGGTTGGCAAAACCTGAGCGCAGAGAGTGACCTCTGTGAAGTTGCGTACACTTCATATTACTGCTGCTCTCAGAGATCCCAAAAAGATATAAAAATAGGAAATAGCTGCGGGGGCTTTTTTCGAAAAACAGAAGAATTACGCCTCTAATCATGCAATCAGCTCATTATATCCTGCTTCTCATTAACTTGTTTGGGTTTCTAACTTTATCACAGACTCCTCTGCCTCTAAAGAGAACTAAAAGGAAAAAAACCCACCCAGACAGAGCTGGCAGGCAGTTCGCTCCAAGCATACGGGCAAACTCTCAGCATCTGACAATAGAGCTGAAACCCCCTCTAACCTTTCTCCCCGGCTGACTCCTTGCATTAGTTAATGAATCCAACCCTCTTTTGAAGTATCTTTCTCTTCTTTTTCTCTTACAACAGTGAAGGTCCCGCAGACCACACATGTTTACTCAACAACAGCCGCACGCTCCCTCCACCTTTATAACCTCTGCAGCAGTGTGAGTTATCTGGTGTAGCATCATTGTCCTTACCGGTGCCAAAATAGTGTGAAGAGACACGAAATCTGAGGGTGGAAATAAGACACTGTAGTGTCACTGAGGAGAAAGATAAGAGGAAAAGGATGTAGTGGACACAAAGGGGGAGGTGGGAATAGTGACATTAAATTGAATAAAAGAAGATCAGGGTGATAATGGAGCAGCGGTAGACAGGACAGATGGAGCTCAGGTGCTGGCAGAAAAATTGAACAATATGGAGTAACCTGTTTTTCTCGGAGGGTGTCGATGGTTGGTGCAGTTTTTGTTACGAGTACAGTTACGGATAGCTACTTCCCAGCCACAACAGGGGGAAAGAAGGTGAGGGAAGGGACAGAGAGAAAGAGAGAGAAAGAGAGAGAGAGAGAGAGATTGCCAGTGGAAGCGGAGGATGTTTGATTTATTCATAAAAGCCTTCTGCTGCTGCATCTCCTTAAAGGACAATTTCAGCCATCAATACTTCTGGTTATCCTGACATGTCTTAATTATCTTTCGACCGTGTTAAAAGGCTCTTTTCAGTTCAGTGTAATGTGAAATAATAAAATATATTCATTGAATAATGATGTTTTCAGTTGACCATAAATTCAAATGTTTCGTTTTATGTTAATTTGTCTGATAAGAATCTTACCAACAGTGGAATTGGAGACAATATAGTTTCAGCTTATAAATTAATTATTTTCCAATAAATACAGTCATCTTTAATCAATATTTTGCATCATTTTGCTAACATTTTTAGTGGGTAGCCATGTAATTAGCTGGATTATGTTCATTCAGCGTCAGTGTGGCTGTCAGTAATGTGACACATCCAGATCATTCACTGAATATTAACATGGAAACTGCCCCTCCATCCTCTCCTGAAGTGAGATGTAAAGCCAAATACCGCCTGGATGGGCAATGACATGTTGCACTGATAGAGCCGTCTGGCACGCACAGAAGCAGACTGGTTTCTGTTCCATACAGAGGGCTGTCACTGTGAGGGAATCCCCCCTGTGGTGATTCAGGGTTGCTCAATACTGCAGTATGCAGTATAATTGCTCAGGTCCTTTACTTGTCAATTGTTCATTCTTTGGGTTACTTCTTGTATTAACTATTAACTAGGAAAATGATAACCAAATCCTTTTACTTCCCTTTTATTTTTCTTCAACATTATTTTTGCATTACTTGACTTCACTGCAGGAACACAGCACTGTAATTGTAGACAGCAGACTATGTGAACTAGGATGGGGATTAGGTGTAGGTGTAAAAAGTGTCTCTGAGCGCCATTTGGGGGCTGAAAGAGCCGGTCCTTGCTGCAACAAATGATCTGGATCACTTAAAAAAAGCCTGAATCCCATCACAGGTTTCATTCATGCTGATGTTGCTAACCTGAGAAAGGAGAAGGATTTAAACTCTGCTCTAATGCAGTAAGATGGATCACAGACAACTTGAGCAAGGGCATGCAGCCTTTGCAGTCTTGAAGTAACATGTAGAAATTTATGGATGTTATGTGTGTGGATTAATGTGGGGAGCCTGTTTTTTGCTGCATATTTTGGCTTCACTGTCCATGAAAACTTGTTGGTCTGGATCAGTGCGCAACTCTGAGACTAAGAGGATACATCAGAAATACTGTTGAGCAGATTTAGCCAAAAGAGGCCAGATTATCAAAACTTCTTTATTTGGAGGTTAAAATAAGGGTAGAAATATTTAATCAGATCCTTTACGTAAGATATTTGTATTTTTGTGGCACTCTACACACTTCAGTTTGTGTGACTCAGAGAAAAAGTTCAATTCCACCATCACAAATTTTGACTGCACTCAGTAACTAAATGTTTTGGTTATTGTTGCTCAGCTCTGAGGGTCTTTTAGTCGTTTTGGCTTATTCACCTAAAGCTTAACTGCTTTGTATTGAGCAGATAATTGTGTTTCAGCAAAAAAAAAGTTCTTATTATTACCCCGTTGTGCTGCCTTCCAAGCACAAACAGCAGATGGTCCTTGATAGCTATAACATCAGTTAATTCAGACACATTTAGCATGTGGATTGAAGAGGCAGGCAGAGGCCGTAGGAACAAAGCGATAGAGATGAAGAGAAAGGCTGATGTCTGCAAATGGCTCTAACAAGTCAAAGGTCAACTATGGGGTCAGTTTTACTCAGCTGTATGTAGGCTACATGACCAACAGTTTGGATTTGAAAATAGTCTGAGGATTTTTTTCATACTCACAAATTTGTTACCTTGTATGACAAAAGTCTCATCTCAAGGGCACAAACACTTCAACTCAATCACTTCAGTTTCAACTCAATCACTTCAGTTTAAGACCTGCATTTGGAAATACAGGCTGGGTAAAGACTGAATACTCATTTGTATGCTAGAGTAGTAGAGGTGGTGGGCGATATTTCCTCAAAATAATATTAAAACATTTCAAGAAAATCTGTGATAAAGATGACAACATAAAAAAATTTCAAACAACATTTTTAACAGCAATCGCAGCATGAAAGCAGCAGAATGAATAAAAGCAGTCTTTTTTGTCCACCTAATGCCTTATTTTCATCAAAAGGATTGTGTAAAGACCAAGGGGTGTAATAAAAATCAAAGCTTGTTATATTCTAAACAGTTTTCGAGTTTAGGGGGGATGAGGGGGAATGTCATCCCCCCCTGAAATGAGAATGGTCAAAATCCTCCCCCTCCTAAAACGGTCGTCACAGGTTTTCCATCCCATGAGCCATTTTTGTCAATGAATGTGGAAATTTTACTAGTATTTTAACATAAGAAATATTACCACCATTTCTGGTGCTGTGACGGAGCGGCGTCGTCACTGTCTGCGGGCAGCGCATGGAGACACACATACCGACACACGCAAACATTTCCCTCCACGCCAGCGTCGCTAATTATCCACTAAACAGCGCAACCAAGGGTCCACACGTGGAGCTCTATGAGCTAACGCAAACATACATTCACATTAGATATTCATCCCTCCACTTACCTGCCGGGCGTCCTTTCAGTCACGCCACCGTGCCGGCTCAGGTTTCCAAATGAGAAACAGAGCGCGTGATTTCCGGGTGTAAAATAGATGAGTATGGAGAGTCAAAGTGGTCACATGATTCAAGAAAAATTAATTTCCTTGTAGTTTGCCATGAATCCCTAAAAATGTATACTGTATTGATTTGTTTAAGAATCTTGTAAAAATGGTAAAAACTTACAGAAAAAGTCTGAAGGTTAGAAATGGTAAAACTGGCTTGAATGGGAATAAATGAGTTTTTTTTCCAAACTTATGTAATAAATAACGCCCACAGGGAGGGGCTAGGGGGATTTAAAAGAAGCCTGCCTGGGCCTTTCTCTCTTTGGGTCTTGAGTTTGTTGAATGAACAGTACATACCACACTAACTTTTGAATTGCTGATGTGTTTCTGATTTTTTTTTCTTGAGTGAGAATCTTTTGTTATAGAGAAGCTCTTGCCTTGCTGGCATTTTCTTTTTTGCTTTGTACATTTTGTAAATGGTATTTGACCATTTTTGGCACTTTTGTTAATGTTTTTGCATGGCACCTTGGAAGTCTGACTGTAAGTAATTATCACCATCACTATATTTTTCTGCCTGTGTTTTAACACTATATTTATGTTTGATCGAGAATCTCGCGACAGGGGGCTTTTCATATCTTTAGTAAAATACTCTGGGTGAGGAGAACAGGACACTTTTTTTTCCATTTTTCCATTTTTTTAATTCTATTTTTTTTTTCATGATGTCAGTAAGTGGCAAAGCAGCGCTGGGGATGCTGTTGTAATTTCAGTATTATGGCCAAACGACATGGACAGCTCGATCCCTATGATAAGGTAATATAATAATTATCTTTGTGCTTTAGCAACAGTAAAATGGGAACACAGTTGAACACACCATGTGCACTGTCAGCAGAACAAAATATCTGTCCCAAACAACAAAATCCACCATCCCCCTGATTTTTTTTTCACAACTCGAATACTGATTCTTAACCCCCCAAAAAACTTTTCAATGTGACAATCATCCTGTGTCTGTGCATGTCAGCGAATAAAGATAGAATAGTCACTCCAAGTTCAGTTTAGTGTCCTCTGAGTGTATCTGTGGGGTCTTCAGTTCAGTTACTCAGCTGTATCCCTGTTGGATATTTTGAGACACTGCCTTTATTTTTACTGTTAAAGGAGTCGTGTTTAGATAATCTGACTGAAAACATCCCTTACCTTGATGTTTCATGATAAAAGCAGTAAGGCATAAAATGGGAGTAATATGTCATCACTATCGTCAGTTTAAGACAGGTGATTCTGTGCAGGTAAATCTACCACTGTATAGATATCCGTCCCTGCTGTGCTGGCAGACTGAGTTTACCCAACGATTTAGCCACTACAGACTTACACTGTCAGCATCAACATCAGATTTGACATCAAGGGGAGGAGGTGGTGCTGTTTGGTCAGAGAGTGTTTGGGTGCACCTGACTCTGCTCTGAAAGGTCAAAGCAGAAAATCCTACTGTATGTTGAAATCATTATATAATCCTTTCTTGAGCACATAAAAAATAACTGGCGACACCATGGACAGTATATTAGCACAGCCCTAATGTTGAACCTAAAGCCTAAAGCCATTATGTATTTGTAAACTTCAAATGAGACTTTAAGGAGTGGCTCCCCTTTCATGAACGCTGCTAGTTTCCACCATGTTTCTGCTGTAACAATGAATACACAAATCAGTCACAAATATATTTTTGTATTTGATAAGGAGCTGCACAAAATCCAGCAGTCAGAAGCCAAAATGAATAGATTTGTTTTTGTACTGGAAAGGATCAGTTTTGATAGATGTTTCTGGCAGAAAAAAAATGGACAAATGAAGGATCATACTTACCTTGCACCACGGTAGCTTTTTGTCCTCTAAGCCCACAATCACTATACTGATAGAAGAGGTGAGTAAGGGAGCACCTCACTGTTGAGACCATAGAATGGACACCGTCTGCCTCCTTGCTGAGTGAAGCCACCGCGAAAACAGCACCCTCTGGTGACGGGCTGCAGTATAGGTCATAAATCCTGCCTCCTCCAGCAATCCCTATGGAGCTGTGGACAAACTTTAGAAATTTATTTCACAGAATATAAATTTTTCTCCCCCTAGGTTGTGATGTTGACATGTAGTTACTGTAAGACGGGTTTGTGCTCAAGTCCTCTTTTTTCTGTACAGCTCCATTTTTAAACATTATTAGGGGGTTCATGTTTTCTATGATTGATGCTTGATCCAGCAAATGACGCTTGCGTAGCTCACCCAGGGGATACGCTGTTTAAGCCGAGCGTCATCACAGTGACTCTTTGCGACTCTCCTGCCGAATGTGTACAACGCTACTGCGCAATGCTGGTTTCACGAAGTGGAGGAAAACTAACAAACTGCTCCTGATGTTTTCTGGGTTTAATTTTTTGTTTTTAAACCTCCTGTTTTTCCTGGTTCAGGAAAACAAAATGACTGTCATTTTTCAATAAAGTACATGATAATGGTTGAAGCCATGGATATGAGGCACAACTTGTATGAGATTGTGATTCTCCAATCAGACTTTAGACCCTGTGCGGAGTGAGGCTTTCAGGAGATGTGGTAATCTGAGAAAAACAGAAGGTTAAGGCCTCAGGGGATAAAAAATTAGAGTGATGTTTCTGCTGAAGGAGAGTTATAAGGGCTGTGTAGTGAGCAGATTTGATTGGGAAGGTGACCTGGGGTTTTGTAGGCGTGTCAAAGAAGCTTTTGATCCAAGTGTGTCTGTGTTTGTGTGTTTGTGTGTTTGTGTTTGTGAGGATGGTGTCTGACCTTGAGAAATCCTCCAAGCATTTTAAGGACGTCCTGTGTGGAGGATGTGGAGCTGGCGTTAATTGCTGTCTGGTGATTGTGGTGCATGCGCTGACAAGGGCACAACACCCACAAATATCACACGCAGCCTCGATATCCTAACACACGCATGATAAAACGCCAGTCTTCATTAAACTGTGGAATTACAGTACAGAGTCTTGTTGTTGCATCAGTGGCTGCAACAGAATTTAATGCTTTAGCTTCTAGTACTATTCAACCAAAGTGAGTGTGTTTGTGTGCAGCGTGCGTGTGTGTATGTCTACAGAGGTTACAAGGCTTTTAGATGTTGGTTGCTGGTGTTGTCGACACGAATGTTGTAAAAATCAAGGCCATGATCCCGGTAAGTAATGAACAGGTGGGCTTCTATATCAGGGCAAGAAACCAGCAGGTGGGAACTTCTCTGGAGTCTGAGCCTCGCTCGCGGCTGCATTACAACCTACGACCCCTCTGCCCCTCCCCCTTTCCCTCATCTCTTTTCTCTGCCTTTCACTCTCCCTCACGATAAATTATTCCCTCTCACACTTTACCTGTTTTTCTCACTCGACCCTTTCACTTTTCATTTGCTTACTTTAATTCGCCTTCCCAGCTGCATTTTCTCAGACGTGACCCCCACACCCCGAGATCCTGTTGTTTATTCTCCTGCTCACGGTTTCTGTCTGTCTATCCGTCTGCCTGTCTGTCTCCTGACCTCCCTTCTTTCCCTCCCTTTCCCTCTCAGTCTCTTCCCATCACAGCTGCTTTGGTCTAATAGAAGTAACACTCATAATGAATTAGCATTTAGCCGTGCCTCATTATTCGGTCCGACATAACCATCCCTGGAGTCATTCTCAATCTCTTTAATATAAACTCTCAGATTCAATTTGGTGCTGACTGAATCTTTCCCTCTGATATCTAAAAAAAAATCTAATCTGCTGTCCATGACTGGATTTCAGAGACTGGTATTTTCTTGGTATGGATAAGTTATTGATCAGCACCAGTAAAAAGTAGTGATACGCTCACAGGGCTCACTGTTTTTAATGCTGTTTTTATTCAGTCATTTCACCCATCCCCAAGTGCTGATGAAGCTTCCTGCATCAGTGAATGGCTTTGCAGTGTTAGTCTCATGTGGGAAAAGGTCTTTTGGACGTTTATGGTGGACAGATGTACTCGTTTACACACAAGTAATAGAGTATTATAGCATTATGACAATAACCATTAACCATAGCAACAGCGGTGAGTGGCTGCGTCACAGCTTAGACACATCATATGACTAGAGTTTTGGGCCAAGAGCGATAAATATAAAAAGTTAAATTTAACCCACAAGCAATTCTGGTGCCAACAGCATTTAGTCACTTTGTGGACCTAACGCACAGATTTTTTCCTTCTCTCTTGTACACGGTCGGTGCATCACTAAGATTCTGATGATGACGCCCAGGAAGGAGTAAAACCGACAGATCATCTGACAAGATAAATTGTTTTTATCTTCAGATGGCAGCCAGAGAGGGTGACTACAACAGTTGTGCTGTACGATCACTATCAAATTAAAGATGCCAGGAAACTTGAGAGAGTTGTGTGACTAAGACACAGCTACTTACCCTGCCTTTGACACTCTAATTCAACGCTCTTATTCACTCTGTTGCAGCTCAGTTTGCATCATGCTCATCCCTGCTTGCATCCAAACATGTTTTAATTGTCAGGTAGCTGAGCAGTCATCTGACTCTCACTAGGCTGGTGTAGCTCATACTTTTTAGGAAGCTGTGTTCATCCTGCACAAGCTGGAACACCAAGCCAGGGTTTTAAGAATTACACACTCTGGAGGCCACTTTTGGAGAGGCTCCATATTTGTTTTTGGATCAAGAGCAAAAAGCAAAAAGATTTACTACAAATTAAACCGGCTTCATTTAAGTGTAGAAATTTAGAAAACTGACAGATATCGCAGCCTCTGCGTATAAGTCAGTATATTATCTTCTTTTAACTACATCTCTTTGTCTGGCTCAGGTTTTATTTCTGCACCTGTGTAGTAAACGTCATTGATGCATGGTTGTAAAAGGAGCTGAGATCATAAAACCTTTTTTAGTGTGTGAATGAGTTTTGGCATCAGGTGTGTCTGACCTCTTTGGTCAACAGTTTTGACCCTTTGCCGCCAAAGTTGTGACAACATTTTCCTTAAGTTTCCACTGGTATTCAGTGTTGCTGTTAAGAGTAATTTTAACGTTCTTCCATCCTGAAAATTCAGCTTTGAAAATGTGGCTTCAACCTTGTCTTTTGAAATATGTGATTATTCTTACTATGAAGGTTGCCAGCACAGTCAGCTGGATGGATCGGGCTGTTTGATTTCCAGGATGCAGAAAACACAATCAATGAAAACTGAATCAACTGCACAACTAAACATATTGTATATCATGTTTTTGTGTGATGTGTTTTCACTGGGGGAGGGGGTATCATGTCCAGAGTTTTTGTTGGACCTGCAAGCAAACATGTGACCACCTGCAATCAAAACACTCAACTGAAAAATAGAGAGAGGCAGAGGGGGCTGGTAAGACTTCATCACTCCTCTTCTGCAAACACATCGGCAGAAACTAGACATGAGTTCATCGAAGATTTTTCGCCTGTTTGAGTTGAATTAGATACACAAAAAATTAAAAAAACAGGTCTAGGTCTGTGTCCTGTAAAAAAATCTGCAGAAAATCCATGAAAAATATGTCATTAAATGTCAAAAAACAACTGTCATGAAGTAACATCTTCATTAGTGGAGTGCTTTTAGTTGATTTTTTTTTTTTTTTTTTTTTTTTGTGACATATAAATGTTCATTAAATTTAGGATATTTTCCCAGTACTTATCCACTACATGATAAAACATTCTTCAGGTGGTAAAATATGGGTTTGTCCTAAAACTGAGAATTCTGAAAAACTAAAAGTATGTGGGGGGGGGGGGGGGGGGACTGAATTGGTAACAAACTAAAAGGAATTGAGCCCTCAGTGAATAAGCTGCTAAGTGTTATCTATAGTTCAAATAATAAATATCAAATCCTTAACCAGTGTGTGCGTGTGTATGTCTGAGTGTTAGTGTGAGTGCAGCATACCTCTCATTACCTGCCTGTCTTGAATTAAACCGTTGTGTTTCTCAGACTTCATTAAATGTTGATGTGGGTCATGAAGTTATTTTCCCGCTCACCTGAGCTTCCTCTCTCTCTCTGCAGATGTTAATGCAGGTCAAAGGGATTGCCCTCTGTGAGTGCGTGCATGTGTGTGTTTGTTTGTGTATGTATGTGCATGTATGTTAGAGGGTAAGGGCACCTGGGCACCTTACATCAAATGTTAATGCAGGTTTAAAAAGTATTACGACATTTTAATAATGCATTTCAATTAGTGACACACAGGATCCACATCCTTCACTCCATTTTTCTTTGCTTTTCCCCTGAGTGCAGTGGGTGTGTGGTGTAAAAAGTGCCATACATTAATGCTTGATCTGAAGCTCCTGTGAATTTTTTTTTTTTTTTTTTTTTTGGTCAGTTGTTAAACAGACTGAAATGAACAGTGATACACCTTTATAATATTTCAGCGCAACTGAGACCATGAACAGCAAGACTGACAATTTCTGTATGGTACTTTTAAATGCCCCTAACCACTGTGAGGAGGTAAAGGAAGCTGTAGAGACAAACTTTGTCACTGTTTAATCTGCAAAGTGTCACTCCAGACACTTGACCTAGGGTGATATTAGAATCCAGTGATATATATTGGCGTGTCATTGCCTTGAAAAAAGTTTTGTTGACGAGTATTCATCATCGTAATTCTCTTGAACGATATTAACACTGGCTGGGAGGTGCCAAAATCCACACAGACATAAAATTACTCACATGAGCTTTTAGCTGTGTTTGACTATGTAACATATAAAGTCATAAAAAGCAGTCAAACTCGCTGTATAAGAGTGATACAGAGAAAGGGATATATTAATGTATATACTGTATAACTTCTCATTGACCTATAGTGGGCATGTTTATGAGTGGGTGATAGAATACATGAAATACATGAGTGCATGCAAACACAAGTGTTTATGTGTGTATTTCCATCTAATGCCATCTGCAGAGCAGACCTTTGAGGCAGGGGGGACTCTATTCATTAACTTTGACCACATGACTTCTAGGAGAGAACACTGAAGTGTATATGAGTGTGTGTTCGTGGGTATGTGTGTGTATGTTAGTGTGTTTTGCATACTTTATACACTCACAGGGTCAATCAGCCTCACTAATATGCTCCACTTTTCTCCCCTCTTCTCTCCCTCCCTCCTCCTGTAATTCTCGCTAGTTGAGCAGCTTTCTGATCCGTAAGGAGTCTGTTAATGAATGCTGTATTGCTATTGATTTTTCCTCTGATCCCTCAGTTTGTTCGGCCACGATACAAACCATGTTTTCCTCCAAAGTGAAGAGCCAGGCTCAGCTGATAGCTGTGATGAAGTGTTGTGCCCCAGCCCAGCAAATTGGATTTTAATGATTCAAGTATCATTTCTTGAACACTGCTCACTGCACTCTGCAGAAATTAAACTGTGATGCCCTCTATGAGAGGTTGAAGGAAAGGGTCAAAGAAGAAATGTTTCTGTTTCTCAGCTGAGGGCGAACCAATTTTCCATTATTGTGAAAATGTTGATTTTACATCAGACCAAAACTAAAAGACTATTTTCTTCAGGACACATTAAATAGCAAAACTCAAAAGGTTTGAATTCTTTTCTCTGTGAAATCAGCCTCTAGTCTAGGGCTGTTTTTAATTAGTGTGCTGTGATTGTGTGATCTTACAACATGCTTTTATACAATTCATTTAGACATACAGACATTAAAATAATGCTGATGAAAAGGACAGAGATGATAGTGAGAGAGCGAGATAGATTTGCCACTGATGAAAGGTAGATAATGAAAATGCTACACTGTGAGTTAGTTTATTAAATGAATCTACGTATTTTGATTATCAAGAAATATAGTACACATGATGTGGTAATACACTATAGTTTTTGGATAACAGAATTAAGTTTATTATTATTATTCATAACTCTTATTTCACTTTCAATGATAAAGAAATGATCATAAATGTTCTTTCTTAAGCTGTGTCACCCTGTTGTAGTCCGTAATGGACTGGCCTGAGGTCTCGCAACAAACAAGCGGCTGCTGGAAGAGAGTAGGTGAGTTGTGTTTAGTCTCTTTGCTAAAGAAATTAGGCAAAGCTTTAAAGATGTTTGGTGGCTAGTGCTGTGGCTAGGACCCAATATGTACTGTTGATGAAGTTAGGTGCTGTTCTGAGCATTATTTGTGGCTATAGAGTGGCGTTTTGGTTGAGGTTTGTTACACTGCTGTGTATCGCTATACTATGGTTGTTACTAAAGTTGGTATAACTAGAGAAGCAAGCAGTCGGCAACATTCATCCCTCAAGGGGGTGTCTAACTCGGTGTCACCATGTGTTTGACCCTAAATTAATTTTATGCCGGAATATCCCTTTAAGAAACAAGACTGACGTTGAAGTTGAGATATGACAAACATCGTCGGATCATAATCTTCACTTTGCTCATTCGGAGGCATGAAAGCTGAATCTGCTCTGTGATCAAAGTACAGCCAATGAGTCTGCTTTGCTTCTCTTTAGGCACAGATTGTTTTCCTTCACACAATCAACGCCTGATGAAACAGGCACCGGACAACATTGCACTGACTACAAATAGAAAGAAGAACAAATGTGACATAAGAAATTGAGTCCCTCGCCCACAGATTCTGTGTTTGTATGCAGAATCTGTTTGCGGAGATCACACGTGTCAAGATTGTAGATTCAGCTGTGGGTGTAAAAATCTGCTTTGATTGACACGTGAGGGATTTTTGTCGAAAACCCCAGAATAAGTTTAAGTGAAATTCTGCACAGTGGCTGCATAAACTTAAGAAACTACTAAATTCTTGACACACAATATGGCAGGATTCAGACTCTTAACTTTAAGAGTCTGTTAAACAATAAAACTAAGTCTCTGGTTTGCATATTTTTACATTCAGCGTTCAACATCCTTCATGCCGCAGTGGGAACAACTTGTTTGGGTGAATGTAGATGGACATAATTTCTGTAATGTCCTTCAGCACTGACTCTTTATTCTCTCCACACACAACCATACGCACACACACATACTCAAACACACATACATTTTGCTCAGAGGGAGCACAGATTCAGGCATTATTTCTGCCTCACTGCTACACAAACAGGCCTGCAGAAGCCTGGGGACAGTTCACCATTGGTGTGGGTACACAAATACACTCGGATAGACACATACACACACATTCACCCGGGCACATGTGCGTCACCCTCCCCGCAGGCCAGGAGGCATGTGGAAGTCACTCGGGGATGCCAGCACATATGTGTCACTTTGTCCTTTATTTTTTGAAACGTATAACACAGAGGCCCTTGGGTCGAGTCCATGTGAAAATGTGTCTAATATCTGTACAAGTTCAAGTAAAACTGAAGGTTAGTGACTCCTTTCAAATGAAATCAATCCTTTCTTGGCGTCTTTAGCTGTTTACACAACAAAACTGTCATGAATCATGTGCTCCATTTATGTTGGCCTCCATGTTTTCCACCAGTTGTAAAAGCGTCGGAGACTTGTTGACCTTTAGCAAAGGAATTGCAGGATTAAACAGCATTTGGAGACAATTTCAAGTTTAAATCTTTGTTGGCTGTTGTTATCAAAATTCATCAAATACTACTGGTGTCATAGCACCTTTCTCCCTGTTGCGCAAGTTATTACCCGACTCAGGATGTAAACGAAAGACCCTCCTCCCTATGGGCAGTTTTCATGTTCATCATTTAACTGATCTCCTGTTTCCTTTTCTTGATTTCTGCCACCATCTTTCCAGTGGGGCCGCCACAAGGGACAATGATGTGGGATCTAACTCTTCTTTATACAGGAGAGCTGGAGAAGATAGGCAGGGTGCTGTTGCCCATTCACATCCCCCCCTAACACACCTATTAGAGACCTGAACCCTCTTGAGTGAACTTTTTTGTTGTTAGCTCATGTGCTTGCGTGACTGTGAGGGTCCTCTGACTAAACGTGTTTCAATGATTTGTTAACTTGACTTGTTTTTTTAGAAAGACCAAAGCCTGTAGCAACTTTCATCTGTCTCGTCTCTCCTCCTTTTGATTATTTGGTAACTAATGCTGCGTTCCTAATGCTGCCGACTTGGAAGTCGTAATTTCTGAGCTCCAAGTCAGAAATTCATCTGGAACGCACCCCTGAAGTCGGATTTCTGACTCAGAAAGTCAGATGATCCTCCCCAACCCTGACTTGACGACAATGCCATAATCCAAGATGGCAGCGCAGTGCATCAACAGTAAAGAGTAACAGTGAAAGCTCTCGTAATGTATTATTTATTAGCACTTCTGTTTTGTTTTTGTGAAATTAAATAAGTGGTATATGTTGTACTGCCCAACGTCTAACCGCGAACACGGTGCTATGGCGTTTATAAGAGTAAAATACTGTGTTATATGTTGTTTACAACTGGTATAGCTAACAACACCTGACAACAGCTAACAACAGCTAACAACAGCTGACAAACACTAACAACAGCTAACAACAGCTAACAACAGCTGACAAACACTAACAACAGCGGAAAACAGCTAACGACAGCTGACAATTGTAAACAACAGCTAGCAACGGCGAACTGTAGGTGTCCATCTTGGTTTTCCGATTTGTTTACTGAAATGCCGTCAACTCAGGTGAAACATCATTCCCAGCTCCGACATCTGACTACCTAGGTAACTGGAACGCAGCATTGTTTTACTGCTAACCGCTGTATCGGCCCTATTACAGGGAACCACTTCTTGTCTTTTAAAGTGCTGGCAGGTGAGAACTTTTTGAAGATGATCAGAAATGTCTTGTTGATAAAGCTTTTCTGGGATAAAACATGGTTTCCAGTCATGATGGAGCTGTGTTGTTAAGCTCCTCATTGAGACATCTATAAGGCTATAACTCTGGCTTATTTTAACAGAAGACCGGGTCCCCATCAGTCCTCTGAAGATGCTCTTCCACTCATCAGGTTTGAAATTTCTCGTGTTCAGAGTCTCTTTTTGTCATGAATCTGTGAGAAATGCATCGAGGTTCAACTTGGATAACTAACTCTTGCTGGAGGTTGAGTTGCCTTTAAATGTAACTGACCGACTCCTAATGCAACACGACATGTTTGGGACAGTGTTAAATACAAACAAATGTGCTATATTGTGAGTACATGGGTGTTTGGTCTTTGAATTGCATACCATCTCATCTTGTATAATTCCTACTACATGGGCCTAAAAAGTGTACAGTTCATACACTTACACGTCTAATTAACTCTTCCCTCGTCGGCCTGTCAGCAGCACTCTTAGCCGGCCCTGGGTTAATTTGCTGTCAGCTGCTTCTTCATGTGTGGATTTTTACCATGAAGCTGCTTTGACATCTTTATCTCCTCTTTACCCTTTCCCACCAAAGTCTATGTTCCTCATTCTGGTTTCACTCCCTTCCTCTTCTCGTTTCATCCTTGTTTCACACTTTCAGGCTCTCTCAACATGACCTGAGCCGTTGACTTTGCCTCACTCTTCTCCCTCCCCTCCTCCTCTATCTATTTCTCCCCCTCCTTTAACCATTGAGTCATGAATTTATTATGTGAATCAAAATAGAGCAATGACTCTTTGTCTTCGTCCCTGCATGTCATTGGTCTAGAATGAATAATTCAGCCACCATGGTTGAAGTTAGGATCAGTGAGAAATAGAGAATTATTTTGGAGCTGCCACCATTCAGGCTATTTTAGAAACGGCGAGCTGTCAGCGTATTTCCTGCAGCGCTCACTCTTTCTTCTGTCTTCTTACCCGTACTCATTCCTCCCACCAGCTTACATGCAGATAGAACTGACTCTTCCCTGTCTTCCCCGTCCTTGAGAATGATGCAGAAAAACAGATAAAACAGGACTGATGATGGCACTTTTATTCCTTTGCATCCTCATTTGCTTGTGTTGTGCAAATTTGTTGTAACTTTTCTTGGCTGTTTTTTTATAGGTTTGTTGCATCTTCCAGCAACGTTTTTGAAGGTTGTTTTTGAGCAAATAAGCAGTGGATGCGCTTTTGAAGAAACCTACTAAACGGCTTTGTTGATGAAACATACAACCCACATCTAATTGCAACAGCTTTCTCCTTCAAAGGCTGCCATTGATCCCGTCTTAGAGAGATCTAAAAGTCCCCAGTTTGCATATATATGATACTATATGAGAGGAAACCATAGGGGAGAAGGATAAAGTACTTAAATCTGCAAATCAAATGGTCTGTTTGGGATGCAAAGTGGTGCAGCAACTGAACCAAAGCAGACGATTTGAAATGGTCCAACCATTAAAACGGTCAACCACTTACATCCTCAGATGGACAAAAACACAGACACACAACTCCTGGGATATTTACAAAGTCAATCATGTGGTGATTTGGGATGCAAAATGCTGCATACCGTCTCAAAATGCTGCAACCCTTTAGGTGGGTGGCACGTAAGAGGACAACCTCCTGTACGCCCACAAATGATCTTGACATGAACAAACACAAAGATCCATGAATATATATATAATGTTAATAGTGGTTACATGTAGGGATACTCCAATGATCCCACTTTTTTAAGACTAAATACCTGGAGTTAATATCAGTAGATACTGATCTGTTTTGATCCAACACCAGTATTAAAGCCACATTGAGGAGTTTTTTCACATTAATCAAAGTGACAGAGATTCATATTTATTCTTTTTTTATGCCATCCACAAGCAAATAAGATCATCAGTGACAAAATTGAGGATTTCTAATTTCAGATTTTCAGATATTCACATAGAATATTCACGAATAATGATAAATTTCATGATAAACAGTCAGGAAGATAAGATTGTTTTTGTCAAAAATCTACATGGGCAAGGAAAGCAGAGACCATGTTGTTCATAGGGGGCGCCAATGTTGACACAGACCAAAATTCCTTACAGAAGCTTTAAATTAACTGCCTCATCTCTTTTCCTTAATTTTAGTCTGAATTAAGTCACTGCTGTGTGATAAGTGAACGTTTTAATACTGCATTGTGTGGCATGTAACATGTGTCCAACAGTGATTTGTTAAACTCAGGAGTGACAATAAGCAGACGTATCTGTGGTCAAGCTTGTCACTGAAATATCTTATATGTTTTCACAAATTCTTGAAGGCAGAGGGGTGTCAGAATGATATTAATGTGGTGGTAACCTGTGCCTGAGATTCATTTGAGCAAAGCAGGATTATCACCACAATCCTGTCCTGTACACACATAGACAAAAACACACACACACACAAACCTGACCTGTGCATAAGGTCAGTCATTTGGTTATTTGGGATGCAAAATGGTGCAGTGGCTGACCCACATTAGATTATGTCATAACCTCACAAACACGTGGCAAAGGGGCAGTGAGCGGTCAACCACCTGCACACACATACATGATCTACACACAGACACACATGCTTTGCTCACACAAAAGGTCAATCACGGGGTGGGATTTGCACACAGAGTCGCAGATACACACTAGGATGATTATTCTCAGCCTCCTGGGGCAGCATTGAAACTTTCCAGCCATGACCTCGCTAAGAGGGGAAGAGGGAGAAGGATGAGATGTGCAGTAGAGGGAGTGAAAATGAGCGATGGAAAGAGTCCTTGAATTTTAACCAGATGCACCCTGGGGAGAACCCCCATCAAGTGTCTTCAATGCCAGAGTCCCCCAGCTTCCTCCAGAAGCTTAAGGACTCTGAATGCTCAAATATCTTCTAGGGAAACTCGTCTGTTTTCTGTCATTTCACAGCAGCAATTTTCGGGAATGAAATCATTTGAAGAATCAGGAGCAGAGGGTTTTAGTACTGGATAATGACATTTGTCCAGAGGCAGCAAATTCCTCCTGAGAAGGAGATGTACCAGAGGATAAATGCCACAATCAGTTATCTGCAATGTGATCAGGGTTCTACCTTAATCATCCCTGTGGTGATTTGGGTTTAAATGGAAGTGTCCTGTAATGTGGGCTTCATTCTTAAGGTTTTGGCTGCCTCTGTCTCCAACTACATTCCAAGATAAGGGCTGCTGAACGATGAAAAATAACTATATTGCAGATTGTGTGTTATAGGTATTAAAATTTGACAAAATACAGAGATTAACAAAATATAAATGCAGAGTATTTAAAGTGCTTTTAAAATGTTTTTAAATATAACAACACAATATACTGTTTATAATCATAATCTTTAAATGTAATTTGTGTTATCAAACTTAACCCTATCAATTTTATAAAATCCAGTCACTGTGATTCCTTTAGTGCCCCTATAATTACTAAGCACCTAGTAGTGGGCAGGACAGCACTGTCTTAGACCACGTTTACACATGCCCAGCTATTTTCATAAACAGACATTTCACCCTCTCTGTTTAAAAAAAAAAACTGCATGCACACCACTTCGTTTTTAGAAAAGTTTTCATTTAAATTAACCCATATGCCATCAAGAGCATATCAAACACGTGGGTGGCAGTGTAGCGAGAAGCTCAAGCCCACGTTAGCCAATCAGAATCCCACTGCGCAGATTACCCAAATCTCTGTTTTTCTGCGTTTATGTGCAAACGTCCAAAAAGAGATTTTAAAAAGCATTGTTTTCAGGGGTGAATTCTCCGTTTGCTACTTAACGAAGGGTGCAAACGATGGTTAATGTCTACCTTTTTAAAAAAATAACTGGGTATGTACTGGCATGTTATGATTGCATATGCTCACATAGTAACTGTGATGTTCAAACAGTACATTTTCTGCCCTTTCAAGGTTTTGTAGGAACTGTGTGAACGCAGGCTTTTCTTCAGATCTCAACAAGTAGATTTTTCTGAATACAGTCAGTCCTGCACTCAAGAGCGCCGACTCATCCCCGACCTTCAAAACCTTTAGAAGTCGACAATAAATTTCATTAGTAGCTGTTGTAAAACTTTTGATCATATCAGATGATCTTCAAATACATTGCTGACCTTTAAAAAGTTTTTTTTCCTCTGTATTGTACTTTGTTCTCAATTGCATTAGTGACCTTTGGTTCATTTTTTTAAACCAACTGGGATGATAAATCTAATACTTCCAGGATAACTGAAACTCTTTTGACTTTATGTCCATTTCTGCGATCCTTCTTCTTCAACACAGCTTTTTAAAATTGAATAAGTGCTATCAACTTTTCATTTCTTACTGTTTTCTCTTCAAAGTAAATTTAGTTTACCAGGGGGTGCATCGCAGGATTCTGTCTCATAGTTTTTCCACATTGACCTGAAAGTGGTGTGGATGTATGCCAACAGGCAAATAGAGGCTTTCACATTGTTTTGTCTCAGAGTTCTCACTGGTGGTCAATAAACCAAATCTGCACTCTCCTGAAATCCTAGAATCTAAAGCTCTTTGTTTCTAGCCTCCCATCCTCTTTTTTTTTTATCATTTACCTTCTTTTCACTCCCCCAGCATCCACTATTTGTTCAACAGCTTTGATGACCTTTCAAGGAACTCCCTCCTCCTCTATGATCCCTCCTGTCCTCCTCCTCCTCCTCCTCGTCCTCCTCTTGGTGACCTGGTTTTTTTTTATCACCTTGCTCTGCGGTGTTTACAAAGGCTTCACAACCACATGTTTGTACACATACAGCTGCGTATCTGTGTTTGTGAGCGTATAGGCGGGGTTGTTTATCGTCCTCTGGGATCTCTGCTGAGAGAAGCATCCAGGAAGTGTAATGTCCTGTGAAGCACCATCGTCTTACACAAGCACATATGCTGTGTTGATGTTGTACAACCACAAGCTGAATGCTGTTTCAGGGCTGCGAGATTGTCGCCTTTGTCTTCTCAGTACAAAGGAATAGTCCCTCTCCTCCTCATCCCCGGCGTTCTTTTATTCTTCGTCCCAATCCTTGTCACTCTCCACTCCCCTCCACACATCAACCATTCCTTCACCTCTTTTTCTCCGCACCCCCCTCTCTTTATCCCCACATCTGAAACAGTAGCGACATCTCCCATTGGCTGCCCCATCAGAATCAGAGAAACAGGCAGCCAATGAGCTTTTGGGCTAACAGGGTCACTATTATCCATGAAGCACTGCAATTACTGAGCTGTCTACATCCCTGCCATGTATGCATATGCAATGTTCCCCCCTGTCCTTGTACTCATACAGCACATTTCCATAGTACATGAAAATCCTTCCATGGTGTATGGTTTATTCACAACAGCTAAAGGTCGTTTTCGATGCTGGAGGGCGATTTGATGTCAAGTCATTCAACAAAACAGGTATCTTTTCTGCATTTTTGACAAGATGCCACCGTCAAAAATATAATGAAAAACTGTGCCAGAGTCTGGGTGCAATAGGTTTATGCATTCAGGTCAAAAATATGGATATATATTCATCGTAAATTCTCCCAATGTGAATCATGTGAGGCATGTGAATGCTGCTCTTCAAAGGCCGGGAAAGGAAAGCTGTCACGCTCCTCCCATCCCCCCTCTCCGTTCTCCCTCTAACTCATTCCTTTTCTCCATGTTTACTTGCCTCGCAGATAGTTATATATTTGTGCCACATACCAGTCATTCAGCCAGGCTGCATTTGAGCAGTGCAAATGACACAAGTTTTCCTCTTCTCTTCAGAGGACTGATGTGGCCTTTTCACTCAGTGAAATGCCACTGATGCCTTGTGTAAGGAGAATATCTAAAATAAAAAAATGTTAAGCTTCAGATTATCTCGCCACGTGTCTTTGAGCAACATCAGTTTGTAGTCTTCTCTTCTGGCATCTGACTGAGCGTCAGGCCTAATTTGCATCATTAGATTCCCTCATCTGTGGAACGGCTTTGACCTTCCTCCATCATTAGTGACAGAGAGACAGAGCGTCCTCACCACCACTCGCCATCCTCTTTCATCTTTTTAACTCTTCTCCTGTCCATCATCTCTTCCCCCGATACCTGAAACATCCACCCTTCTCATTGTGGTCATTTCACTCCGCTCCACACTTATCTGTTTCAATCTCCATTCAGGTTCTTTTCATCACACCTCCACCTGCATCGGTTATGCACTGAGGAGGCATCGTCTTTCTATGGTCTTAAATTCCCTGTTTGGCACTCACCTATCTAACGAACTGGAGAATGGAATTAATTTCTTTTTTTCTTAGTACCCAGGGGATACAAACACACTCTCCTCTCCTCTCCTCTCCTTTCCTCGTGCACAAACACACATGCTGGTTGAGTAAAGGGGCTGTTGCCTTTCAGGTGAGACGTCTTCAGGGACATGTTTTTCTTCACAGCATTCACTTGTCTGTCATCACAATATGCAGCCGCTCCTTCAGCACCAAAAAGACGTGATTTCACTTCTCGATGGCCAACCTTTGGGGAGAACCCCCCACCGTTCTGTTATCAGGAAACTCATTACCCTTTGGACAGGAAATGACACTAGAAATGAACCCCCTTCACATCCCGTCTTGAGCCCAGCAATCTGAGCTGTGATGACTGAGTCTCCTGTTTGCATGAGGCCTCATTTACCATGACCCAGAAAGTGCTGTACATGTGAGCATAAGACGGGTGAATAAACTGTGAGTGTTTAAGAAATGCAAGGAAATACCACCGAATCAAGCTTGTGGCGATGACCAAGCCTTTTAAAGCATGTGTGAGATAATTAATGAGTCATTTCAATCCATGCCAGTAATAAGGCCACACATCCCCAAAGGGCGAGACTAATTCAAGACTGTTCAGTCACTTGTCAGAGTGTGTGTCACTCAAAGTGATTGGTGTCCAGTGATTGTGTGAATTTCTTTTTTATCTCAGAGTCCGGTCAAGTTTGATTAAGATTTTTTTATCTCCCTGCTATTCTGATCTCTTTCCCTCGGGCTTGCACTTTTGCTAATAGTATAGTAATGTTTGCACTCGCTGGTTAATTACACCCCAGGGTAAACAATTGCTTTTCTTAATGCTTTTTCTCAATACATTTATAAAAAGCCGTGTAAACACGGGCTTATAGGCACAATTTGTGCAGCTTTATGCAGCTTCAGTGCTGCACGGAGCAGACTTAATGGCTCATAAGTCTTCTATCTGCCTACCGGCTGGCGGGTGTCCAAGCCTCTGATCTACATACAGGGCTCTTCGTTGCTCTTGGAAAAAACATCATTGTGGCACATACAACACTGCCTCACACTGACGAGCATTTACACCAAGGCAAGTCTAGTCTGGTCTGAACCCCCTAAAAAATGGGACTTCTTCACATTTTTCAGTGTGACAGGGACCGAGTCAGGTTAAGTCCGCTATTAATGCATATTGTTATCGCGCTGAACAGGAACAGACTACACAATGTAGATGTTTAGGGTTCAACTCTATAAGCAGGAAAATGCTATTGTTTCTAGAAACATTGTTGCCCACGGCTCACTCATGAGCAGAAGTTGAAAACACTTCGAGCTCAGCCTCTTCTTTGGGTGGTCAGACGCCAGGGTCTTTAAGCAAAAATGTCACCCTCCTTTTTTAATCTATTCACTTATTTCTATCTATATACTACTAATACTTCTTAAGCTATTTTAGATAAAAGAACTCCAAAACTCTGCACATCATTTGAAGGGGAATATGAAAGTTGCCACAGAGTTGAACAAAAATTCTTTTTAGATTTTTTCTCTTATTATTCCTCAAATGTCTTCAGAAAATAAAGGAGATATGTGAGTTATTTTTCTCCCTCTTTATACCAAAAAGCATATGTATGGTAGATTACTATCATATGATACTTTTTTATTTCCTGTACTATTTATTTTTTCATATATAGAAATATGTGGCTAATGCAAACTTTATTAACTTACTTACTAATATGACAATTAATATTACTAATATCGCTAACTATCGCTAATATTATTACTTACTTTCATCCTGGCAGACTTAAAGACAGTTTGACAGGAAGTTCATATAACATACATATATATCACAGTATTCACAAGTATACATCCATATATTGTATGACTCAAGGATAAAAATATAAAAAGAGCACAGGTACTAGAAAACTTAATGACCTATCCAAGGGTTGTACTTTCCCCCATTATATCTGAAGGTCCAAACCATCTCTAGAAATATTTATAGATTAGACACTCTTCCACAGTAGTCTGTCCTTTCTATTATGAAAAAAAGTACTTGAACAACATGTACAACTACCCATGATGTTCCCTCAGGCTTCAAAGTGGTATAAAAAGTGTCCTCGGGTTAATAACAATAAAAGGTACGGACTCAGGCTGCATGGTGTTAGAAAAAAAACAATATAGAAATATATATTTTTTCATTTTCTCAATCCAGAGTATATATGTACTCACAAACAAATACACTTTTAAGTAAACTAAAAATAACATCAAGTTTCTGGACTTCACAACTAACATTTAAAGCTGGAGCCAAAAATGAAGACACTCTATAGGACATGTCCTTCAGCATCTTTAAAAGTACTTGTATGTCTGCTTTGTGTATTTCTACTTTTTGTGTGAGTCACCTGTATGTGACAAAAACCAGAATATGTCCAGATTTGACAGACCTAACAAGGTCAGCTTTTATGTGTAGGTGACTTTTTTGACCTGTTCCCTGTTTTAGCTCTGGCGTTTAAAGATGTCTGCCAAAATGACAACAGTGCCCTAGATTTAAGACAACACAGTGACCTTTGACCCTCCGGACCACATGACTTTATTAAAAGCTAGAGGGGAGAGTGTGATTTTAAATGGTGGAAATAATGTTGTGTTTGTTTGGGTGTGTATTACGATGGCTGAGTCTGAGAGAGTGGACTTTACACCTGAGAGGAGACCATATGGTTGCAGGCAAGGTTACTGATCTAATAAGCTTGGTGCCTGGGCTGCCCTCCGTTGTTTGCTTACTACACTGAGCTGTGTGCATCTCCTTGTGTGTGTGAGGGTGTGTGTTCCTGAGTGTCTCCTCAAGCGTCTGTGCCATCGGTGTGTGTAGCCATGCGCTCAGGTTTGAGCCAGAGAAAAGCAGGTCATAACACTGCAGGGGTGTCAAAAATCATCAGAGAAGGTCCCACTAATTAAATGTGCCAGACCCTCCAGTTAAACACAAGAATCATTGTTGACTAAATAGAGATAATGACAGAGATTTTCTTTGTTCTCAAAATGTTTCATGTCTGACACAGAGTCACAACTATTCTCTTTAAAAACCCGCTCCAATGAAAATGATGTTTGTCTTGTTTTTTATATATTCAGATGGCATTTTTCTGATGCTACAGGACATATCATGAGAAAACTAAATGCAAAATTGCTTTTCTGAGTATTTCTTCATTCAAAATCGCTGTGAACCTCTGGTAGACCCAAACGGCAGGTTCGGAAACAGTGAGATTTCCTATGCAACCAACCCAAGCCCCGCTATACAGGCCACACTCTGCATATAGAGGAGAAATACAGAGGATGGTCACGGAACAAGCGTGTGCGTTAACAGATTGCAATGCACGTAAGACAGCTAAATATGATACTTGCTTTCATCGTGTCCCAAAAGACATGTGTCCAAGAACTGAATAGCTCCTATGTTACCTGCCACTTCTACTACACTGGCAATGTTAGGCTACAAGCTAACGTAAAGAGAAGTGTGCAGAGCAGCGCTGTCTCCGCCCACGACTCAGAGGTGAATTGCTAATGATCCACTAAGGCTCTGCAGAAGAAAAGCCCTTGAAAATGACACAGGTAACGTAATTTTTGGTAAAAACGTAATAATCACAATTTAAAGATAAATGATAACACTTTAAGTAGTAAAAAAAAAAAACATTGGAGTGGGACTTTAATACTTAAAACTGTCCTTGTTAGATGGACAGGTTACACTTGGATGTCTATTACAAACTGAATATCTAACCAATAATCAAAAATACACACCAAGTCACGCCCACATAAGTAGTAACAAAGTTTTTCACACTCCTCTACATACCTGTAAGCTTGCTTGCTTTCTAACTTCATACCACATCGCTTTGCAATCGTATGCCAACCTTGACTACACATCTATGATGAAGATGACAACTTTATGTTGACAGAGTTGTAAGTTTTCTTAGTTAGTTTGTAATGTTAGACCTGATTTAGTTGGAGTAAAAATAAAATAAGTTAATGATCTTTAAACTTACTGTGAGAATTGTTTCAATACAGAGAACAGGAGGTTTTTGCCAAAACTGCAAAGCTCGTTATAAATTATCATACTGAACATACAGCTGATTAAAAACTCATTATGATGGTTTATAAAGTTAATAATAATTATTTCAACTGAAAGCCTGTGATTGCATCATTTTAGTTTTCATGTTATGAAAAGTGCAAGGCTATAGAGGCTAATTAGCTGTAAAACTCCAGATACTGAGTTCTTTGATTTTGGATCAGATTCATGAGACTGAATTGAAGTTGTTTTTTTATATAAGGCATTGGGGACATACTTTAAGCAAAATAACACCCTATAAGCCAAACTCAAAGACACTTAAAATGACTAAAAAAGGCTAGAGCTGGTCCTGTCGTCAGTATCGACTGACTGCTTTCTCCTCTCCTGTTGTTTACGTGCATTTGTATGTGCTTTATAATGTTGAAATATGAAATTAATTTGATAATTTTGGCTCTGTTTGCGATCATAAGCGTGCTTGCTCTATATGGGTCCTTGATATAAGAAAAACACAGACAGGAAACAAATAGGGCGCAACAGAACTTCAGATACAGCCATAGATGTTTGTTTTTTGAGAGGAACAAACAACGCTTGAAGTGGCTCATTGGATGCTGCAGAGCTTTGTTTCTGTTTTCCTCTTTAATCCCACCATCCCTTTGTGTATTTTTGATCATGACTGTCACACTCAGGGCTCTCCCCAGCTGTCAGTTTACACCTAAAAAGAAGAGAGGAAACAGTGACAGAGGGAGAAGGGAGATGGAAAGTGTGCTCTGAGGATCCCAGTTAAACCCACCTCAAGTCCGATGAGAATCCACACCAAAGCTGCGTACGCTGAAACTCTTCACCACTAGTTTTATAATGATGAACACTCTCCTCCGACTTTTCCTCCTTCAACTAGTCATGTGACTTACTGACCTAACAAAATCAACTGAGCACATAATAGGTGTTGTGTTGTTTTGACGGGTTGATGCCTTAGAAACAGGCTTCTTTTTTTTCCCAAGCTAGTTTGCAGCAAGAACTGAGAAAATAATAGCAGAAAAAACAGTGTACAGATTCAGAGCCTTCAGAGGACTGAAACATGCCCACACACACACACACACACACACACACACACACACACACACACACACACACAGTTCATTGATGTATTTTCATGGATTTGATGTCCTGGACTCTCGCTCATTATAACAGAGAGGAAAATAACAAAGCCAGGACTGAGTGGGAGCAAAATCTAACAAGAGAGGAAAAAAACTAAACGTAAAAGATATCAACTATTGTATATTCCCCCATATGCGAAGTTCTCAATGACACATTTGATTCAATATCTTTCCACTGCAGTACATAAGAAAGATGAGAGCAGCTGCAAACAGAGGACGGGATTTCCATCGCATCCGGAATAGCTCCAATCTGGAACGGCGGTGATTCTTGCCGTACACCACTTCCTACTGGATCCATTTGTGAGGCAAATTTCGTGGTGGATTACAGATAGCAGGACTCGCGAAAACTCACAAGAACCCGTGGATTCACATGCAAATGCGTGATAACAAGTTGTCTTTAACCACATAGGCTAACCATATAAGCAGTAGATTGTTTCCTTCCAGAGGAGGAATCTACTTCTAGGCTTATGAAATCAGCATCCTCCCATCCATGGTGTCATCGGGATGAAATGCTGTCTATAACTTTTCACTTGTTCATCTCCGCCCGTTTGCATGGTGTGAAATACGATCCGTCTGAAACACGGAGTGTTTTATTTTGAAAAGAAGCCGGATGTTTTATTTTGTGTCTGTGCCCGACTGCCTTTCCAGCACCGACTAATCTGTGCTAAAATTAATCTGGCATGCTCCAGCATCTGATGAAAATAGAACTCTTCCGCTCAGCTGCGGGCTCAGCTATCCATAACGTAACGGAAAGAAGCTGGTGAAAATTTACACATTAACTTGAATGGTTACGATTGGCAGATACGGCCTTTTCATAGCCGTTCCGGATGCAGTGGAAATTGGGGGTAAGACTCAAACATGTTTGACGCAGGTGAAACAGTCAGAAAAAGTTGATTTCCATTTCTTAAAATTATTTAAATAGGACCTTAAGTAATGCCACCGAGACACATGCATCAACTTTGCCTCATGCACCATTAACTGAAACATTCAGTTCAATGCTAATTCGTCACTGCAGGAGGCAGATAAGGATCTGTAGCTGTGGAGGCACAACTGACCATGAAAGCAGCATCACCTCTCTTGGCTCACCACTTTAGGTTTCTCATTTGTATAACCACCTGCTCAACATACATTACACCTTATTTATTACCCCTACTTAGAAAATTAAAGGAATCATTTTAATCCACCCATGTCACTCTGAGGAATAAAAAAGCTTTTGTCATCCTTTCAGGGCAGGAATGTTAAGCAGGCATTATATTACATCGATGTGTTATTAAATAGGTCTTTAAAAGTCTAATATTAAATTCAATCAACGCTGAAAATCTCTGCAGACACCCTGAGAATCGCTGTCAGCCTTAAGTCTTCCACGGTAGGACAGCGCAATAAACCACTTTAATAGCAATATGATATATTGTGGATGTTCATTGATGTATTGCCTCCATGTTTTAAAGATTTAGTGCCTGAAAGTAATCACTTTGAGTAACTTCTGCTACACTGAGTGAAACTGATAGGGAACAAAGCTATCAGTGTCAGGAGATTTTGGACTCCCAGCTGAGCGCTGTACCCCTTACTGAGGTCTCAGTGTTGGGGAAGTTCAAAGTGAAAGTCTCTCTCTCTCTCTCTCTCTCTCTCTCTCTCTCTCTCACACACACACACACACACACACACACACACACACACACACACACACACACACACACATTGATAAAATGACCTTTTGGACTCATTTACCTTCTAATCCACTTAACATCGTTTACTTCCAGCACGTACAGCGACCTAGACAGCTCCTGTCTGGATGTCGAGACAGAGAGTCTGTGCGTGTCTGCATGTATGTATATGTGGAAGGTTAGTATACTGCGCAGCTGCTCCAACATTACATGAATTTTCAGGATGATGAAAGTAAGTCGTTTTGGTGCATGTGTTATTTGTGGTGAAGTCATTCCAGGACTTGCAGAGTTTCTTTCCTCCTTAATGAACAAGCAGCACATACTCTATATTTTTTGTCTTGTGGGGTTTTTATCTTCGCTTGTTTTTAGCGTTTGTTGTGCTGTTGTTCCTCTGTGGCTGTCAGAAGTTGTTGTTTTTGTTGTTGCTCTGTGTATCCTCTGCTGATTTTCTTTTTCAGTGGGTTTTTGGGCAGACTTTGAAGCAGTTTAAAGAACTGAGGCTGGAGTTTGGCTTCCTTAACTTGTACAAGTGTTTTCTAACTAACTGGCAGCGTTAGCGGCATCTCACTCTGCTCAACATCCCCTCCGGAAAGATGCAAATGTACGAGTATAAGCTCTGAGAAATGTCTGAGCTGAGATTTGTGGGGTATTTTGGGGATCACCTGGTTTGAAGGGAAGCAGTACAGTGAGATGCTGCATGAGTCAGAAAGTGTCTCTTTACATCATCCCTGTATGAGGAGACAGTCATCAGCTTGAGAGGAGAGGTGATGCTTCAGGATGATAAAACGTGTGTGTGCGCACGTGTGTGTATGTGTGCCTCTGTCTCTGCTGCTGACTCAGGTTGACAGGGGTGCATGAGGGGATTGAGACTGACAGTATAGATATGTTACCTTGCAGCCTTAGCTTGTTTATTCGGCTGTTTTGTGCTGTCTGTTTATGTGTGTGTGTGTGTGTGTGTGTGTGTGTGTGTGCGTGTGTGTGTGTGTGTGTGTGTGTGTGTGTGTGTGTGTGTGTGTGTGTGTGTGTGTGTGTGTTTGCCATCTCAGCCCATGTTTCTTGAACTTGTAAGAATTACCATTAAAAAAAAAACTCTTTCATTCGCTGTTGGAAGACTACACTAGAGTGAAAGTGAACCCTAACACACATTTTGTTACCAGTCTGAGCGAAAAGCGTAACCTATGAGATCATCAAACAGGAACTTGGTGGGAAAAGTTCTAAGCTTGTTACTTCTGTACTGCACCGAACAGTGGAGTCAAAGTTTCCTGGAAACTTCAAAACTGCTGCAACAATACATAAAACAACGGAGGGTAGTGAGGGTGAATCTCAAGTCATATTATGAAAAAGAAAACTTCAACCGGGGGCATACACATTGTCAGAAAATGCATAAAGAATAAATAATTGAGGCAGTTTGAAACACAGCCCTTTGCTCACACATTTATAAACCTTTTCTCACCTTTTAGATAATGGACTTTACCTTATGTACAAGTGCAGCCAATATCTCAGCTCGAATGTAGAGAGATGTGCTTTACACAGAAAAGGCCACTATAAAGAAGGTATGCAGTGATTTCAGATTATGATGATAAATCAAATCAGTTTTTCAATTTCCACAATTATTTAGCATTTTCTAATAGAGAGAGACCAATTAATCAGTTAATTAATTATTGAACACAGTTAACTGATTCACAAGGTCACTATCACCACTTATTGAAAAAGCATTTTTCTCATCATCTATTACCGATGTATCAAATCTAAAACAGACACCGACTAGACCTTTAATTCAAACTCTGTTATGATGTGTAGAATAATACAGTTTAGTGTTGACAGAAATATCAGCCATTATCTAAAATCTTATGTATAACTCAAAATCTTTGTCTTTCCATTGATTGAGTAAAAATCCATCTAAAACATATACTAAGGTAACCATGTATCTTAGATTTTAATGTAGAAGTGCTGGACAGAAATCCAGAAGTCCTTGTGGCAATTCTTGACTAAGACAAATATTATTCAATCCACATTTATTTGATATTGTGCTTCTTTGTGTTTAGTACATTTTTTTCATTTATTGGAATTGTTAAGTGATTGTAATTTGGTTGTTGGCCATTAGTCGACTTTCTCCCTCAGAATGGGTAAAGGAATCAGGCTTTGACAAACTATAATTAGTCAAACACTGATTTCCAATATTTAAAACCACATAAACATTCTTTAAACAATTTATTGTGCTGATTATTGCTCTCCTCAGAAACAGAAATAACACAGCAAAACACTGATACAATGCAAAATAATAAATAAAGATAATCAAAAATCCCATCTCTCTCTTTGGTTTTGAAACATAGAAGAGATACATGCTGCTTACCTTTCTTTGAAGGACAAGTATGGATGCCACCTTTTACTTGTTTCTTACAAAACGCCACCGCTTGGCTCCCTCTGCTTTCCTTAAACTAATGTAGCGTAAGCCTCCGTATCTCCTGATGAGCACAGCTGGTGCACTACAGGTGTCACCTTGTTTTTGTTCTGCGCAGGTTACATCGAACATAATGTACCTGAGAGTGACAACAAAACAACATTTAGTGTCACTCTGAGCCTTTTTAACTAGGAGGCTCTGTATTTTAAAGCACAGTACAGAGCTGCAGCTCTACTTTAAAGTACTTACCCACTGAGCAGTAGATGGCTATTAGACGTCTAGTTTTTTAGACCTAATTTCAACAGTCTAGATTCTGTACATTTTTAGACGGAATTTAGACGTTGCACTTTAACCCATTATTCAATAACTATTTATTTTAAAAAGCAACTGTGAGTTGCATAACTGATCTCCAAGTACCTAACCAAAATAATTATGATGGCCGTTGAGCAATATACAGTGTAGATACAGCCCAGGTTACGACTTGGTCTAAACTTGGTCTAAATTTAGACCTTAAAAAACTTTCATTTTTAGACCTGTGGTAGCCTCATCTCGGCTACATTTAGACATCTATCAGACCTCTTTTAGACCAAAAAATGCTTAGTTGGTAAAGTTGTATCATACACATGAGGTGTTAATGGCTGCTAGCATAGCCATCATCATCACCCACTGCACCAGATGTGACTGGAAATTACCCATTCAATGTGTACTGGGCATGGCCGTCCCTGCGCAAAGCATGCTGGGACCAGGCTAGCCGCTTTTTAACAGTTTTTCCCCCCTCAAACAGTAAAATGATTTTTGGTAAATGTGGAGCAGTGATTTGAATAAAAAGACAAGTGACCAGCAGAGATGAGGTGATGGTGCAACTCCAGGTGAATATGACACTGTCAGTCTGTAACTTACAACTCTAATGGGGCATTCACACCAAGAGCAAGTAAAATCATCGACTCACTTAAATCGTGCGAATCTAGATGCGTGAATGAATAGTATTTACTCACTTCATTTGCGCATCAACGGTAATTTCAATGCTATTCCCTACCAATTCAACTATTGGGGTCAAGTGATAGACAAAGGTTTTTTAAAAATTTACTAGGTAATCTGACCTCCTCACTCACTTGCCTCAAGGCGAGCGCCTTTTTATTCCGGTTTCTGTAATTGAAAGAAAATTGTCCATTTTTATACATCACCCGGCAACCTTCGTGCTGATTAGTTATTGCAACCCTGAATATCCACTCAAGTTGATACATTTTCAGCTCACGCCCAAATCACGTCTTTCGCACCGCCAGAGTTCTACGAGCGTCTAATTGCATCTTTGCATTGACTTAACATGTAATTATTCGTGCTAATGGTTTTACTCGCACTTGGTTAATGACAGTTAATATCAAGACAGTTAATGTCACTGTGCTACACAGCTGCACTGAAACTGCACATTGTAGACTTTGCTGAACACCAAGGCCGTCGTCACATAGCGAAACAGTCTAAACCCCCTTCCATCTAGAGGACCCCCATGAACGGACTTCACCCTCTACTGGTGCTGTTTATATTCTAGTTTTCATAGCGCATACTGCAAAACACTGTTACCCCTTGCATTTTGGAAACAAGCCCATGTCTAACAATTTACACACATATTTCAAAGCCTTTATTTGGAACTTTTTGATTTTGTGTATTTTAGAGCTACTCAACAGCAGGAGTAACCAGTATATGAATAACTTTAGAAATCAATTAATCTTATGGTCTTGTTCACTGTTGCAGGTCAAAGAAAGGCACAGTATTACTTCAGTCTGTTTCTTTGACTCCCCTCTGGAGCTTTCCTTTTAAAAGTGTAAATGATACCAATAACAAGTGATGATATCACCCTACAGTCACAAGGATGAATGTGAGGTTAGAGAGCTCGTTGCAATGGATGTTTGTTTTCTACCTTGTTAAATCATCATCTCTATACCGTACATGTCATGTGTCAGTCCAATGAAACACTACTGTGGCATTCAAGTCAAAGTTTTGTGTTTTCGGCTCTAATCAGTGAAAGGTCAAAGCAGGCAGCCTGTCAGTCTGGATCAGTTCACACTCACTGCCTCAGTGACTCACAGCTCTGAGAGAAAGAGGATGTTGCTACAGTAGGGTAACATTGCACCAAATGCTGTCATGTATATCATGTCTGTCTGAAGACCCAAAACAACTGCAGTGTCCTTCACATTGTACGCTGCAGCGCTGTGAAAGATGTCAGTTTGTTTTGATTTCTTAGTGAACTCTGGGAGATGCAGTTTTTAGCCATCTGTCACTGGTGGGTGTTACTTAGACAAGTGAGCAGGACTTTGTGAAGGCTGGCAAAGTGTTTTGTGTTCATTCAGCTAATTCACTCTGTATTCTCTCAGCCTATTTCTCATATTTTATCTTCATGTTCCCACTCCAGGCAATATCCGCCTCTTCACTGAGGAAAACTGCTTCTTCCATTTTTTGGTGCCTAATTATGTTGCGATGACAATTTTCCTTTGTTATCATCAAGCTTCTATGTTTGGGAGGTTTTGTTCTGGCACCACTGAGACGACAGTGTGTGCATTGTGCATCCTGACTAAAACTTTGATTAAAACAGACAAGTAAAAACTTGATTTGCCTTGTAAGACTTACAAAAGAAACCTTCTTGGTTGACTTTGACAAGCTGATTTTTTTGATGATGATTAATCTGGCCAAGCTGAGAATGTCAAGTCTTGAATTAAATCATAAATCTCAGCGTTTTACTAATTTATCTCAGTTGTCTTCCCTCCTGTTCAAGAGAGCTGCTCAGCTGTACTCAGCACATGGCATGAGGCTTAAAATTGAGTGACTAAGCACAGATTTAATTTTGGACTTATAGCTACTTAGAGATAGAGAGTACAAACTGTCAGCTTTATTTTTGAAAGGCAAAAATCTGTCTAGTTTGCAGCCTGGTTTGTTTGCAACAATAAGTTTCTTAAAAGCTTCTTTAATAAACTGCCAACTGCTCTTCACTGATGCTAAATCGTGCCTCTTTCAGAGGTTTTTGTCCAGTGTATGTGTGCATGTGACTGTGTATGAGTGTCTGAGCATGTGAGTAAGAGAAAAAGAACAAAAAAAGCAGACGCTGCCGGATAACGAGGGATGCAAGTGCTGCTCTGCTAGTCAAATATAAAGACATAAAAAAGCTACGGCAAAGTGGATGACCTATTTACAGTCAGAGACACCGCTACAGAAATACTGACCAGTCAATGACCAAAGCCTCATTTTCACAAACACATTTTCTCAGCAACTGATTTCAAACAGGCTATCTCAAGTGTGTGAATTGGGTTAAACAACCTGTGTTTGAGACATCTGGCCCCAGATTTCAGTGCTGTGCCTCTGATAATGTCTGATAACGTATGCATGATGAGATGGGGATGTTGTTCCCTAACATCTGCTCATCAGGTCAGTATCAAAAAATAAGTTATTTTTAGCCCATGGGCTGATTTTCATCCCATTATTCCCCTTTTTTTTCCTGGACAGCTGGCCTGTGGAAAAAACCGCCTCCTCTGCTGTCTGGATGGGGTGTTGGTGCTGTTGCCTTAACATCTGGTGGATGTAAATTTACAGCTTGTGATTTGGTGTGTTGGCTGCCCAGGTGCAGAAACAAGCTGTTAGACTGACCCTGAGATGTTTAATATTGAATCACAATACGGAAGTTGTCAGATAGGCTGCTGTTAAAACCCCCAGCTGTCAGGATAAGAGAAGGGGTATCCTCAGTGTTCATCAGGGGGGCTCTTACAAGCTCCCTGTGTTTGTTGAAGTGTGCAAGTGTGCACGTATTTGTGTGTGTGTAAGGACCCTCGCCCGTCCTTGAGTCCAGCAGAGAGGACCTTGTCTGCCGCTATGATGTCAGCTCACTGATTCATGCTACGACTCTGCCGCTGACCCGTGGGAAGACTCTCAGGGGGGTATGGAGGCAGGTTGCATCCATCACACTACACTAAGATCCTGGCAGATGTACACTGGCAAACCGCTGTCTTTATACTTCCATTATAACAAGACCAAGAGTCTGAACTACTTGCTTTAGCTCAGGGAATTTTAGTTTTGCTGACATTTGCACATTATACAAACAATAACCACAACTTTTAATCAGTGGTGGTAGGTTTTCTTTAGTTTTACAGGTATTCTTTGAGGACCAAGACTGTTCGTTAATGGAAACATGTCTAGTTTAGTTGCAAAGGTCTTTTGTTTTGATATCTCAACCTTGTTAGCAAACCCGCCACACTGGGGCCGCACCAATTTGTCTTTGGTTGAGAACTTGGGAACACAAGGCAACTCATGATACGATACGATACGATACGATATGATATATGATATAATACGATATGACACGATATGATAAGATACGATAAGATAAGATAAGATATATGATAAGATATGATATGATATGATACGATATGATATGATATGATATGATACGATACGATATGATATGATATAATACGATACAATATGATATGATATGATACAATATGATACAATATATTATATGATATGTTACAATAAGATACGATATGATATGATATGATATGATATGTTATGATACAATGTGAAATGATATGATACAATAAGATACGATATGATATGATACGTTATGATACGATATGATACAATGTGAAATGATATGATATAATGTGATAGGATTTGATAGGATACAATATGACTTAACATGAATGTTATGATATGATATGACCATTATGCAAATGGCAGCTTAAACACGAAATTACTTGAACATCCATTGTGAGCACATGCGCAGTTGTAGTCAACCTGATTCAAGTTGTCCACTACCCCTACTTACATAACTCAACTGAGATTTAAGAAATTTGGTTATGGCGACAAAGGAAAAGTCAGGTTATTACACTGAATATTTACAACAACTTCCTGCCAATCCATTAGTAAATGTTGAGATATGTCCCTGAATAACAAGATTTTATGATCTAAGCAAGATAGAGGTCAAGGCTCATCTTCTGGAGAAAGTGGAAATGTAGCTGTGTAATTTCCAAAGGCTGTCAATGTATGAAAAAATGTTGTTCACAGTGGTCGAGATGTGTCGCTGTGTATTAGAAAGTGGTTAACTGTTAAACAGAAAGACCAACTGACCCAAAACCATACAAGCATGTCTGAAGATCTAATTTCAAGTGAGGAGGAGTGCCACAAACATCCCCTCTCAGGTGGGGGAAAGCAGGTGCTAATTTTGTTTGATTTTGTCTCATAAATAGCCTGTTATTCAGAACATTTGTACCCTCATGTTTGTTTTTCAGATCTCTCTATTTCTCTCCTGGGCTATAGTCCACAGAGACACTGAGGTTTACTGCTGCGTTGTTGTGGTCATGATGAGTTGTTGCTGGTTGACAGTACAAGGCTTGGTTGCTGCTGAGAACTGGGTCAGTATGTGCAGCAGTGTGCGTAGCAACCTCTCAGTGCTAGCGTTTTGTCTTCCAGTGAAAGGGAAAATTGTGCCAGATTTGAACCAGATCCTTCACATACGTGATCTGTAAACAGACTTTTTTTTCCCGGCCTGTCAAGAATGGTGGGACTTATCCACCCTGGAGCTTAGTGGATGAGACACACTTTCCGGGGGGTTTTACTGCAGCGTCGACTTTGTATGTGTGAACGTGTAAAAATATATAGTTGTTCCGCATGTGTGTAAAAAAATTTTCAGCCATCTTTTAAATTTAGCTCAAATCCCTTCTCATCCCGTTTGATCCAACTGATACCAAAGCACTGAAAGCGTCAGATTTCATTAAGCGCTCGATGATACTGTAAAAATCCAACTTGTAAGAATGAGACCTGCGGCAGAGCTTAGAGCAGAGGAGGGAGACGGCTAACATTTGGCTTTTTAATGGTTTGACGGGTTCTTTGAACGCTGCCCATTCAGTTCAAACTTGCATATTTTTCATGAACCTGCCTTCATCCACTGACAACATTAGAGTGCATTTGAACATTATTTCCTCTGGTGATGATAATATATTCTCTTTTATATTCATCCCACCCCCCAGAAAAATAAAAAATAAATAAACAAGTGCACAATAAAGAGCCGAACATCTTTGGTTGATAGTGTGACTGTTACTTGTGAGTAGTATACTCAGATTAGAGCAACTCGTGTTTCCCAGACTCTCAAGCAGCAGTTTCATTTGAATAAGAAAGTATTCCTTTTGAGTAAATGGACACTGTTGGGTTCCAGATCTAATGCCAGGTGCTCTCTCACTGTCTCCGAGTTGAAAACAGCGTGTGGGAGAGATGACAGTTTGCCTGAAGGAATGGATAAAGCAGGAGTGATTCATCTCATCTTCGTGCTAGCAAAACGGTTTTAATTCATCTCCAGCGAAATGCCACGTCCCACTCACACATGCATCAACACATACCTGATCAAACACATAACATGAGTCTTTCTCTTCACATTTCATAAGCACGGCATGCGTGGCTCCCAGGCATATCGTGATTGTCTGTCTGTTTATGTGTGGTGATAATAAATTCATTGTTTTTGTCAAAGTGGAGCAGACGGTCTCGGTGCAGTAGGGAGAACTGAGGAGATGCAACATGCATGAATCTGGCTGGAACAAGAAGCTCTCCCCGTAAGACTCCCTGTGTCCCACTTCTCTCACTGAAACCATAGATGAATTAGTGAAAAGACAAATTATCTTAAATATCTTACAAGGAGCCATGTTCCTGTAATGGGGTCTCGTCAGTTTTATTTTAATGCCGTGTCATGATATGTCTCAAATCTCCTCAGCTTTTAGGGTAATATTACTTAAACTGCAGGAAGCATGGATAATTTACACCCATGCAGATGTAATTTTCATGAGTTTGGGAGATTAGAGGAGATGGCTCCATCTTTCCTCTTCACATCCTTTCTTTTTTGTGTCTTATCTTCATGTTCTTGTCTTTTTTTCTCTGCTCTCTCTCGGTTTCTTTCCTGTCCCTGTCTTCTCGCTGTCTCATCTTGTAGGTGCATGGTGCGCTGACCCTGCCTGTGACAGGCGAGGAGTCAGAGGACCAGGGCCATGATTGGCTCTCCTGGCCCTGGTGGGCGAGCCTTGGTGCCATGCTTGAGGGTGTGGAGATGGGTCCTGGGTGCTTCCCTGGTTGCAATAATTACCTTGACGCTACCAGGAAGTAGCCAGGCTTGTCCCCCAAGGTGCGAGTGTTCGGCTCAGCTGAGGTCAGTGTCGTGTCAGCGGAGGAGGCTCACTAACATCCCAGAGGGCATTCCCACCGAGACACAGCTTCTGGACCTCAGCAAGAATCGGCTTCGCTGGGTTCAAGCAGGCGACCTGGCACCATACCCACGCTTGGAGGAGGTGGATCTCAGTGAGAACCTCATCGCTACATTAGAGCCCAATGCCTTTGCCACCCTTCAGAGTCTTAAAGTGTTGAAGTTAAGGGGAAACCAGATGAAGTTGGTGCCCATGGGAGCCTTTGCCAAGCTTGGTAATCTGACCAGTCTGGACCTCAGCGAGAACAAGATGGTGATTTTATTGGATTACACCTTCCAGGATCTGAAGAGTCTGAAACATTTGGAGGTGGGAGACAATGACCTGGTTTACATTTCCCACAAGGTAAGCTCTCCAGTATCTAGCCTGAATCAAAACTCTGTTATTGATAAGAAACTGGATAAGAAATTTAATTTCTAAAATTCTGCATGAAAATTTAATATCAAGAGGATCACACTTCCACTCTGGGAGTGGGATACATCTTTTTTTCAATTGATGCAGAAATGCCAAGCAGCTATTTGCCAACCATAGTACTTGTAGCACTGCCTGGTTTGGCACAGAAAAATGAAACTCAACATCTCTGAAAAAAAATGAAAATAATAAGATTGTTCATTTTTCTGCCAAGACTTAGATGAGAGAATTGATACCACTCAAATGTCTGAAGACAGAATATCAAGTATCCAGCCAGTATGAGAATATTTATTTAATCTACAAAAGCCAAAGGACAAGAAGTGATCGTTCGAGGCTTATTGTGGAGTTATGTATGGGTCAGTTTCTTGGATGGACACTAACTTTGCGAAGTATCTTTTACTAAATGGAGAAAGCTGTTTCCCTTCGTTACAGCCTTTATGCCGAGTTAAATTTAAGGCTGCAGAATTTAGACTAATATTGAAATAATGAAGGATAATTGTGTGGAAACAATGAAAGATTGGTGCAAAACAGCAATAATATAGATATTTCCTCAAGTATCTTAAAATGTGTCGATGTTTGAGAGGAAAAGCCAGACTATGATGTTTATGTAAATCTCTTCTTGATTTAATCATTGAAACCTTTTTTGCACCCCAGGCTTTTTCAGGGCTGGTGGGGCTTGAAGATCTCACAATAGAGCGGTGCAACCTGACATCCATCTCAGGTCAGACGCTGTCTTACCTCCGCAGCCTGGTTACTCTTCACCTGCGACACCTCAGCATCACTGCCCTGGAGGACCAAAACTTCCGCAAGCTCTCCAACCTGCGAGGTCTGGAAATTGATCACTGGCCGTACCTGGAGTACATCTCCCCCCTGAGTTTCCAAGGCCTGGACCTCCACTGGCTCTCCATCACAAACACCAACATCACCTCTGTCCCTTCCGCGTCTTTCAAGAATATGGTGCACCTCACCCACCTCAACCTTTCCTATAATCCCATAAACACACTTGAGCCCTGGGCTTTCAAGGACCTGCTGAGGCTGAAGGAGCTCATCATGGTGAACACAGGGTTGGTTTCTGTGGAGCCCCATGCACTCGGAGGCCTTCGACAGATCAGGGTCCTGAACTTCTCCTCCAATGACCTGCAGACTTTAGAAGAGGGCTCCTTCCACTCTGTCAACAGTCTGGAGACCCTCAGAGTGGACGGTAACCCCCTGATGTGTGACTGCCGTCTGTTGTGGATCCTGCAGAGACGCAAGACCCTCAACTTTGACGGCAGAGTGCCGGTGTGTGTGGGGCCGGTGGAGGTGCAGGGGGTCAGCCTCAGCGCCTTCACCGATTCTGCACTCTTCGATCACTTTACATGCCAGAAACCTAAGATACGCAACCGTAAGCTGCAGCAGGTAATTAGCATGATTACACTGAATTTCATAGCTCATGGAAAGTAAAGGTCTGTGGTTACAGGTCAGATTTTTCAGCTAATTGCTTTTACAAACACAAACAGTATTGTCTAACAGTCCTTGAATGTATCATCTGCCTGTTTTTGCTGACTCTTGCACTTTTCAGTCCATGCACTCCTCTCCTCTACCTTCCACAGGTAGTCGCTCGTGAGGGCCAGCCGGTGAATTTTCTGTGTCGAGCTGAAGGAGAACCTGCTCCTGCTATTGTCTGGATTTCCCCACAGCGCCGGCGGATCACAGCGAAGAGCTCAGGGCGCATTATTGTTCTCCCTAGTGGTACCCTGGAGATCCGCTACGCCCAGCTTACCGACAGCGGGACATACATCTGCATCGCCAGCAACGCCGGAGGCAATGACACGTACTTTGCCACGCTCACAGTGCGGGGCCAGCCACTCGATCCTGCCTCAGCCTTCTTTCTCAACCGCTCACTATACAGCGGCGAATTCTTCAACGACACAAATATGAACAGCACACGAGTTTTCCTCAAGTTCACCTTGGACCTGACCACTATCTTGGTCTCTACGGCAATGGGTTGCATCACCTTCCTGGGGGTGGTTCTCTTCTGTTTCCTGTTGTTGTTCGTGTGGAGCCGAGGTCGCGGCCAACGCAAGAACAACTTCACAGTGGAGTACTCTTTCCGGAAATCTGAACCCGCCACCGGCAGCTCCTCGGGAGGGACCAGGAAGTTCAACATGAAAATGATATGAAACAACGCAGCCAGGGGTCCCTCGGGGGAGGCATGAGCACGTCCCAAAAACGTGTTTGACACATGCAAACACACACAGCCACTGACTCACAAAGAAGTTTCACAGCATTAATATCAGTTCCTCTATTTGGCTCTATCTTAAATTGGGCTCCCACATCAAAAGTGAGGCCATGGAACAGTTTTTGATTTGTGAGAAAGCTTTAATTGACCCTAATCTCTCTTTTGGTTTAATTCAGCATGTCGTGGGAAGCATGTTTGAGGGACACTGTAAATTTGTCATCCAAGCTTTATAGAAATAAAAGAATTAAGAATTCTCAAGGATGAATTCATGGAAATTAGCATGATTGAGCTCTTAAATACTGTCAGACTAATATTTCTTTTCCCTTTTTAAGACAAGAAATGGAAGTCTCTTTTACTTAGACATAATCTAAACTGTTTTCTAGCCATCGTTCATTTATAGAAATTGGAGAGATGCTCTACATTCGTGTGCATGTTATGGATAATGCACGTAAAAATGCATTTGAAAGTTAAGTTGTAAATTAAAACCATTTAATAAAACAAGATGTTCTGAAAAGAAGTTTGAATATGTTTTTCCATAGAATAGATATTGGTCAATCTCATTTATTCTGACCATGGCTGAACAATGACGATGGTTCTTAGTTAAAATAAGCCAAAGCTCAGTGGAAGTAAAATGTGATCTGATGGTTAAATCGAACGATAAGTGACTGATTTGGAAATTTGAATTGAGTTACAAAGAGACCACAAAAAAACAAATTCGGACTTTTCTTCTTTGTGAGATTTTAAGATGTAAGCTGTGTGAGTTTGGGATGAGCACACCGACTGAGAGCTACTGTGGCTGCCCGTGGGCCGAAGGGCTTGGTTAGGAAGTCAAGCCCTCCGAACATGGGCTGCCACAGTAACCATAGCAACCAACACAAGGGAGAGCAAGGCTGGTGGCCACAGGAGGCTTGCTGGGTAGAGGGGGAATGAGGGGGTGGGCAATGTGACCTCTCCTTCCTTTCCTCTATATCAGAAGCCCCGTTCTTTCATCAGCAGGATGGGGTTGCGCTGCTAGCCTCCACCCTCAGTTCATGCCCTCTCATGTGTTGGTGGACGCCTGACCTTCCCAGTGCTGCCAGGGGGGAGCAGCCTGGAGGTTCGGGTCACACTCAGAGGCAGACAGAGGACACAGTGAGACCGCACACACATCCTGCTCATAACACACACACACACACACGCACATATACACATGTATGGCACCTTTTCTCAGGAAAAGTTAAACAGCAACCATCAAGAACAAGTGTGAACACACGTGTTTGTTAAGATATAACATTCCAGCAATAGCAACTATTTGTAGAGCCATAAAGCTGATGTTCATTCTCTAATAGAGAACTGATGTAAATGTCTGAGTGATAAAATGAAGCCATAGTTTGTGTTGGTTGTTTTTTATACTGTAGTGTGTGCATGAATCTGTTATATAATAACAATTATTTCTACTGCCATCGTACAAGCTGTCGTGATGATCAAAAGACCATCTGCTGTCACTGGGCTTGCATAAAGTTGCACCCAAAAACACACATGCACACACACGAGGCAAAACCAAGTCTATAACATTCAGATTTATAGAAACACCAAATCACAAAACACAAGAATAAGGATGGAAATTGATAAAGTACCACTACTATAATGCCCTCTCTCTGTTTCTGAGACAGTTGGTGTGCGAATGTCTCTGCCCCCCTAGCCCAGTGCATCCCCCCTCCTCAGCCTCACCTTTCCCCAAACACACCTACCCCCACTGGGTCCTCCTTTGGGAGGGGTCCCTGGCTGGAGATCGAGGAATCAAATGTAAATGAAGTCGTGTTAACCCTACCCACGCCATGTGCATCGTATAGTGGAGAGTAGTACTGTGGTTTAAAAAAAACAAAAGTACTTTCTTTGAAGTGATATGTTGACTCTTGTTTGTCCTCCATTTTAATTTCCTCAGTTGTTGTTCTCTGTGACCTTTTGGCTGTTTACCGTTTTAAATTTCTTCGTCCTCCGTGAGGGACTGTTCTGTTCTCAACACCTGATAACATTCCCAGACACTAGACAGCAGGTGAGCCTGTTCACACCTTACCTTGCATACTGAATTGAAACCAGGCGGAACAACGCTTTGACCAAGAAATCAGACATAATCTCAGTGGTTTCTAATTTTGTATGTAGATGACCTTTAGATGGGTAATTTGATCAGAATTATTTATTCAGGCCATGATCATATGGCACAGAACACACAATACAAATAACGTGGCCGTCATTCAAGTATTACTTTAACAATGTAGGAGCTCTAAATTCAATGGTGGCCTGGTTGAATTTGAGGTCAATGAATAGAACATTTTGGATCTCTCACTCAAACCTGGTTCATCACAAACAGGTGAATGATTAAAGTCTCTTGAAATTTGGCTCAAAATGGTAAAATGACATGATAAAAATAGTAACAATGCACAGGAATTTTGAAAACAAATTGAAACATCATGTTGAAGATCTGCTAAATTCTAAGAGACAGTTAAAACCTGAATCAAAAACAGGTCAGATTGCTGTTGATACTATTCCTCAATACTTCATCGTCCTCTGGCTTGTTTCACACCAACATTGGCTCATGTGACAATTATTTGACACGTGTCCAGCTTTTCATTTTAAGAGTTATCATGCACATTCATTCATGTGTGATAACTTTCTTATCAATGCATGATGATCATGAGCTAAACTCCCCCGGCTAGCGCTCAACACTTCTTGAGGACTAAAGATCAATTGTCGGCACTTCACTCTTTCAGCTGTAAATTGATCACCCTGGCCAACATTCGAGCTCCCAGGATCATTCTCACCCATCAATACTGTGCCTCCATTTGATGCAAACACAAGGTATAAAACAGACAAATAACATAAATATGACTTTCTGTGATTGGATTGTGGAATGAAGTAGCTTACAAATGAAACTTCACCGCATCAAATTGAAACTAAATGCTCGGAATTTTATAGATACCTAAGTTGTTTCAAACTTTAATTGGAACTAATACTTTTTAAATGTTAACTAATATTTAAAAATGAGGCTTTTTACATTAAAAGAGGTTGTTTGAGTTTCTATTTACTCAGAAAACCTTTCAAACACTGAAGGCAAGGTGTAGTAATTTCTCCAACTGTAGCCTACCACCAACAATGCTAGCCTGTCAATATTAAGTATGACCTATTGATGTAAAAATTAGTAGGAACAAATATAATGGGATGGGACTCTCAACTGGCAGCATTTTACAAAATATCCCTGGTAATATTATCATGTTGGCTTTGTTTGATATTTAGATTAAAAGGAGAAATGTGCCACTCAACCAAATTTTTCTATTTTTTTTTTTTAAACAGTGAAATGCATGATCACAGCTTGCTCTGAAACACCTAACTCTGTTATATCAAAATATCCCTTTTTTTACCGTACAAAAGAATGAAAGTGAAATGAAGGAGTCTAACCAGAAAGCTCTTTTTCAAAAAGTCAACACTGAAGTCTGATGATTGCCCAAAATACTGATGTTTTCATTAGCCTATCCTTGGTGACAAAACCTCAGTGAAAGTTTCAGGTGAAAATAATATCCCATGAGGAAAAAACACAATTTATTTCATTTTTTTTCTTTTACCTTATCGCTGAAGGCTGTCAAGCATTTTTACAACTTGCTGCAGGCACAAAGATGCTTACGTTCAATCTACAATACTGTAAAGCCATACTGCTGAGACAAAAGTGTCTATAAACACAAATCATAAGAATACAATTGGTAACTTTTACACCAACTGCTGTGACAGTCTCAATAGCCTGAGTTTTACTGGCAACCTTCTTTATAGAATATTTAGTAAAAGTTGCTTATCACCAGAAACAGGAGAAACTGAACCAGACAAAGAATCATTAATAGTCCAGACTGCTAACATTAGCTTGGCAACATTCCAAGTCATGGTTTATGAATTTGTCAACAACTTATTCAACTTTTTGGATAATTCAACAAAGAGTTTGTTTTGTTGCTTCACTTTTGAGGACAAATTCTAAAATTTTGGCGACAACAACAAAAACTGCAAACTTCAGTACAAAAATAAAGGGGTTGCGGGTGAACATGAGTCCCAAATCATTAAAATTCCTGCAAGATAAATCCCTGCAAACTCAATTTCCTTCCCTCAGGAGAGGCTGATGAAACCACAGCTTGGCGTCAGGAAGAATAACTGAACAGCTGCTAAAGATTTATTAGTCTGAATGAGAATAGATGTTCAAATCGGCCTGGTTTTTCCATCGCTAGTGTTCACAGTGTGAGCGTCCATTTCTGTGTTGAGAACAGGACATCCCCTTCATGGATGTCTCTCTCTCCCTTAGCCTGTCCTTTTGTGTTTTCAATCCCCTGTATTTCTCAGTGAAAACTAGGTTTTAGAAGACAATGAGAATGTCTATAGTGATCGTCGATGGTGTTATTGTGCAAACATCAATCAGAAATGTAAGCGTAGATGAGGGTGTGTTTCATTTTATAATCTTCTTCGCCTCCTCCTCCTCCTCTTTACCCTCTTCTTTCCCTGTCCCTGTTTCCTATCTTCTGAACATTTCCATGCCCTGTTGTCCCAGTTCACAGTATTAGGCTGGAATATGGTTGTGTGGTAGTAGACACGTGTTCTGTCTGGTTGGTGAGTCAGTGTTGTCGTGCTATGATTTGTCGCTCTTCGTGATTCCATCGTAACAGCGAGCAGCGACTGGACTGAAAAGATGAAAGGGGTGACCCAGGTTCCCTTAACAAAAACAGAAACAATATCGGTTCCCATTTCACACCCTCCTCATTTCTGGGGAACAGTTTCTGGAACTTTCTCGCACTGCACAGTGCCGCTCTGGAAATGAAAACCCATGGACTGTACTGTATGTATTTTCTGACATGATATCTTGTCACTTTTTATCTCGCAAATGTAGAAAGGGGGAGTTGGTTTGCTGTTGTAATACCATGACTATGAGCCTACACTCACTTTCGCCTACTGTGATATGCTGAGTCATTTTGACAAGGATTAGCATTAAAGCAGTCTATTAGCTGAAAACTGACATATTTATGCTGGTCTGGGTTGAAAATAAGTGCTTGTGTCAATTCAAGCGTCACAAGCTCTTGAAATCTAGGGGAACTCATTTACCTTCAAGCTAAATGCTCTGGCTTCAGATTTCTTCACCTTCAAAAGGTTTAGGGAAACATCAAACATTTCAATGGTTGTAACTGACATCTAGTCTAACAATTATCTAGCAGCTCTCTTTTTTTCCAACAAAGAGTGCCAGTAAACACAGCTTTGCAGTCAAGCCATCGCCTCCGTCTGGCAGAAAGACCCTTGTGTTAACAGATACTAGAGGAGCTGAGCTCGATTCATCTTCTCTGCTGTCGTTCTTAAGAAACTAGGCTGAGTGATCCCCTGCTCCCTCCTCAAGTTTGTCCTTGCCTTAGGTTGGTGTACTGTAGTCTAGACACCCCATTTACAACAGCAGCAGCAGCAGCCTCACTATCAGGAGGCTACCAAGGCAAAGCCTAAAACACAAATAATCCCAGCATCATCATCATCAGACAAGCTGATGTTAATGTTTATAATTATTATTATATTGCACCGTTATCTACTGGTAAATTAAAACAGACTGTGCTTTCAGTCTTTTTACATCTGGCTAAGAACAGAGAATTTGTGTCTAACCTTTTAGACTGCATGTCAACAGCCTCAGTTTTCCATCATTTCTGACTATAGCTTTTAATGAATCCATCTCCCGCTCCATATTCTTCAGCTGCTGTTGTGATTGGATTAGACCTGAGTTGAATAATCAGAGCCGAGAGGAGCAGTAATGGAATGACTGTGGCATGAGCTCGGCTGATTGGGTGATTACGCGGTATATTAGTCCCGTTTCCATAACAGACTTCTTAGAGTAGTGTACCATTAAAACACTCTCTTATTTACCTCCTTGTTTTCTATGGCTTTTTGCAAAGCTGTTGACTTGAAATACAACCTATGATTTTCTTTTTTCTGTAATTGAACAAAGACGCTTTTAAAAAGCACTATTTCTTTGACTGATATTTCCTTGTAACTGGACATGTAGCAGAGCATTGAGCATTGCTGAAGGATTGTTTAAAGCACCTTAGTCAGACAAATGCTTCATCTTACAGTAACCTTGACCAGATGATTACAAGCGCTCCCCTTCTCTATGTGACAATACAGACCCCAAGTGGTCAACGTGTGGAACAGCAACTAATGGGACCATTGTGTTGATGTTGGTAGTCTTGCATGAGGTGAGAAAATAAAAACAACAGCTCTGGGTGTCATACAGTGAAACACTGCAGAGAGCATATTGACTGTTAGCTTCACAAGTCAGTGCTTCACTGATTTTCTTATAGCCATAGTGTGACCTCCTCTAGGCTCTGGTTATTTGGAGTTGCCAGAGGAGGCCTCCATCCCATTAAAAGCAACAGTTCTGACTTGGTTTTTGGGGCACAGTCTGTAGATAAAACAGATACACTCTGATGCCCTCTGCCAGTTTTACCACAAATACATCAAAGAAAAAAACAACAAAAAGTCATGGCATCATTCTTCCGCTGTAGTTGACTAAGAGCTAATTGGTTATTTCCTCTAAAGAGAAAAAAATTGCTTTCTTTTGGTCTTAGCAGGTTAAATCTATGCATGCCTTTTGTACACAGTGATTGGTCTTGCCAAACTCTCACCTACACTTGTACGGAGAGCTATGGGTGCCATTGTTGCTGGCCATGGGACTGGTTGAAACAAACTTTAAAAGTTTCTTTTTTCTTTTTTTTTTTTTCTAATCTAGGGCCAACAACCTGCAACTGCATTCCCCAATATTTCAGAGACTGCATCTTTCAAAGAAGGCATTTGTTTCCTCGGGGCGATTGTCCTTTTCACTTATCTATCCACACACAGAGGATCAGCTCTAAAGTATAAGCTGTAGATCAAATCATTGATATTCCAAGCAGGATGGTGGGACTGATCAATGCTGTATGGGGATAGGATTATTAATGGCATACTTCTATTGATCTAGCTTGAACCTTGTCACTCTCCCACAATCCCTCTGGAGTAGGAGGAGGTGTACAGAGCTCTATCAGACCTGGTTGGCACTCATTCCTAGGTTTCTGTGTTACCTTTTAAGATGATTTCCTCTTGAAAACGAGATGGTGCCAGAGTTTTTTCCAGGTCTGAGCTAATGTAGCGCTCTTGTACCCCCCTCACTCTTCAGAAGGCAGCTATAATGGGTATAGCTCTGTATTTATTGGAGCCCTCTAATGAGAAGTACTAAAATGTTTTTCTGAAATTTGGCCTGAGAGTAAACCTGCTCTCCTCTCTCTCTTTCTCTCTCTCTCTTTCTCTCTCTCTTCTTCCTTTACCGTCACTCTGGCACCAACCTCGTTAAACATTTATCATTTATAACTCTCAGTTTTTTTGACTAATTTGTGTTTGTTCCTCCTTGTTAAAACAGTCATTAATGACTCCTGAAACCTAGGAATGAGTGCAGTGTGCTCCATTAAATGCAGAGCTACAATAAGAAGAGGTTGTACAGCTTGTGGAATCGAACAGTGTGAACAGATCAATCATTGAAGCATATGGCTGGCTTTCAAAGATACTGTTATACAGTAAGCACCAAATCTGAAATCCAGCACATCTGACTGTACTAGATTTATAGCATTTATATTTAGGATTAGTGTGGATCCTTGGATGTGAAGAAATTTAACTGTACATATTAGATCTTTTAGCCATATCATGTCATCTAATCTGTAGACCTCCTTGCCATGTCTGACAGAGGAAAATGACTGTTGAACTGTAAATAGTGTAGGTATAGTGATATAGGATATAACTGCTGTTTCTTTTCTCCAGGGATCACTTGTTTTGCTCAGTCCCATGGCTACTTGGTCTCAGAGGGAAGGATGAGATAATAATGTACTTGTCTATAAAACACATATGGGTTCTTTTTTTATTTCAATGTATGTTTTTTAAACTGTCTGTCTTGTAAATGAACTCCTTTTCGTCATAAAAGCATGATGTGACTCTGTCAAAAGTGTCCTCTGTCTCTTCTTGTTACCTGACTTTGTTCAGACATCATCAAAATTTGACAAACTGTGACAGGCAACAAAAGCATTATGATGCAGTTAATTTTATAGATGAAAACGCAGCATGTCAGTTTAAATGCTCTGGAAATGGACACTCTCCATGAGTACAATGACCAGGAATCGAGTTGTGAAAAAAAATCAGGTGGGATAGTGGATTTTATTGTTTGGGACAGATATTTTGTTCTGATGACAGTGCATATAGTGGGAAACCAACTGTGTATCCATTTTATTATTGCTAAAAGATAATTATTATATTACAGGGGTATTACAGGGTTCTCACTCACACAATCAAAATATAGTGAAAAACACATACGTAGTCAGAAAAATATGGTGATGGTGATAATTATTTACAGCCCGCCTTTCAAGCTGCAGTGCAAAAATATTTACAAAAGTGCAAAAAATGGTCAAATACTATTTAAAGAATGTACAAGGCAGAAAGAAAATGCCAACAAGGCAAGAGCTGTACTATAACTCGACTCTAACACAGCAGCAATACAGAAGTCAGTTTGGCAGTCACTGTTCATGCAACAAACTCCAGACTTAAAGAAATAGTGTTGTTTGGTTCGCGAATGATTCGTTCAAAAGAACCAAATCTTTTTTTTTTTTTTTAATAATCAGATTTTATTCAATTTTTAGAACATAACAACAATACAGCATTGCATACATCAGTAAGGTCTGAGCAAGTGGAAACAGATGAATAAGCAGAACTCAGTAAAAAAAAAAAAAAAAAAAAAAAAAAGAAAGAAAAGGGAAAAATAAATAAATAAATACATATATACACATACATGTCCCTGCACCTGATATGAAAGATTTCTTACCACCATTCACCTCATTCTGTAACCTTCTAGGCCAGTGTTTCCCCTCTCGATAATTTCACTTAGATCCTTAGGCAGATAATCCATTAGAGGCCGCCATATGTCCATAAAAATGTCATTATTTCCTTTCAATTTGGCACTTAGTCTTTCCATAGGAAGGACTCTGAAAATTTCTTTGTACCACTGGGTTACAGTGGGGGGTTTCTCACTTATCCAATTAAATAATATGCATTTTCTGGCCAGAAGTAAAAGTTTATTGAGTAATTTCGATCTTTTTGCATCCATAACTCTATTCACTGAAGGTAGACCTAATAGAAACTGGCCTGGATCTTTACATATCCTGTGTTTGAATATTGCTGACACCTCCTTAGATACACAAGACCAGAAAATCGAGATTTTCGAACAGTTCCAAAAGCAGTGCATATAAGTCCCACTTGACGTTTTACATTTCAGGCACAATGGTGATCTATTGGGGTCAATTTTGTTCATAACATGAGGTGTTCTGTGTTGTCTGTGGAGTATCCTATATTGCATTTCTTTAAATTTACTGTTGAGGAACAGCGAATGAGTGGTCCGAATACATCCCTCCCATGCATCTTCATCATATACCCTTTGAAGGTCCTCCTCCCATCGCTTAACCAGCCCCTCAACACTATGTTGGTTACAACTCTGAAGGCTATTATAAAAGTATGTGATAAGACCTTTCTTCACTGTAAAATTAATTATGAACTTGTCAATTGGTCCCTTCAGTGTTTCTGTTTGAGATACTTTAAGATTCGTATTGATGAAGTGACGGGCTTGAAGATATGCAAAAAAATCTTTTGGTGGAAGACCAAATCTATTTTGTGCTTGTGAAAAGGACATGAGGACATTGTTATCATCAAACAAATCTCCAACCACTCTCACGCCCTTTTCCCACCAAGAGCCGAACACAGCATTTTCAACACCAGGTAGGAAGTCCCTGTTGCCCATGAGTGGGGTCAAGTAAGAAAAGGCACCCCTCCTACCCACAAACCTTTGCATGTCATGCCATATTTTAATAGAGCTATGAAGTAATGGGTTGTTCCTTACTTGGGGAAGAGCAGATTTTTTGCAAGTGAGTTCCCCTAATAGTCTAAATGGGACACATGCCCAGGATTCAAGTGGGTCCTCTGTCCCCTTTAAGTAGCAGTGAACCCATTCACATATGAATCTACTATGACAAGCCCAATTATAAAGTCTGATGTTAGGGAATGCTAGACCTCCACTGCCTCTCGGGAGCTGTAGGGTCCTCATACTTAACCTGGGTTTTTTATTTTGCCAAATGAACTTTGAGAAATCCTTTTCAACCTCTCTTGCTAACTTTTTAGAAATAAACAAAGGCAACATCTGCATGGGATAGAGCAGCCGAGGCAAAGCATTCATTTTTAACAAATTAATTCTGCCCATCCAAGAGATTGGCAGATCCATCCACCTGTTAAGATCACTCTTGATATCTTTATGTACAGTGTCAAAATTTTTTCTAAATAAATTCTTAATACTCTGAGACACAAAAATACCCAAGTATGAGAACCCTGAAGTAGACCAAGAGAATGGAAAGTTTGGTATGTTTGGTATATTATTACCATATCCAATTGGCATGGCCATTGATTTATTAAAATTAATCTTGTATCCAGAGAAGGATCCAAAGGTCTGGATGACTGACATTAAAGCTGGTATAGACACCTCGGGGTTAGTGAGAAAAAGAAGAACATCATCCGCATATAATGCAATCTTATGTGTTGAGGAATTAATTTTGAAACCCATTATGCTGTTATGTCTTCTAATAGCCTCTGCCATTGGTTCAATGGCCAATGCAAAAATAAGTGGGGACAGAGGGTCCCCCTGTCGAGTGGACCTCCCCAACCCAAACTCCGATGATTTAATACCGTTTACAAGAACACTCGCTCTGGGTGAGAAATATATCAACTTAGTAAGTTTAATAAACCCCTCCCCAAGTCCAAATTTTTCCATGATCGTGAATAAATAGGGCCATTCCACGCGATCAAATGCCTTTTCGGCGTCAAGTGAGATAACAAGACCCGGTACCTGATTAGTATTTGCATACTGCATAATGTTAAGTAATTTTCTCATATTGGTATAAGAGTTCCTGCCTTTAATAAAGCCCGTCTGGTCAGATCCAATTAGAAGTGGCAAGTAGTTCTCGAGTCTCTTCGCTAATATTTTAGAAAATATTTTACTGTCCACATTCATCAGGCTAATAGGCCGGTATGAGCCGCACTCGTCAGGGGGTTTTCCCTTTTTAAGGATTAAGGATATATTGGCAGCATACAATGAGCATGGTAGGGAGCCCTTCTCTATTGAGTGAAGGAACATCCTTAGCAGAGGTCCATCTATTAAGTTTACTAATTTTTTATAAAACTCTGGACCATAGCCATCTGGCCCCGGGGCCTTTCCATTCTGCAGGGAATTGATTGCATTTTTAATCTCTTCCTTAGTTATTGGTTTTCCAAGAGTGGATTTATCTTCTTCTAATAAGGAGGGGAGACTAAGCTTATCTAGAAAACTCTGTATACAGTTGGGTGATGTATTGGATTCTGAGGTATAGAGTTTTTCATAAAAGCCCTTCATTATCTCCACCATTGTTTTGGTCTCATAATGATTTTTCCCAGTTTCGTCCTTTAAGGAGGAGATAGCTCTAACATCTCGCCTACCAGCTGCCAAGCGTGCAAGAAGTCGCCCTGGTTTGTCACCCATTTCAAACAATCTATGTTTTGCATAAAAGATACTTGCTTCTGCCTTTTGTGTAAGAAGTTGGTTGAGAGCAGATCGTGTGGCTTCTGCTTTTTTGAACAGGGCTGTAGAATAATTATCCTTTAATTGTCTATCAAGATCAGTCAGTTGTCTCTCCAAATCCAGCTGCTCTCTCAAAGCTTCCTTTTTTCTGGCTGTGCTATATGAAATTATGGCTCCCCTCAAGTAAGCTTTGAGTGTATCCCAAAGTATTGATGGATTAGTATCCTCGTTATCATTAGTTGAAAGAAAAATATCAATTTGTTCTTCCATAAAAGTCATAAACGAGGGATTATTAAAAAGAGAGGGATTCAGTCGCCAGTAGCATGGTGTGGGCTGGGGGGCGGGGGGGGTAATTGTGATGGATACATCTGCATGGTCAGATAGTAGCCGGGTACCTATAGTACATTCCTCCACCCTATCTAACACCATCCTTGAGACAAAGAAGAAATCTATACGGGAAAAACTTTGGTGTGGGTGTGAAAAAAAAGTATAATCTCTCTCCCTCGGGTGGATAGTTCTCCAGGCATCAAAAAGCTGTACGTCAACACATAGCTCTTTAGTGGCCTCCCTCATTTTAGACGTGGCTTTTGTCATGGGGCTTTGGTCTACCTCAGGGTTCAAAACACAGTTAAAGTCTCCTGCAAGTATACTGAATGTTGCAGACATTGCTGAGGCATCAGCTAGCAGTTTAGAGTAAAATTCCTCTTGGTACACATTCGGAGCATATACACAACCAATCATTATATGTTCCCCATACAAGAATCCTGTAATAATCACATATCGGCCTTGGCAGTCTTTAATACATTTTTGTAGAGTAAATGGGGTATTTTTATTTATTAGGATGGCCACCCCTCTCTTATTTGTAGAAAATGAGGAATAATAAATTTGTCCTACCCATTCTCTCTTAAGTTTTTCATGTTCCTTATCATCTAAATGGGTTTCTTGTAACAGGGCTATGTTAGTTTTTTTCTTTTTTAGCCAGCATAACAGTTTTTTACGTTTAACAGCATTATTTATCCCTTTTATGTTAAATGAGACATACTTAGTGGTGTTCATCTTTCTACCCAGTTAGATGACTGACTACGAATGCATCTAACGTTAAAGCAAGGCACATAAAAGAAACAGTACAAGGGCACAAGCGGAGGTGAGGGAAAAAGACAAACTTCAAACAAATTAAGATAAGGGAAATAGGAAAATAGAAACAAAGTAAGTAGCAGACCTAACTCGCTCTCTTTAAACTTGTAGTCAAACAACAAAAGTACCAGGAACATATACTCATCAATGAACACACTCAACTGAAACGAACCTGTCCCTTTGGACACAACTTGAACAGTCCTCTCAAGGATACAAAACAAAGGGTCCCTTGGAGCTGGGAGGAAACGACGCGCGTTGTGGGTGCACTTGACCCCGATCCACAGTTGTAGTCCGTGATCTGCGGCCGTCATGACATCCACTCACTCCCGACTCGGACCCCCACAGTTAAGTCACCTTACATGTAGCCAGTACATGGCAAAGTCAGCTGTATCAGTGCGTGGCAGCTCAAAAGGCGCTGAACCCGCGGGGTGGTATATAAATTCAATTTAACAACGCACATCTGCATTAAACACAACGTTGTGTACCTTTACTTGTACACCTAAGCACCCCGCTCAGCGCACACTGCTGTAGGCTAATTTTTTTTTCACGGTACTCACGGGGCTGCATCCATTGCCCCGATAATGTGGGCAGCCTCCTCAGCTGTGTCGAAGGAGAAATCCTTGCCGTTGTAAGTGAAGCGGAGGGTCGCCGGGTACTGCATCCTGAACCTGATATGCTTGGAGATCAGCTTTTGGCACACCTCATTAAATCTCCTCCGTTGCTGCAGGACATTTTGCGGGATGTCTTGGCGAATGGAGATCCTGGACCCTTCGTATTCCAGCTTCTGTTTCGCACCAACCGCTAGTATCTTCATCTTATCCGCCGGGTAATGAAGCTTCATGACGACTACGCGGGGCACCCCCGGTTTAGGTCGACCGAGACCTCTATGGCATCTGTCCAGTCGGATCCGGCCTTTCTTTGTTTCCATGCTAAGAAGTTTGGGCAGCCATGTTTCAAAAAAGTTCAGTGCGTTGCTTCCTTCAATCCCTTCTTTGACACCGAAAATCCTGATGTTATCCCTCCGGGATCTTGCCTCCTGGTCATCCATGCGGTTAGCGAGGGCTGCGAGTTTATTTTCCGTATCTGCTAGTCTGCTCTCCAAATCAGCAATGATGTCTTCGGCGCTGGAAACGCGATTTTCCACCTCCTCAATACGCTGTGATTCGCTTTCCAGCTTGGCCGTAATGATATCCAGTTTGTTGGAAAACATAGACATCTTCTCTTCCATGATGGCTGCAACTTTGGCCGTAGTCTCCGCTGCCACCGCCGCTGCCAGGTCAGCGCCACCTGTTAGCTCGCCGTCTTTAGCATTAGCCCCGCTAGCGTTATCAACTTGATGGCTAAAGCTTCTCTGGACCGGGGCTTTTACGTTCTTATTTGTCGGCATTTCTCGGTCGGGGATGTTCATCAACCACTGACGTCCCAATATGTTGAGTCTGGCTACAAATATAACTCTTAAAATATAAATTTGTGGGTAATCTCGCCGGGAGCTATCTGGCCTCGATCCTCTCAGTATGACGACATCACCGGAACCCGACAGTGTTTCTTTCAAGAACCAAATCTTTTAAGTGAACGCACTGAACCAAATCACTTCCTCGAGTGATTCGTTCGTTTCTCACTTCTGTTGAGTTGAAGTGAGAAACAGCATTGCCAGTCGAGCAGCCGGTGAACGAGGGACCACATGCACCAACACCTGAATCTCTAGGTGAACGAATCACGTATTGAACTACACTCTCTGGAATCATTTTTGAGGGACAAAACTACCTTTCTTTTTTTTAACTGCTAAATTACCACCACAACAACTTGCATACAATAGGACACAGCATGTAACAAGTAGTGAATTAAACCTGCAGCATCCTATCATTGCAGCGATTTGCGAGGGAACGGTGCATGTTCAGTTTGAATTCCTCTAAACGTTCAGTAAACCAATCACTCACTGAGCCCAACTTACCGAGCAGATCTGATAAATAGCATACCATAGGACAGTACACCTAAAACATCATAACTTATAAACAAGTTCATTTTTACAAACCTGTTTGCCAAAGCAACACAGCCAAACACTCTCGTCTCCCAGTCCCAGAAGCTATGGATTGAATTGAATCCTGAACCGTTCAGCTGTGTATCAGTTCAGGAGGTCCGAGTCGCTGGCTTCTCCCACCAAGCGCTACATGATTCAGTGATTTGATGAATCTTTTTAGTAAACTGATTCTAGTGATTCAGTACAACTTAAAGAACTGCCGTGCGCATAACTACAAAACCCCTCCCAGTGGGCGTTATTAATTACATAAGTTTGGAAAAAACACATTTATTCACATTTAAACCATTTTTACCATTTCTAGCCTTCAGACCTTTTTCTGTAAGTTTTTACCATTTTAACCAAGTTTTTACACAAATCAACAGAGCTTTAATTTTTATGGGATTCGTGGCAAACAAAGGAATTAATTTTTTTTGCATCATGTGACCACTTTGACCCGCCATACCCACCTATTTTACACCCGGAAATCACGCGCTCTGTTTCTCATTTGGAAACCCGAGCCGGCATGATGGCATGAATGAATGGACGCCCGGCAAGTAAGTGGACGGATGAATATCTGTGTGAATGAATGTTTAAGTTAGCTGATAGAGCTTCAACTGTGCACTCTTGGTTACTCTATCCAACAAAGAAGTAAGAAGGGAAAATAGCGCTGTTTCGTGGGTAATTCGCGATGCAGGCGGGAAGGGGAAATGTTTGGCGTGAATGTAGACTGTATGTGTGTATGTGTCCAAGCACTGCCCGCAACTCTAGTACTGAAAACGACTGTATGTGTATTACAAAGAGGTGTCATTGTGGCAGACTCACCAAAAACTGACACCCATGAAGCCAATTCAGTTTATTCACAGTATTTTAGACACCAGAAAGCAACTTATTTTAGAAATAAATGCTACACAGTCTGTACACATGCTGTACAGTCCCAAATGTTGAACAGTTAACATAGTCAACAGCTAATGAGAGGGTTTAGCAACATTAGAAGATATTTTCTTTGGTAGGGTTAGGGTTAAGCTATATACAGTCAAACAGGAAGCTAACAAGGCCCTGAGTGGATGGCATCTATAGTTGAAACTAGAAGTTTACATACACTATATAAAAAAGCACATGACCTTTTTTTTCTCACCGTCTAACATTAAATCAGATAAAACTTTTACTGTTTTTGGTCAATTAGGATTACCAAAATTATTTTTATTTGCTAAATGCCAGAATAACAAAAGAGAGAATTTTTTAGATAATTTTTAAATTATTTTCTCCAGAGTCAAAAGTTTACAAACACTGAGATGACTATGCCTTTAAACAATTTGGGAAAGTCCAGATGATGATATCATGTCTTTGGAAGACTCTGATAGGTTTATTGACAACATTTGAATTAATTAGAGGCACACCTGTGGATGTATTTTAGGGCACACCTAAAACACACTGCCTCTTTGTGTAACATCATGGGAAAAATCAAAAGAAATCTGCCAAGATATCAGGAAGAGAACTGTGGACCTACACAAGTCTGGTTCATCCTTGGGTGCAAGTTCCAGATGCCTGAAGGTGCCACTTTCATCCATTCAAACAATTGTACGCAAGTATAAACACCATGGGAAGGTCCAGACATCATAACGTTCAGGGAGGAGATGGGTTCTGTGTCCCAGAGATGAATGTGCTTTGGTCGGAAATGTGAATAAAGTCATGTACAAGCAAGGCGGCCTACAAACTTGGCTTAGTAACACAGTTCTGTCTGGAGAAATGGGCCAAAATTCCTGCAAAGTATTGTGAGAAGCTTGTGGAAGCATATCCAAAACATTTGACCCAAGTCATACAATTAAAAGGCAGCTACCAAATACTAATGAAATGTATGTAAACTTTTGACTCTGGAGAAAATAATAAAAATTGTCTCAAAATAATTTTGGTAATCCTAATTGACCAAAAACAGGAAAAGTTTAATCTGATTTAATGTTAGACAGTGAGGAAAAAAAGGTTATGTGCCTTTTTATATAGTGTATGTAAACTTCTGATTTCAACTGTATAATGTCTTTGGTGGTAAGAAGGATGGGTTTTTGGGACATATCTCTAGTAGGAAAATCACAAAAGGCCAATTTTGATGAATAACCACAACAGCTCTAATTCATTCAAGTATCCAGACACTAACTGTAGAAAGTAAGCTAGCACATCAGGATCCTGGAACTAAAGCATATGAATGGATTCAAATAGATATTTCCTCGCCCTACAATGCCATGTAAAATATTGTTACTTTATCATTAACACTTTGGGTCCTTACAAAAGGCCTGTGCCACAGTGGCCTAATTCACAATGTCTGTTTTTCAAGTCGACAAATGCATTAAAGGTTGTAAATTTATGTTAAATCAACCTGCCCAGAAATATTGGTGCATATATTGTTATCTTGTTTTCTACTTTTAAAAAAATCAAACAGCATATGAAAGTCCCTTTTTAGCTTGCCATTTTGTATTAACAAAGGAAAATTCTGGAAAAAATCCCAAAACCAATCTAAAATTTATTGAAGAGGTGTCTTTAAATGGTTTGATTTTTATGGGCTACAGTTATGAATTTCAGATATTTTATTTCCTATGGTATGAAATATCTGTTTAATGGATCTCTTTATTCAGGCTTTCAAAACCTACAGCTGCTGTCTTAGTCCAATATTCAGCTGGAAATGCTGTAAAATAAATTTCAGTCTGACTACCTTTATAGCTTTTATTCTTCTTTAACACTTCTAACTTTTATAGATTTTATAGATTTGAATTTTAGCACCCCATGATTGTAATATCTGTTTAAGTGGAAAATGTGTGCAGCTCTTCAATGGGATCTTACTGTGAGGCAGTTGTTTACATTTCTCTCTTACACCACTAGATGGCATAAAAGCACCACAGTAAGGAAGCATCATTGGAAAAAAAAAAAGTCAAGCCAGTCAGCCAATTGCTTGTTTCTTTATTTGTTTTAGTCAAACACAATTTACCCATACTGGTTTTCTCTTGATGTAGTATTTGTTCCAGTTATTACTTGACTTTCCCTCCACAGGCTGAAGGCAGACCATCATGACTGACAGACTCACCGAGATGCTTGGAGATGACGATCAGAAGAAAGGCTCTCTGGGGGTCGCCTGTGTGTGTGCGTGTGTGTGTTTGTGCATGTGTACTGTGCATATATGTGCAGGCATTTGATCATCTTCGATTGGGTGTCCACTTAACAAGTCCGATCTCCCCCACCATCAACCACTGTTCCCATTGTAGCCCAAGGGAGGGTCCTGGGTGCCCCGGCCTACACCGTAAAGGTCACTCAGCAGAGGTTAAAGGTGAACACACACACACACACACTACCCTCTGAGAGCCATCCTTCCTCCTCTCCCCCCATCTCTGATGTCCAGTCAGAATATCTGCCCTCCTCCATCACTCTCTCCCTCTCTCCCTCCTTTTTTGTCTCTGCTCTATTTGAAATTGATTGTCTTCTACCATCACAAAGACACTTGGTTCTGATTGATTGATTGGTAAGGGAAGAGGGAGAGAACATCGACACTGGAGTTTCCAGAGCGCTGAGGTCTGTCTTAAAGAAAAAGAAAATGACGGCATTTTGATGCACTGGGAGACACCGTATTTCAGCAGCCCGACTGTCTATCTGTTTTTTTTCCTCAGCTAGCTCATAAAACAGACAAACACTCAGACTGATCGAACTCTGGATTAAACACAAATGAGCTGAAATACAAGAACAAAACAGGGAAACTCACATACTCTCACTGTGTGGTAAGACAAAGGAAAGATACAGACGTGAAAGTGCAGGGGTTATTTCTACACAAAGGGAGGGTTACAACAGAAGGGAAGAATGTGAGGAAACAGATATAAATACACAGATTTTATACAAATACACAAACAGCACATAAAACGCACAAAGTGAAAGGAAAATGAAGATTACTCTGAAACCAAAACCCAGTTGTTTTCCCTGTTTCTCTCCCTCTTTTCCACCTGTAGAGGTACAATTCATCCTGCAGTTTAATATACACTTATATAGTATCCATGCATAAAAGAATCGCTCATCCCAACCGTAATGACAGCGGTGCTTTGGTTGGTACTCTTACTTTTTTAATATGGGAATCATTTTAACACACATATGAGACAATCTTCGAACAAAAATCAAGCCAGAAAATGATATAAAACATGAATGAGTGTCCTTACTGCGTCATTTTTTTCAATTATCAATTATTTGAATTCTGTGTATATTTTTTATCCTTCTATACTGATTTCTTCCTCCTTTAATTTCGAATTTTTTCATATGACCTTTCCTACGTCTTATTCTCTATTTCTTCATACATTACTCAGAATTTTAAAAAGCTCCAAAAAGGACTACGTGCACACCTACTAATAATAAGTTAACCAAATCAAAAGATGTAAAGCCATAAGACGACTCATACTGCACGTGCTCCCTTAAAGAAATGAAAAAAATGGAACAATCATTTTGCCGTGACTTTTAATGTCACTCTCATTGCTAGACATTGTCATTATTGTTTTACTACATTAACCTTAACAATAAAGATTTGAGGTATATCAAGATGAATTGTCTACACATGCCTGCCTTGTCGTGATGCTACCCTGGACGGAGGGACCAGCAGAGAGGGTTTAGATGGGACGGGGGGTTCACTGGCTGGGGGTCATGTCTCTTTTGGAGCGTCATCTTAATTCATATAATGACGGGAAATTAATTTGGATGAGAGCCAATGATGGCGCCGGGTCAGAGAGCTTTGTAAACAGTCAGATACACACAAACACATACACTCTGATTATAAATTACACAAAAATATCTCTGGTGGGAGTGTGTGTGAGTGTGTGTATTGCGTAAAAACATATGCAACAAAGAAAACATGATGGTCATAAACAATTTTTGTCCCTCATTGTGTGAAAAAGGTGCTCTCTGATTTTAAACAAAAAGGTCTTGTAATGTTTGTGGTCCCCTCCTGTTTCGCTTCCCATTCATTTCGACACTGTGTGTTTGTGTTTGTGTGTGTTGGGGTGTGTGTTTGTGTGCAGAGCAGTCCATCCCCTGGTTGAAGGAAAAAGGCACTCAACTCTTTTCCACATAACAAACACTTATGTGTTCGCAATGCAGCATGACTGCTCTGTGGAGGTATGTATGCAGACTTAGATGAATACTTAAATGTCTGCGTGTGTGTGTGTGTGCGTGTGTGTGTGTGTGAGTGTGTGTGCGTGTGAGTTGGTTTGGCCAGTGTGCACATTCCAGGTCCAGTGTGAACAGGGCAGGCTTGAAGTATCTTTGGTATTGATGGCTGTGTCGCAGTCCTCTCTATTCTGTGAGGTAGCCACACACACACGCACGTCTGTTCCCATCACTAAACCTCTGCTTTTGATTTTTTTAAACATCTGCACTAAGTCTTAAATGACACCTCCAATAGGGAGCCTGTTATAGTGCACTTCAAAATGGCCACAACCCAAACACGGAGGAATGTCACTTAAATGTTTTCTCACGATGGACCTCTGAGGCTCCCACCTCCCCTGCTGCACCCTCCTGTCTGCGTCTCCTCTCTAATATGATTATCTCCCGCTAGAAGATGCTACACAACAAGTGGCTTTGCCCACACATTAAAAAAAAAAAAATCTTAAATACACAAAATTAAATGAGGCGGTTCTCATGGTAACCAGAAATCACCATCAGCAGAGGAATGCAGTGACAGTCCCGTTCAAAGCACTCAAATCTCAGAGATCCATTTTGGAAGAGGTCTGTCCATCCCATCACAGCCGTATTCACAAATATGCACAGTTTGTCACTTCCCTTTCTGTCTGTGCATAGGATCAGTTCATGACATGATAACATTTTTTCATCTTGAAGTTTTTTACATTTTGTCCACAAGGTGCTTCTTTACATATAGTTTCAGCACAACATAGCACAATAGTCACGAGAGAGAAACCATGTGTCTATGGTACTATTATTACCCGCATCAATAGTTAAGGAGGGGGGAAAGAAAGAAAGACACAACAGGGGGAGTAGCAAGAGATAGATAAAAAGAGGATAGATAAGACAGAGAGAAAATTAAATATTATTTACAGTTATTTTCATTGTGTTTCATGTAGATCACATCAATGTGTTTCTGAGGTATGGAGTAGGCGATGCGCCTGGGGTCGTAACAACACAGGTTGTACACGGCGAGGGGCGCATGGCGTTGGAGTGAGCTGCACCTGTTCTCTGATTATCATAAAGAGGCAAACATCATTGGCACTCAGGATCCTATATTGTGACATTTAACCTCTGCATTTGGCCACTAGAACAGAGCAGACCCCCCCTCCCCCACTCCCTCCACCGGGGAAACTGCTTTTAACATTGGGAGTGTCATCCCTTGATTGTTCTCCTTTTTGAACCTGAAAGTAACCTCTCTACACAATCTACGGCCATGTTGCCTCACACTTGACAGTCTTAAGAAACTGACATTCAAATATGTATCAAAGTGTTTGTTGAGTTCTGTCATTTTGCCTCACTTAGGTATTCGCAGGGCTACACTAATGCTTAAACAGAGTATCGGGATGTATATCCTTGATGAAAACCACACTACAGCATGTTCAGATTTGATTTGAATGAACAGCAGGTGGCGTTGTAAGTCTTGAAGGGAGCAGGCGTAATCACTGCAGAGGAATTACAGCCCACACACAGCATGTGAACGGTACACACATGCACACGCATGGCACAGACATGCAGTGATGCAGAGCCGCAGTGTGGTATGTGGTTAGCGGGTCAACAGATACTTGACACATGAACGCACCTCTCAATCAGTCTTACTGAAATGAGGAGTGGTTAAATCACAGCCCAGTACACACACCTGCTGTCTGATTTCTGATGACCGACATGTGGCAGCTCAAGGTTTCCTGTCCTACAGCTAATGGTTCCATGTCATGAGTGATTCTTTGGCATGTTTACATCCTTCTCAAGGCTTTAACGTTGACCCACAGTGTGATTCAGGGTGTCTTTGGTTTTCAGGTGGATTCACTAAAAGCCACATGTGATTGAGTGTGACTCACGTCAAGCTACTGAATCTTTGGTTTACAAAGTCATAGTTTGAAATGCATTTGAACCCCCTTGAGTTACATTCAAATTAAAAAGTGAAACATGGAGCATTGAGAGGATCTGATTCATCTGCACATATTATCAGCATTTTGAGCAGAGGAATCAGATGACTGGTTTAAAGCTACACACCCTGTAGCTGTGCAGGACTGGAATTAGAGCCTCCTGCTAAAGAAAAACACCCCACCCCTCCATCCTCCATGCATGTGTTCAACAGTCTGCCCTGCCCCATCAGGCCTTGGAGAAAGTGGTAGCAGAGGAGGTACCAGGTTGGATGGATGAGGCGTTATTGTTGCTGCTGTTCCCGTGAGGAGTGTGGCCGTGGCTGTGAAGCCCATGACCGTGCTCCTCTGTGTCCCAGCGGTCCGGACAGCGGCGGCGTGAGTTCATGAAGAAGTTGGAGACGGTGGAGAGCTCCAGGCCCAGCTGCTGTGAGATAGTGACTTGCATCTCTTTGGAGGGCCGACGGTTCTCTCTAAAGATGGCTACCAAGGTACGACGCTGCAGGTCTGTGAAGACCAGTCGCTGCTTCTTTGGCACCTGGTTACGCTCTCGTCCTCGGTCCTCCTCCTTCCGCTTACATGCTGCAAAAAGAGGGGAGGAGAGAGAATAGAACAAAAAGAGTTTCATTGCCATTTGAATACTCGACAGTCGGATAAGTTTTCTCAGCATACAGCACAGAGGTGTTGATTGGAAATAAACTAATAATGGAAATGTGACAAGAATACATTAGTTGAATGTGTTAAGCTTGTTATTTTTGTTTTCATCATGACTGACTCATACAGGTAGAAACAAACATGTTACCACAAAACAATATGTTACAGGAAGGCAACCAGTCTATAATGGGAAGGATGGGAAAGAAGAAAGAAAAAAACAAAAGCCACAATGGAAAGAATCTACTCTGGTGAGTAAAAAGCATCAAATTTAAATGTTCCTTAGACTCACTTTCAACTTTGAAAGCCTAAGTTAGTCTCAGTGCGTTAAGTCCACAGCACCAGAAGACTCTCACTGCCCTGTCATTGCCCTATTGTTTTGATTCGTATGGTTGATTTTACTAGTTTATATAAACTGTTAAAATTCCCTAATATGACATTTTTAACAGACTAATGTGTCTACATTTATGTCGTAAAATATTCACTTAAGGTTCAGCAATTATTATTTTTTTTTTTAAGCTAGCAGATATGATATTATTGTATTTGTCAAATGCAAAAGAACAGCCATATCAGCATTGTATATCAGCTAACCTGCTCTCTCATTATTAGTATGGGAATCAGCTATTGAAAAACTGATATCGGTCGACCACTCGTGTTTTTAACTTGGTTCTCCTTCAGCAGTATTTCCTCTTGCTATCAGGGGACTGCGGTGTTCCATTCTGTGTTTGGTTCGCTCTGTATTAGAGGCACATCCAGGGGTAGCCCAACCGAGGCGCTGACTTTTGCAGAGGTAGAATAAAGTGTGTGAGCATACGGGGAAAAGAACAAGATTCCTTTGCTCCTTCTGTTTCCACCTAACATTTCCATGGAAACCTCTTAGATTCAAAGTATGCACACATTATGTGTTCTATTCTAACTTGTAAACAATAACACATTAGTGTGGTAACATACAGTATAATACTTTTAGTTTGATTCTTTAAAGAATCAGGGGCAAAAAAGGATATAAAGCTCTATACAAGTTGTAAGAAAACTCCTGCTCCCTGTCCGACAAAAATACACACATTAGTAATGTTATGGTGTTTCTATTTTTTCTCTTTTATGCACCTGACTCAGAGAAATTCTGTGACATTTAAATACAAAGTAAAATGCTACAGCTAAAAAATTTGATTTCTCATAAGCCCTGTTTTCAGCCGGACAAACAGCCAACCATAGTAAAGGATTTCTGGGCAGCACCTGAGGGGTCAATCAGATCGTCAGATGGGCCCTGGCCACCTATCGGGATGCACCTTCGCATTTCCTTATGCTTGTTTAATGTTGTTACATCCTTTATTACTCTTCTTTCAAATCCTTTACTTGGGTAAATTTTAATTATGCTGCTTGGTTTCAGGCAAACGAAGTTGCACAGCAGTATGTGGCTCCATGGCCCAAGGATAATTTCCGCTTTTGATCAATATCAGTAGAGGCTCTTTCATCCAGTTGTATTTAAAACAAGACTTGAGCATGCAAAATATTATTCTTGGTGTATAGCCTGTAAAAAGTATCAATAACCAGGTGTTAAACTCTGTTTAAAGACTGCACACAGGATAGTTTTTTAATGCTATTGAACAAGACATTAACATTTAGTAGCCTTATTGTACTTTCTGGGATGAAATCTCATTTCAAACAAATTTCGACTTCTTTCGAGTAGATTTTCAAAGTGAGGTGAAATGAAGTGAAACCAGTGGTAACCTGGAGGATAGGCGATCAATCTGGAAACTCAAAGAGGGATTTAAATGCGGTCATCAGTAATGTAAAGTGGGCTGTACAGTTTATGGATAATGGGCTGCAACACACAAACCCCCAGTGTGTTAATTCAGTGTGAGCGCAGGGACTCAATATCACTATATTGTTGCAGGACGGTGTGAACAGCTAGAACTCTGTAGTATTTATGTTGTTATGGTGGAGAAATAGTTTTCAGAGTCTGAGGGTCTGGTTGAACTGGAGGGGCGTGTTGTGAAATGCTGACAAAGAAACGCTCTCTCGTGCCTGGCTGCACCGTCAGTAGGCTCTCGGCTCGCGCTGTGGAGACTGGAGGGAGTCTGTTCTGTTCTGCTGCCCTAAAAAGCTGCAATGATCGATTTTCCGCGGTTTTCTCCCGAACACGTGGTCCAGTAATCAGGGCTCCCTTCCCCACCCGATCGATCCCCATCGATCCGCGAGACCGAGGGGTGTGTGTGCGTGAATTTGTGCGCGGGCGTGTGTGTATGTGTGTGCCATGAGTCCGTGCGCCGCCTCGCATCGGGGAGTTGCAGCACGCGAGCGCGCTTCTGTGACAGACAGATGGAGAAGAAATTGTTTATCTGTAGAGGAACAAAGGAGATGTGGCGGAAAAGAGTGGCAGTCATCCCGTCTGTGAGCTCCGAGGAGGACACAGGAATGTTTACTTATATGTCAGATTAAAAAAAATGAAACCTTAAAGGAAAAATGGCAAAATTGGAAAAGTATGAGATGGGATGAAAGATGGGAAAGAAGGAGTAAAGCTGGCTCCATGTGTGGAGGTGGTGTATGCAAATGATTGATGACTGTACAGCAGGTTTAGACAACAGCAGTAAACAGATTTGACTGTGAGGAGGGATCAATATGAACGTGCACATGTGTATGCATGCCTGTGTGTGAGTGTGCATGTGTCTGCAATGCCATTGTTCATGCTTTGTTCCTGCAAGCAAAGCATAATTAATAAACCAGATCTTTTCCTCAACAGCAGAAACTCGGATATACAGTACACTCCTCCATACCATCAAAGATGCACCCCTGCATGCCTACTCTACTTCTTCTACTGTTTTCCTCTAGTTGTTTTTCTCAATTGTTTTAATTTGCCCTCAGATTGATAGCCCCCTCATTGATTGATCCACACTTCAGAACCATTTCATGGAACGTTTATTCAATTGGTTCAGGGCCCAGCCATGCCAGAATCTCCTTGCGGCTCTCTAAGTGCTGTCTCGAACCAAACTCAATACTCCCTAATGTAATGACTGAATGCTAGTGCTAATATAGTGATAATTTAATATGTAATGCCTGTTTTCCAACAACTCGTGCTACCGGCCATTTTACAATGCCAACACCACTCTGGTTCTCCTCCAATCAGCTCCGAAGCAGCTCTGGGGCCTGCAGAGCCTTGCAGCTGCACGTCCCAACCAATGAAGCAATGAAGGAGTTAGCACACAGGGCCCTGGCCGGGTCAATACATATTTCAAATAATCAATAGATACATTTCAAATGAGACTTCTCTGACCCCCCCTTCCCCCCCAGCAATGAAGAGGACCACAGGGAAGATAAAGAAGGGGCTGCTCATTAAAGCAATGTCTCCTGAGATGAGAACCACTGTTGTAGGCTATCTTTAGTCCCCTCATTACCAAATGGGCTTCTCTGAAGAGACAAGCGATCACTCAACAGACTTAAGTGGCACCTTTCCTTCATATGTGTCTTAAAGGTATGAGGAAAATGCCACTTTGATAATCCTAACCCTCTTTCTAGTCCAGAGATTAACTTGCTTACTTTGTTAAGTTGTGCCTGTGTCTCTCTTTGAGATCAGCTCAGCTTTATCACGTGAGAAGTTTTTTCTTCTCTTTGGTGGTGGATGGGAATAGAAGTAGGTGCACAATCCTTTTCTATTGTTTTAGTTATATGTGAGAGTAGAAATCAACTTAATAGACTCAGACTTTTCTAATAGACTTGTGGTCTACTTCCTTAAGGGCATGTTTGAGGACGTAAGAAAACACTCCGCTTACTGTAGATTTTTGTGCCACATGTACCATGCCCACTGACAAAGTTCAATTCTCTCATTAAAAACAAGTTTTTAAAAGTTATACATTAAAATGTATAAGACTAAAGTGATAAAAAGTTGTTTTCAAAATTTTGATGTATTAGTGTTACTATACTAGCTTTGGCTAACATTGCCTTCTCTGCTAGTACTGTACTATTGTTTTTTATTTAATATTATAATAATTGACTGAAAACCTTTCGGGTTTTGGAGGGGTTATCTTGTAAGGATAAAAATTGATATGTCGACCAATGTACATTCAGACACCATCGCATTTTAGGTGCCATATCTGATGTCGGGTGGAAAAACTCACCCAAAGACTGCTACACTATTTTTTTATTTTGTTTAAAAGTAAGTCTCAAATTTCCTCCAACTTGACTAAAAACTTAACTCACACTTGGTCTGATGCTACATTTTACTATGAAAGGTTACGGAACAGTTGCAAAATTACAATCCTTTGAAAAATTCTTATCATTAACGTCTCAGTTCTTCAACTAGTAGCTTAATTGGTCTGGAAAACAGCCAAAAAATATTTAGGATTTTGGGGTGGCCAATTTTAAGGGAAGTATGCCACCCTCAGCCAACTATCTAGATACACCCCTGCTCAGCTGACAGGATAGGATATAAAGTTTTTTTTTAAAAGATCAATAAACAAAACACTTTTTCTTCTATCAAAACAGGGCACTACATCTTCTTCAAACACACCAGTCACGAAAACAGAAAGTCAAAACACTGAACCTCAGGCTACATACCACTAATTCATGAGTGGGAATTTGCTGGAAGATGAGATTCTTAGATATTGCTCTTTACTTAAGGACAGACAGATAAAAGCAGAGTAGCTAATGTGGGTCAGTGTTAAAAGACCAAAATGTTTAAAATTATGGAAAAGGGAAATGTGGTCATATTCTCAAAAGACAGAAAAACACAATGTGAACAAGAGGAGAACATCAGTTTGTTGCCTATGTGTTGTTTCTTTACATGAGGAGGTCTACACATAAATTTAGCATGTGTGTGTGTGTGTGTGTGTAGTTGTGTGTATGTGTATGTGTATGGAGATGGGGGGTCATGGGGGTGGGGGGGTGCAGACGGTGAACTAACCGCACCGTGCTGCTGCTACTCGACGGCTGGACGGACGGATGAGACCGGGCTTTGTGTCCTGTGAGACGGGCCCTCTCCCGCCCTGGACGGACGACTGCAGGCGAGAAACAGTTTGGCGTCAATCACTCTCTGTCACACCTCTCAGATGAATACGCTTATTGATTGTATTGATCAGATGATAGGCCTATTCATTGCTGTGGAGTAAAGAAAACGCCCGAGTAGCCATTAGTATTAACACACAGCAGCGGTGAAACTAAAGCGTCCCGTTCGCCCTAAAAATACTCTTCATCGACCTTTATCGGTTTATTTGGAAACGTTCGTTTATTTGTCGATGCAAAGCCAGTGTTGTCTTGTTGAGACGAGTGATCGGCAGCTTTACAGTCTGTCACATATCGGCTACTAGTCTATAAACTGTCTGAGGCTGCTTTTAAATGTTTTTTAATGCCTTTCTCCTTTTTTTCCCAAAGAAAACCCAGTGTAGCCTGTTCTGCGATCCCCAAAACATGTCAGCGTTAAGTTATTTATCAAACTGGAGGGGGGAAGAGGCCTCTGATCAACTTTTCCAAGAGATGAACAAACACGTGAGTTGAAGCGAACCACTGTGGGGAAAGTGGACTTTTTACTGTGGTTGTTTTTCTTTGGAAATATTGATCAGAAAGTTTTGGTTGTTGCTCATAAATAAAACTGCAAATTTAAGTATTTTAGATCCTCATCCGAGAGAATATTTAAATCTAAGCAGGCTTTTATTTTGAAAAGGTATAAGAGATAGTAACATTTTGTTTGATAAAATAGAAATTACAAGACGCAAGATAGATGGATGGATGCTAGACTGACATTAAGCAAAACGAAAAAGTGAGGTTTAAAAACACTGTCCTAGACTCTTATTAATGGACGTTATAACAGCAAGGTTGAAATGTGTCCTATACAGGCTATTGTCATAAAACAGAAGGAGATCTGTAAGAAATATTGATAAATACACACACACACACACCACACACCACTCACACACTTTATTTTCCTCACCTGTATGCACATTACCACTCAGATAGAGCTGTACAGTTTCCAGGTAATACATCTTCCTTCCCAGAAAATAATACGAAAGTCAATGAACTACATTTTACTAATGTTAACCTTACTTTTAATGTTTATGTTGAATTTATCGTGAATCTTAACTGGATATTCTATCAGGCAACCTCGTGGTATTTAATCTTACTTTGAAGGCCTCATTGCCACATTACAGATGTCCACTTTGCACCCAAACCTGCATCCTGACCTGTTATCTTCCTGTAGTTTTGTTAAATGTAAAAAAAATACTGGATATAATTTTGGATGGTGGCTTGATGATTATGAGAACCAGAAACGTCACATGCAGATTTCATGTGTTTGCCATGTATTTAAGTCTTATGACTCTGTTCCTTTCTTACTCTAGGTTCTCAAAGTCAAGGCGCTTTTTCCTGGCTAATTTCCCACCAGAATGCCAGCATCTCATCCAAAATGAGCTATGTCTGATACATAGACAGATGACCAAAGAGACGGAATGAAGTAAAAGTGGAAAGGCAAAGAATCTGCTTTGCTGATGCTGGTCTGGAGCCAGGAGAGAGAAAGAAGGAGGGGAGGAAGGAGGGAGAGAGCCGAGGAAAGCAGAAGAGAGGAAATCAATACCGATTCAGAGTGAGTCAGATAAGCCTGAACAATGTATAGTGCAGACACACTCTATAACCCAGTCACACACACACACATACATGTGCAGGTGCATGTAGAAGCACTTGCACACACATGCTCACGCACGCACACACACACACGCCGGGTGAAATGTGCTTGCATGCCTCTATAAAGGTGCATTACAAACCCCATAAAGCATTGCAACCTTTAAAATCAAATGACATCACAACCTTGGATTGCTTTGAGGATTCGCTGACATGAGCAGAAAGCACTCATTACTATGGCTCGATAGAAGCTCTGATGCTCTTTGTCTGACTGTGATGCTCTTAAGCTCTCATCTTTTTATGTTTGTGTGCAGACATCAGCCTCCCTGCCCCAATTTCACTCACAAATATTGCATTTTTCCTGGTGTAAACACTCGGATTGGCCTCTGCTCTCGCCTCTTAACCATGTGTCTGATGTGAGTTTTTACCGCAGGAAGTCTACATTTAACTGCTTGTGCTGCTTTTGTATCACAGGAAGTTTTTGGGTGTAAACAGTGTTCTTGGAAATCCACTTACACCCTCTCTGCTGTGGTGTTACAGCAGTGTGTGTGGTCCTCAGCCGTTAACCACAGATTTGACTTTGCTTACCTACAGAAGATGCTGTTACAAGCGCTTACACCACCACCGCTCTCTGCCTCTCTCTGTCTTCCCCTCCGTCTTCCTTATACTTATCAATTATTAAGGTGCGTATTGATCCTTTCACTACCCTGCCTCTATCTGGCTGTTCACACAAAGCCCAAACCTGCTTGCCCCTCGCTCGATCAATGGCATCTCCCAGCTCCTGCAGCTCTTTTTCCACATGCCAGTTTTGCTTTTCTCGCTTTTGCACTTAAGCTGGATTTTTTTTTACATCCCAATTTGTTCCATTTGGATTCTTTAGAAAATATGAGAAGCAGCAGACTGGTATTAATCTTTCATGGCATGAAGCGAGTTTTGATGGGCATTAAAAGATAGATCTGGTAGGATAGCAGCGAGAGTGGAAAATGGCTGGGTGCATTGTTCACATCCATTCGTCTCCTCCTCGTCCTGCACTCAATGATTTTTTTTTTTGTTTTGTTTTGTTCTGCAGCGCTGATCTCCTGAAGCCAAACATCCTGCCTTCTTGTTGCCAGGTTAACCAGTGAAAGATTAGTGATGTTATTGCCATATGCTTTAGAGATGTAGAGAGAGAAAGAAAACAGAGAGGGAGAGTGCCAGGGAGTGGGAGAGAAGGGGGTTGGGGAAGGGAAACAGCCTTATTGATCTCCTATGTGCAAAGCCAGGCAAACACTGAGAGGACAGAGCTACACTATTAATGACACTCACAGCCTTAGACACTAATCCTCATCTATCTATCTATCTATCTATCTATCTATCTATCTATCTATCTATCTATCTATCTATCTATCTATCTATCTATCTATCTATCTACACAGCTTAAACACTTTCACAAAAATGAAGTAAAGATGCATTTGGGTGTAAATAATTTACATTAAAGCCTAAATTAAATTTACACGAAGATACTATAAAACTTCTAAAGACAGTATTACTGATATCCCCTTTAAATTCAAGTGTATTTAGTCTTCAGGATTGGCATCTTCGGGCCCCCTGAGTTTCTAAAACACACGATAATGGCTATCTTCATGTCACAAACAGAAGCTTTCCTTATGTTTTTTTTTTCATCCCATGTGATTTTCAGTATCAATCAAAACCCTATATAGTCTATAGTGCTTCTCCCATACACTGGTCCCTGTCAATCCCTATCCCAGTTGCAATCAATATTTCATCAGAACAGTGCATGCAGCTTATAGGTTGCCTTGAAATTGATCTGGGGATCATACAGTATATGGGCCAGCATAGAGCTTTGGAGTTTTATATGTATGAACATGTTTTTTTTTTTTTTAAGTTTTTTCTTGTCTCAGATGATGTCTCAGGGAGTTGAATAATGTCATTAGTGTTTTTGAAGTTTTTAAACCTGATCGAATTGATGGTCTGACTGTTAAGTGTGTGATAACTCCCAGCCATCACACCTGCCCATGATGTTTCTGAATATGTAACTTTTACTAATAAAGTATTAGATGTAATGCCGGAGAGACCGTGCGGTTATTGCGTCTTTCAGCTCCAATACGAATATCGATCCGTGTGCCACATTTAAAAGAGAGAGTGGGAACTGGCTATTGATCAAGCAGCCTGGGGTCACCCCGCTTCTATCGCGCAACTAGTTGGCCTAGTGGCCCCTCCACCACCTCCACAACCGCCGCTGTGTGTGTGTGTGTGTGTGTGTGTGTGTGTGTGTGTGTGTGTGTGTGTGTGTGTGTGTGTGTGTGTGTGTGTGTGTGTGTTTATGGTCGGACACAGCGAGAGAGAGAGGGCGAAAAATAAAAGAGCGCCGAGGGAGGGAAACTATTTCCAGGTTTTTATTGTGAATCAATGGCGATTTGGTGTGTGTAGAAATACAGACCTGTGAATTTAGTCTTCCACGCCTCACGAACGCACATGTACGCGCACAAAGCAACAACATTGTTTTTGTTTTCTAGCGCTCGAAATGATTTAGCTCGTATTCCCATGAACAATCGTTGCTAGGTTCAGGTTTCAGGAAATAATGACACGGGTGATTTTAGTGCTCCTCGCGCTTTGTTTTTGCAGAGCTGTCCCTGGTACTGAATCTAGGGCCCGCGCAAGTTTGGTGTGTCTGTTTCAAGTGGGTAAAATATCATTAAAAGGCGACCGGGCTTGTGCTACTTATTGAGCAGTTTACATGTGGAAAATTATTCTGAATGGACAGTTTCTTACCGGCCAGTCGTAAAGCAGACATCCGCTGGAACTCGGGCTCCTGCAACCACTTCCACATCCTCCTGAAGGTCTCGCGGCCTGACTTGAGTTTACTCCAGGGTTTGGGGTTCCGGAGCAGGTCTGAGAGGGTTCCCTGCGACCGACTCAAGATTCTCTGTGCGAATATGGCCTGTGGGATGGAGTACCGCTTTAACTCTGCTGTTATCCGCTGAGCCACTTCCTTTGTGTTGATTTCCTCCGCTTGGATACCTGACCCTGTTACTCCTTGCCCTGCTCCGTGGCCGTGCCTCTCCCGGTCCCCCAGCATCACTGCGCCGTTTGCCTGCGAGTGGAGGTGGCTGTGAGGGTGGTGGTGCATGCCGTTAAGGTTGGAGATCATACCGTGGCCATGCCCTCCTAAACTCCTGGCCAGGTGCTCTTGGTCACTTCGGGACAGCATGGAAGCGTGGGACTCAAATCCGGACACCGGCGAGAGCATCTTGGCGTCGGTGGAGAGGTGAGCGCTGGGGCCGTAGGCTGAGAGCGGTTGCTGGGAGTTGTGCAAAGAGCCCAGTCCGCCGGACAGAGGCGAGAGTGAGCCATGACCCATCCCGGACACAGACATCTCTTTGGGGTAGTGGCTGTACAGGTTGCCCATGGAGGCGAGCCCCCGGTGGTCATCCCGCATCAGCGTGAAGCTGCCGCTGACATTCCCGGCGGAGAGTCGCTGATGGGCGGCAGCGTGGTGGTGTGAGTGTGGGTGGTGGAACTTATCCGAGACGGTGGATATGGGAGGTAGATGCTGCAGAGGGGTCAGCGTGGTGTATGTGTTGCTAAGGCTCATCCCGGTCTCGCACATGCTGATGGAGGGGTGCAGGTGTCCAGACAGTGCAGACGGGTCAGTCCGGTAGTCTCCACTGGAACCATCCAGGAGCGAGGCCATGCCGGACACCATGGCTGACCGTGCGCCTGGAGCGTGCGAGACCAAATTCCGAGGAGTGGAGCTCGGGGAAGGCGACGGCCGCGCGTGCGGAGAGCTCATGAGGTCTCCCGCCTGGGAGTGCGAGGAGACGCTGTGCAGATTCTCCATGGTGAGCTCCATAGCTGAAAGGATAAATGCTCCCCTGTCCCACCCTCCCCACCCTCACCCCCTGTCTGTCCCTCTCGCTCCTTTCTCTCACACGCGCGCTCTCTCTTAGCCTTTAGCCCTCCTGGAGCGATGAAATGACCAAACCTTTTGATTGCCAATCCATTGATTAAAGATTCTCCGATCAATCCAATGAGGTTCAGATAAATTCTGATGTTTGGAGGAAGCTTCAGAACCGAGAGTCTCCGCGGCGCCGTGGCGCTCTACGCATTCATGTGGACGGGAGCTCTCCAGGGTGATATCTCATCTCTGGTCCAACAGCGCTCACTCTAAGAGCAAACTGAGTCGCGTGCTGGGAGAGGGGCGCGTGCCTGTGTGTATTTAAAATGTGGGGCGGGATCGAGCCGACTTTTCTTAATCGTCCTCCCAGACAGGGGGGATGCGTTTTTGACTAAAACTCGCCCACCAAAGATGTCCTAGTTTAGAGATACCCACTCATGCGTCCAAAAGAGACTTGATCAGTTTGAATCGCGCCTCTCGTGTTTTTTTTTTTTTTTTTTTTTTTTTGTTTGTTTGAACGCGCGTGTTGCCCGCGTGTTCCTACCTGCCCACAGGTGACACTAAGACACGTACTCGCCTGGCGTGAATAATGTTGAGAATAAAGTCAGTATCAGTTTCCGGACGCATGCAGCACTGTCTTACAGATAAACTTTGTTTTCCCACGGACTGTATGGTTTTGCATTTATGCGCTTAGTGATAAACCTGATCGAAGTATTGACTGACAGAGATTAATGACATGGCGCAGGCCAGTGAAGAGCCAGTGTGGGGGATGAAGCAGGTCACAAAGTAAGTTAGGATCCCAGTGCTGACCAATGAGAGGACAGCACCCAGGTTTGGGCTGAGGAAGTTCAGAGATGAAGTTCACTTTATGGTTTGTGTCAAACTAGTAAAATCAGATCGTTTCATTCAACATTAATTATTTTCATGACACACAGTTGTCATAATCGACATATTATCGTTATTTTCGCCAATACAGACAGCAGCGTTGAGCTCGGACACAGTAGATTGTGTATCCGCACACAGTAAACAGAGGTAGGCCTACATATACTTTCTAAACTTGAACAACAGTTCTGTTTACTTTTTATCTAATATATCGTTTAAAGGTAGTGTAATATAACTTGTGGCTAAAATTAGTTAATTTTTTATCAGTTTAAAGTGAGTTTTACCTTTATTAACGTACCTACACCTTTACTACTGATAGGCTACAACTGCTATTTGCCAACTACTGTCAGCAAATAGTGGTAATAAAAGGCAAGTAATAATAATAGCCTTATTATAATAATAATAATAGTAATAATTATAACGATAATGATGGTGATAAAGACTATATTCATATAACCAGTTTAAGGTTGTTGGAGTTTATTTTTCAAAACTTTATTTAAGCCACCGCTGCCCTATGTCTGTTCCACAGTAGCCCACTCACCGTGTAACAGACGTAAGGGCTCGCGGAGCAGGCTCGGTTCCGGTGATTGATGTGAGGACCATCAGCTCCTTCAAAGGCCGATATTCAGATGCAGTCCGTTTCATCTGACCAACCTCGTGTGTATAAGTGTGTGTGTAAGTGTGTGTCTGTGTGTCTTTTCTCACTGGTGCAGTGCTGCGTAAACCAACTGTAGCCAGATCATCAGTTAATCAGGAGTCCACTGAAAATATTTGCTATTTATGCAAAGAAAATCTTTTTATTTTTATTTTTTTAATTGACGCTCTCGTCAGGGATTGAGTTCGCAGCTCACGAGGAACCATCGAAAATAAATCTCTATTCAGTTATTTTATCTCCATCATTGAGTTAGCTAATTAAAAAGGGAGTCTCGTGCTGAAAATAAAATAAAAAAATAGCCTGTTTGATGTAGGAGGGATTATGTTTTAGGTGGCTATGGGCTAAAGGAATGGGGAAAAACGACCACTCTTGTGGTGGGATGGGGATAGGGGTTAAAATAAATTTAACTAAACAGAGAATTTATTTTACAATTATGGGTTAATGATGAAGTGATGTGGGGTTTTTGTTTTTTATTTGATTTTTTTTTACAAATGAAGGTCAGCAGACTATCAGTCAGGAGACGGATTCACACTGAGACACACACACACTCCTGGAGTTCAGTCATTTACAGAGGCCTCCTCTGCTGGAACACACTCACTCATCACTCAGAGCATGAGTTTAAGATTAAAGATGCTTTTTTTTTCCTTTGCCTTATTTATTTTATTTTATTTTATTTTGTTCTTTTTTTTTCTCTGAGGACTAAAATCTCAAACACAGGCCTCCTTTTCGTCAGGGCACGGGGGTCAACAATAATTTCAAAAAGGCCCATTAATGATCCGGAAATGTCCGTGCATGCCGACTCTTGTTTCTGGTTATCATAAAGCTCCGTGGTTAAGCTGTTCCACCCCAAAGTTCAGGAATTGATCGCTGGTGTTCGATATATTGATCATCGATCACTTTAATCTCACTCTGCTCTGTTTGCTAAACACGGAGGCAGTTGTGTGAGATCGTTTCAGCTGTTAGGTTAGACCTGTGGCGCATGAATGACCGACCTCAACCTAAAACACGTTTGGAGAAATGAATGTCAGCCGTGTTGTTTTATTATCTATTGAGCAGAGGCCATTCAACAATCTGAGCCTCCTCCTCCTCCTTCTTCTTTTATAAGGTCAATAATGATAGCAGTGTTGGCCCGGAATTCAGCTCCTCGTGCTTAAAGGAGAAGAAAAGTTAAGTTAAATCAGTGATTAGAAAAAAAATAAATAAATTGAGCTGATCGATTATTTCATAAACGAGACAAATCAGAGGCCTCTGTTTTCCGGTTAAAGGAACAAAACAATACAAGCAGAATAAATAGTTTTGTTTCAAAAAAAAAATAAAATCTGTGCCTTTGTGAATGATTGTTTTTTTTACCACGTTTTAAAAGTGAAAGGCCAACACCAGGTGTCAGAATTATAGAGCATCCAGTAGGTTTATTTTATTTCTGAAGATCAAATTCATTTATACAAATGTGAAAACAGTCATTTTAACCCAAACAGCCCCGAGTTACTTTGAGCACTGCAATATTGCTATTTAATTCAATTATTTAATCTCCTAATTATAGGTTAAGAGGTAGTGCAGGTTCTTTTGAGCTCATCTCTTTATTACTCTTCTGGTTGTGATTGTGAGTCGTCCATTTTAAGAAGAAATTAAAAAAAAAAACACAATTGTTGAGGATGTGCAGGGTTAGGACAATCTTGATCATAAAGGAAGAAATGCCAAACTCTTTATGTTTGTTTGAGGTTTTCTGAGTGTGCTGAAGTGAGTGCCCTGAATGCATCACTGCAGCTTGTGTGGGTGCAAACAACAGACTGTATATTGAAGGTCAAGGTATGGTGTAACCCACAAAAAGTCTACCTGCTGTTTAGTTGAACTCATTGCAATTATTGAAAAAAATTATTAAATATTAATCAGGGTATTAAAACACAGATAATACAAGAGTTAACATTTTTGTAAAAGGGAACTAAATGTACATGTGCACATAAGTCATCACACCTGTCTTTAAATTAGGAAAGACTATTGAAAAAAAGTTATTTGATTATTACATTTTTTAAATTATTTTTCTTTTTTTTTCTCCATTTTAAAAATCTAAGGTCATTTCTATATGCTTACACCTTCAGAGATATCTTATAGAACTGTTTTGTATTTTATGAAAATATCCTAAATTTTATCTTAAAGTTTATTTGAATGTTCTCAACAAATAACTCAAAGCTTAGCAGAAGTTACATTATGCTTTTTTAAAGGCTTTTAGAATCACAACAACCCATATACAAAAGAGGAATGAATCATTTAAGAAAGCATCTGGGGCTTAAACACAGATACAAAAGACACTGGAAATAATAAAGCTGCATCTAAGTGCCATTATTGATCATTTAAATAGCCGTATTGTCTGATGTTTTCTCCACCCTGCTTCGGCTCCAGAAGTCGGTACCTGTATTGAGTTTGTTCTGAGGGAGGAGCGCGAGTCAATTTTTGATCTGCTTTGTTTTAGACTAATGAAAGCAGGCAACCTTCTGTAAATCTGTTGATTAAAAGGTAAAAATAGATAAAGTCAAACATAAAATTTAAACAATTTAAAAAAGAAATCCTTGAGCTTTGACAGTATGTGGAAATATCAGGTTTAATTATTGACATTGAAGAACGCTTGTTCGTTTTCCTTTTTCACTTTTTAGCAACACATGAGTGATGCAGTCTGCTTGATATCAAACAAATGACAAATTTTGCTCCTTAAAAATCTCCAACTTAATCAACCCGGCTGGAACAAAACTGAGCAGTAGGATTTACATGTCATTCAATAAAAAAAACTCTCCACCAGCGATGGTACATTTGTAAGTCAAGAATGAACAGCTGCTGTTTCAACTTAAAAAAAAAAAACACCAACTTTCATTCTGAGTCATAGTTTAAGGATTAAACAGTCATAATAAAACAGTGACACCTTCATTTATCATACGTCTTTATTAACTGAAAATGCACAGGAGTACAACTTCTCCAGCATCCGTATCCTCTCAGGCACCGGTTGCTAAGTAACAGAAGGAGAGATGTATTGAGACAGAATAGTCAATCAATTCTCCTGTGAGGTGTGTGTGTGTGTGTGTGTGTGTGTGTGTGTGTGTGTGTGTGTGTGTGTGTGTGTGTGTGTGTGTGTGTGTGTGTGTGCATGCATGTGTGCTGGCGGTGCCGGCCAATCATACAGCCATATTGTTTCAGCAGCAAAGTCTGTAAGTAAAGGATGGGAGAGTAAATGTGTGTTTGCAAAGCAATGAAGACAACGAAAATGTTTGCAATAGCCCTTTATCTCCAGTAGACGTATCCCTTATTTTAACACAAGCTTCTGCTTTAGATGAATAAAAGAATTCTAGGATAGTCTCTCAATGCTTATCATTTAAGCTTTTAATTGATAAAATAAAAAAAATAACATCCCTTTTAGAGCATTTAAAGTTTGAAGAGCACACGTGACCTTACTCCTCCTGCAGGGATTATCTGCTTTCCATCTACTCCCTCAGTGCAGTTTGAGGCTTTTAGGGGAAACTCTTATCTTCACCGTACAGAGAGCAGTGTGAGAGATTATTAGCTAACTGGACCACTGGAGGACCTTATATGTCGCTTGTACCCAAAAGGGATGCATTGGACATCATTCACTGGGCCCAGGTTGAAAGCAGCTCCAAAAAACAAAGACGCTTGACCTCTTTAGACTCTGCCGTTTGAAAACAGAAAAACTGTTAAATTGT